ATAAAGAGCGAATGAGGAGGGAGGAGGCAGAGTGCCAAGACGGGAGTAACTGGAGCTAGCAAAACGCCATTATTTACCAGGACAAGGCTCAACTGAGATGCCATGTGGGGACCAAAATCATACCCTAAGATAATTGTGGATGTGTTAAAGCCAAAGTGATACTGACAGAACCTGTGGATTTTTTAGTTTTTGAACAAGGATTAGCAATTTGGATCACTTCCTGTCTACTTTTATGTCTGGTGTAGCTTTGATGCTCTGGGGTTAAGTTGCTGCATTTTGCAACTTTCTGCATCCTTAAAAAAAGCTTCAAATTGTTTAAAGTTGGATTCTGTGGAAAAATAATACAAAGTTGACCTTTTATCTTTCTGAATGACTTGTTCTGCCCAGGTTGATAGGCTAACTGTTAGTCAAAGCAGGTTCGAGGTTAAGGAAAATCAACAATTAAGCATTTTTATGAATTTTTACTTCACCACCAGCTTCAGTTTGCTCAATTTGCCAAACAACATTTGCAAATGCAAATGATGGTAGCAGCCGCTAGCTGCTAGCCTGCAACATTTCCTGCAGGAATATCATGATATTTTTGTTGTAATAACTAAGAAATGCAAAATGTGGGGTGATTTAAGGGAGCTTATGAAGTTTATATAATAGGACTCACTTGACCTGTTATAAATAATAGAGATTAGAGTTGTTTTACAAAAGCGGTGATGCATTTTGGTCTTGGCCTCGCTCAGACTAGCCATTAGCACACTCCTAGTCCAAAGATTTTTCTACAGCAGGTAAAATATTTCTTTCACAGAATCTTTCTTAAAGAGATCTGTACTATCGCTTTGAGCTTTCTTTAAAAATGTATCTGAAGTAATTTTCCTCCTCCTTCTATTAGTCTGTTTTTGATGGATTTATTCAAATTATCTTGTTTTGTTTGTTGGAAGAGATTGAGACATTTGGAAAATGTTGGGGAAACTGTTGGCATGCCACAGATGAGTGATACTAATTCTTCCCAAAACGTCTTATGGACTAAGGTATTTTTTGGCATTCAAGTGGGTTCAACATTTTCCCCCATTTGTCTTTTCACTCTCTACCTCCCCTCAGTCAATCTACTTTATTTGCTTCATGTCTTGTACTCTGTGAGATTACTAAACCACCAAACCTCATGAAAGGAAGAGCGTGATTAAACACCACATCTGAACCCTCAATATGTTTAGTCATAAAGTAATCTTTGACCTTCAAAGCACATTGTCCCCATTTACTTTCAATAGGACATTTAATACATTGAGGGTAGGCTGGTTTGGTTTTTGTACACAAAATAAAACAATATAAAAAAATATGTTCTGTGCTGGAGTTACTCATAATGACACGTTGTGAGGTTCTGTCTACAGTCAACGCACATGGTTCATGTCCGTGTAGATTTACTGCCCCGGTTGATGTCTTCACAACAGCCCAATGTAAAGAGAAAACTGCAATGTTCTTGTGATGTTGTGGTTTGCAGCTTTAGTAGGAGAATCTTTGAACACGAGGCTGTAAACCAGGAGAAATGGGAGGCATTGTGTGGTGTGGAGCCTGCTCTTAGTGGGGGTCGATAACAGGGTGTCCGCGGGGTTTTAAAAAGTATTAAAAAGTGATAAATAAAAATAGTCAAATTTAAGGCAATTAAAAGTGTTAAATTTGGTCTCAGAGGTATTATTTTTTCCAAGTTAGGTATTATTTTTTTCAGACTATCAGGTGTCGTATTCTGAACATCGACATAGAAATATATTCCGAATGAAATGTTTTGAACGATTATAAAAATAAAACAAGCCGATTATTTGCTCCTCCCACTTGAGCTGCCCTGAGTTACAAATGAAGCGCTCCGTTGCCAACTTAGCGACTTTGATGCTATTTCTAGCAGCTTTTCAGACCCCCTTCTTGACTTTTTAAATCTTAAAAGTACCTAGCGAACACCTCAGAAACATCTCTGGTAACCCTTAGCTACTTTCTGGATAACTATCGTCGACATTTCCTGCAGGTTAGCTAAACACTCCGCCTGCGCTCCGGACCGTTCTTCAGGACATTAGGAAAGGGAATGATGTAGTGATGTGTCAGTCGCTAAAGAAACGGCTCTCGGAGCCGGCTCCCTGTTGGAGTAACCAGAGTGAGTGACACACACCGTACCTGCGGGCTCCTGAGCCACTAAAAACGGCTAAGTGTGCGTGTGCGGCGCGCTAAACACACATGCAGCTTGCCCCGATTGCTGTGAGACCGGGTTGGGGGGTGGGGGCGCAGCTGTGGTTGGGACAATTATTACATTAACTGATGGACTTGTAAATAAATAGTTTATAAATAAGGTAGAAATAAGTTCCTCACGCTGATAACTAATAACTAATCTCTCTGAGGACACGGTGCTAGTGCACTCTCCTACAGCACCTTGACATGACTCAATAAATGTTATGCAACATTTTGTGAACATCAATTTATTTGCATTTATTTGTTATAAATGCCACTGTATAATTCTTGCTGTCAGTATTTGCAAGATATTGGTATTTGGGTCTGTACGGGTTAGACTTAAATGAGTTAAACCAAGGTCTATACCCCTTGGGTCATAAACTATGAGCTATAAGTATATTGGTCTTTTTATACTGGGAATCAGGAGTTCTTTTAGTGATCATCTTGTTTCTTGTTTATTTTTGCCCTGATTGTGCCCTGAGCAATTTTATGACTGAATAAAAATAAATTAAAAAAATCTACATAAATTGAAAAATCGTCTTAAATAATCGAGATCTCAATTTCAGTCACAATAATCGTGATTATTGTTTTTGCCATAATTGAGCAACCCTACTTTAGCATATCCGGTCACATAATGATGACGTCATATTCAGTGGTCGTTCTGCATCATTTCAGGCCCCGTGGTCAACTGTCTGAACCGCTGAAAAGAAGTGCCTGGCATATTTTCTAAGTAAAATAAATATGCGCAATACGTTGTCAACATCAGTGAGTCTCTAAGTCTATGCTTTTTGTATGTTATATATGTTAAAATATGTGTAAATAGGTCGCTGATTAACACTTGCAATTTAGTGTTGTGATGGTTTTAAAAAAATTCTGAAGGTAGTAAAAAAAAGTATTAAAAAGTAGTAAATTTTACTTAAGGATTGCTGTATATACCCTGGATAAGTAGTCGTGTCTTCGGTTGGTTTTATTCATTTATTTTTTTAAATAAATATATTGTTTTTTTCCCCTTTGGGGTCCATATAAGATGCTCAGCTGAATGTCGGGGGAGGAGGAGGATGGGTATTGGTGGAAAGACCACCTGAATCATACATGAGACCTGACTGTTGGATGTATGGTGACCTTGCTAACAGCCTGTGGTCTGCTAATGATCTGTGCTCCATGCTGTGCTTACAGATGGGAACTAACACACTTTGTAACCCTCCCCCTACACATTTGCACTGGCTGATGAAATTTAAAAATGTGGTGTAAATATCACTAATATTATGGGATTTCTTAATTCCACCATCTTTCCTAAAAGTGAGATTTAACCTTCTCTGTCAGAGTTTTTGTTCACCCTTACAATTGCCCCGAGGGAGAATAATTGCCCCGTTGTGACGGGGCTGCTGTTGCTATGGAGGAGTGTATGCGTGATTGAGATGTGCTGCTGTCAGCAAAAGCAGGCAAGCAAAACACAGATCGATGTGGGTCTACAGGAGCAGCGAAGGAACAAAGCGTGTGGGGTCTGTTCGTGCAAGGCTAACACCCCCCACCACACACACACACACACACACACACTTGAAAGATGTGCTGCTCCTGGCCCTTTGAAGGACAGGCAAGGTGAAAAACATGGAGGCTCAATGGCAAAAGACTTAGACACTATCTCTAGGGTTTACAGAGAGCAGCAGTTGTGTGGACGATGACTCCTTGTTGATGTCAGATGTCAGAAGAGAATGGGGCAGATGGGTTCTAGACGATAGACCGTAAAAACAATATCCTAGTCCAGTTGTGTGGGAGAAATTTTCTTGACCCACCACGGCACTAGTCAGCATACTGCAAGAGACACAGACATGCAGTGTAAATCCGGTATTAAACACATACTGAATATCGCATTGGTGTTATTGTGTACCAGGATAATGCCAGTAAAACGTATACACTCGTACAGCAGAGGGGATGAAAGAGCTACAGTAGCCTTCTGTTTTACATCTGGGATGTCTCAGTTTGCCTATGAAGGAGCTGTCCGTGGTCTCCACAGTGGAATACAGTGGGTGGGAGGGGGGTTTTAGGATGGTGGTCATCTTCCCCAGCATTCTCCTCTCACACGTCTATTCAACTGTACCCAGAACCAAGTTAGCTTTGTGAACTAGCTTGTTCAGTCTCTTCCTGTCTCGGTCAGAGATGCCTGCACCCCAACAGACCACAGCAGAGTGGATTTCCGAAGGACCTCAGTTTCCTCAGGAGGTGGAGGTGGCTTTGGCGCTTCTTATACAGATACTTATGCTTGGAAGGAACCCACCGATGCACCAGGAGAACATGCAAACTCCTTGCAGAGAGACCCCAAGCCGGGATGTGAACCCGGGACCTCCTTGCTGCAAGGCAACAGCGCTAACCACTGTGCCGCTGTGCAGCTGCTCTTAAATCATCAAATATCTAAATCATTCAAGATTCCTTTGTTTCTTTCTTCTCCCATCTTTTCTTCTTCAAAGGGACATTTATTATCATTTATGTTATAAAATGTATTTGTGTTATTTTTATTGATGCATTATTTGGTTGTTTAGAGAATGAGGCGCTACTCACCAGGTGGAATTCAATGAAACATTTAAATTACAGCAGCAATTTCACTATGGTAGACTTCTTCTAATTTGCCTAGGTAAACTCAGGAGTAACTGCTTCGTTTGTTAACAGGATACAGTGCAAGCAAATCCCTATGGTCTTTGACTCATTTGCTTGGCTCACATAACTACTTTTGGGAATGCAAATGATTGTCATTAACAAACCAGGAATGACTAAGTGTTATTTCCTCTCCCTCCTACTGATGACAGATTTGTCTGCTAAACACCACTCTGAGGAAACTTTGACGACTTGAAGAGACAGCTGGAACAACTGGAAGAGCCAGACTGCAAAGAGGCAACAGCATTTCCCTGAGAGCCTTTAGGACTTTCTGTCACTGCCACACAGATGTGGAACCCCCATCAGTCTGTCATTAAATAATCCGACAGCAGAACCAACCCAACCGATACATTACACAGACGTTTGTAGCCATGTCTGATCATAAAGACATGACGCATCGCCACCTACGGCACAAGCTTCAGAGTCTCGGCAGACGACTGGATGAACTGGAAGAAGCGACAAACAAGCTGCAGAAGTCCGAGGATGAGCTGTTGGATCTGCAGGTTGGTACTGGCTGACAATGAGACGAGTTAAGTGATGTAAACATTAATGAAACTCTTCTTCGTAGGACAAGATCATCCAAGCAGAGGGCAGCAACTCATCACTCCTTGGCGATGTAGAAACCCTGAGGAAACATCTCTTGAAGATCCAGGGCAAAGATGAGGAAGTACGCAAAGCTGAGGACCTTTGTCGCACAGTTCGAGAGAAACTGGAAGAGGAGGAAAACCTCACAAAGGAGCTAAAGGCAGAGATTGAGCGTCTGCAGCGGAGGATGGCTGAACTAGAGAAACTGGAAGAGGCTTTTAATAAAAGCAAGTCTGACTGTAGCCAGCTCTGCCTTAGCCTCAACGAGGAGAAAAACCTGACCAGGAAGCTCTCATCTGAGCTGGAAATGCTCAAGGCTCGTTTGAAGGAAGTGGAAGGTTCTGAAACAAGGCTAGAAAGAGCAGAGCAGGCTTTGGCTATGGAGCTTGAGAAACTGAAGGGATACACTCAGGCCTTTGTCAGTGAGCGCAAGAGGCTGTTGGAGAAACAGAAGGAGGATGAGAAAACCATTCTAAATTTGACAGAAGAAAAAAAGAAACACCTTGGCATATCGACAGAGCCAGGGCGTGCAGATTTCATGAGTTCAAGAATCGAGGATGAGCTGTCGTCCACTTACTCCCTCACGAGTAAGCTGGCTGGATACAAGAAGAAGATGGACTCCTTAAAACTAGATGAGAACATCAGCATCGTCAACAAATCGGACAAGAAGAAGATGAGCGGTCTTGGCGGCTCACAAGAGGACAACAAAGTAAAGGAGCTGACGCAGGAATTGGAGAAGCTGAAAAATCGCCTCAAACAGTTGGAGATAGTGGAGGAGGACTTGAAGAACTCAGAGTTTAAAAATGGAGAACTTCACGAAAAGTTCCAGATGGAACGAAATCGAGCTCGTCAACTAAGTGAACAGGTGGAGCAGCTAAGGACGCAGCTGTTCGGAAAAGGAGGGATTGGAGGCAACGGGGTCAGTCACCTGGAAAAGCACGGCAGTGAAGGCAGCAGTATTCATCCGAACAGTCCCGCTAAGGTCCTTGAAAATGGCAAAGCTGAGAATCAGGAGATCGTGAAGGGAGCTTTCAGACAAGAGAAACCTAAATTTAGAAGCGCTGCAGCTGCTTCAGAACCTAGCTCCCCTAAGCACAGGAACAGGGAGCTCTCCCCTCAGCACAAGAGAGAAACCAAACTGAGGAGCAGAGAGCTCAGCCACACCGAGGAGACTTCTCCAAAGTCTACAAGGAGAGCCCTCAGTCCTGCTATCAAGACCAGAAGGACACCCAAAACCTCAGCTGCTGCAGTTTTGTCTGAAATTGGAAAACAAGATGGTGCACGGCTTACTGAGGAAAGGACACGAGGAGCCACGTACAGCTCCCTAAACTCCACTTGTAATGATGCTAAGAAGTTGTCTGTTCTGAGTCGCTACCCTCCAGCAGCTAATGACAAGAAGTCACAGAAGATTGTGAACAAACAGACTGATGGGGACCTGAAAAACAGCAGGGACAAGTTTTCAAAGCTCTACGTTGGTAGTGATAGCGAATCAAACTACTCTGATGCAGTGCCAGAAAGCTCCAGTGTCTCCGCGCTGGAGAAGGAGGTGGCTTCCGTCTCGGATCAGGAGTCTGTAGACCTGGTTCAAGAATCCGTGTCCGCGTCTGTGGCATCCACCTCATCCAGAGCCAACGGATCGTACGCGGCTTACAGGTCTCGCATCTCTCCGCTGCTCGTCAACGATCAGGGCTCAGACAGTCATTCCTCTGCTTCGGAAACCGAATCTATCAGCTCAAGGCCATCTGAAGTGGAACCCGTCACAGAGACAAGTGCAACTATTAGCAGTAGGACTGCAACCCCCAGGTATGCCAGATACCCACATGTCCATGACTCTCATTCAGAGGGCTCTTCTTCCAGGAGCTCATTTGACGAAGAGCTGCACAGTAGGACTCAGTCCTCGGACGGTGGCCAACAGGGATTCGTGCACATTCCGTCAGCGATGGAAATCCAGAGAGTGTGCAGCCCTCGGGAAGCGCTGAGGTCCAATGCCATCATCAAGCCCGCCATTGTTGAGATTGACAGGAAGGAATTGATGATTTCTGAGTCCTTGTCTACAAACGGCAAACCCAGTATCTCCACCAAGCCAGCAGTGACCACCACCAGTAAAATGACCAGTAGCATAACCATTTACCCAAACGACCCTGGGTCTTCCAGAACAAGCAGCCGCAGCAGCAGCTTGTCCAGCGAACCTTTGCCTGTTAAAGAACGCCACACGTCTACCAGTAACATCCTTATAGGTAGGTGTTTTATACAGTAATTTATTACTAAACTGATTTGGTTCATTCACACTAGTTGATCCATTAGTTAGTAATGCACAGATTCTTGTTAAAGTCTGTTTGAAAGGTTTTTTTATGTAGAACGTTTATAATAAAGGGTCATGCAGCTGTTAGAAAAATGTTTTTATTTAATGAAAGACTAAAAGTTTCTGCTTAGAGTTTACAGGAAACTCTTTCTGTGTTCTAACTTTAACACAAGATTTGCTAGCTCTGAACGTGCACTTTGTAACTTTTGTCTCCCCCAACTGCCATTAAGGTAAATAATGCATTCTTTTAATATTTATATATGTTTTAATCTAAAACGTTAGGTTATGCATATAACCACTGTTCCCTGAAGGAGAGGAATGAGGTACAACGAAGGTACTATGGGACATCACGCCCTCGTGTGGCCTGGCTGAAGACACATTTAATCACGCCTGTAAGGCAAATGAAAGTGACGCTGCGTGGAGGCCCCGCCCTCCACTTATAAGCAACCGCGTCACTGTCATTCCTCAGTTCGATAGCCGCTCTTTACCGAGCTGGGCTGTGAATGGGGCAGCCCTGCGTTGTACCTCGTTCCTCTCCTTCAGGGAACAGTGGTTATATGCATAACCTAACGTTCCCTTTCAGTCGATTCACTCGGTACAACGAAGGTACTATGGGACTTATCGAAACGCCCCATGAGCAGCTATCAAACCTGGCCTCAGATTACAACCTAAGATGGCAAGTCAGATCCTGCAGAGAGAACCGCACGGGCCACCGAAGGGGACAAAACATCCAAGCGGTAACACCTCACAAAGGTGTGGGGTGTAGCCCAGCTTGCAGCTGAGCAAATGTCGCCAACTGAAACACCTTTAAACACCGCCCAAGAAGCAGCCACACCTCTAGTAGAGTGTGCCCTGACCCCTAGGGGCAGCTGGGAGCCAGTGACGCTGTAACACAGCGAAATGGCCTCCACAATCCAATGAGAAAGTCTTTGCTTTGACAAAGCTTTACCCATGGAGGGTTTGGCCAAACACACAGACAGTTGGTCCGAGTGTGATCTATATTAGCCTGCAGAGCACAAACCGGGCACAGACATTACAGTCTCCTCTGCTCCTCAGAGGCAAAAGGAGGACTTCTGAAGCCCGAAAGCTCTATGGTCATGGAACCATAGTTGAGCGGGATGACCTTAGGCAAATATGCAGCATTCGGATGCAGTGACCCTTAGCTCAATCTGATGACATTTTCAGACAGGAAGGGTGAACTGAAAGAGCATGAAGGTCTCCCACCCCTTTAGCCGATACAAGGGCTAAGAGCAGAGCTGTCTTATAAGACAGATGCTTCATACTGATCGATTCAATAGGCTCAAATTGGGGACCACACAGGGCCTCCAGCACCAAAGCGAGGTCCCAAGAAGGGGCAGACGATCTAATAACGGGTATCAGTCTGCGAACCCCTTTCATGAACCGAACGGCTAAAGGGTGAGCGCCAGGAGAAACTCCATTAAAAGATTCATGGCAAGCCGAAATGGCTGCCAGGTAGACTTTTAAAGTGGGGAATGACACGCCCTTGTCCAGCAGATCCTGTAGAAACGACAGAATATCCACAGTGGAGCTCTGTGAGGGAACTACTGACCTGCTTAGACACCACACTTCAAAAGCCTTCCACTTATAGGCATATAAACCCCTTGTAGAGCATGCTCTTGAGCTCTGAATAGTTTTCACCACAGCAGGGGGAAGACCTTTAGCTAACAGGTTGGACCTTTCAGTAGGTAGGCCTGCAGCTTCCATAGATGAGGGCGAGGGTGCAGCACTTCCTCTTGTGCCTGTGACCGAAGGTCCTGTCCGATGGGGAGCTTCCATGGGGGGACTATCATCAGACTGATGATCTCCGGGTACCAAGACTTTGTGGGCCACTGAGGGGCCACCAAAATCAGAGATGTGCTCGACTTGTGCACTCTCTCCAGTACTGCTGGAATCAGTTCCACCTGCGGAAAAGTGTAGAGGAGAACGTTGGGCCAAGGGTGCGCCAAAGCATCCAATCCCATTGGAGCTGTCTGGTCCGTCAGGGAAAAGAACAGGGGACAGTGTGTGTTTGCGCTTGACGCAAACAGATCCACTACTGCCCTGCCAAACCTCAGCCAAATCTGGGACACCACCTCGGGGTGGAGCCTCCATTCCTTTGTCAGAGGTCCGCCCCTGGAGAGCAAGTCTTCCCCGTGGTTGAGGTACCCGGGGACATAAGATGCTCTGAGAGACAGGAGATTCAGATTGCACCAGTGCAGCAATGTGTGGGTCAGATTCAGTAGAGGAAGAGAGCGTGTTCCCTCCTGTCTGTTAACATTTGACACCACAGTTGTGTTGTCTGTGCGCACCAGCACGGTGTCCTCTCAGGTGATGACTGAAGTGTTTCAGGGCCAGAAACACAGTTAACAGATACAGAAAGTTGATATGGAACCTTGACTGGGTCGAGGACCATACCCTCCTCACCGCTAAACCCCCACACAGAGCCCCCCAGCCTCTGAGGGAAGTGTCTGTGGTCACCACTATGCGTTCTGATACCATCCCAATAGGGGAACCCGGGCTCCATGGGAGGAGAGCTACCATGCAGGCTCTGGTGACCGTCAACCTCCGGCGGAGATGAAGTGAAGGATGGAGATGATGAGAGCGGACCCAACGCTGGAAATGTCACATTTTTAACAGTCTGAGAGGCACCACGGCTATGGAGGAAGCCATCATCCCCAGCAGCTGTAGGGCTGTGCGGAGTGTCATTCTGGCTCCCAGCTGAAAGTGCGCTAAGCAACTGCGTAGCGCGGCTATTCGCTGGTCCGAGAGACGTGCTCTGCTTGACCGAGAGCAAATTTCCAGCCCGAGGAAGGAGAAACACCAACTCGGAACTAGAGAACTCTTTCTGTAGTTCATGGAAAACCCCAGGGCTTGAACGTGGGAAAGTACCCGTGCAGTGTGAGCTTCTGCCTGTGTTCGGGAACTCGCTACTAGAGCCCAGTCGTCTAGGTAAGCGAGGATCCAGATGCCCTCCTCCCTGAGGGGGGCTAGTGCAGTTTCCACACATTTTGAAGTGATGCGGAGCGCTAGAGCTAATCCAAAAGGCAGAACCATGTACTCGTAGGCCTTCCCTTCGAAAGCAAAGCGCAGGAACCGCCTGTGATCGGGGTGGATTCCGACATGGAAATAAGCATCTGTGAGATTGATCGTAGAAAACCAATCGCTGGGACTGACTGTATCCAGTAGCTGTTTGAGTGTTAGCGTTTTGAACCTGTACATGCACAGATACTAGTTTAACACACGCAGATCCAAAATAGGGCGAAGTCCGGCCCCTTTTTCGGGACAACAAAGTGGCGGCTGTACCAACCTTTATTTGTGTCTTCAACAGGGACCGCTCGAATAGCTCCTTTCAATTGTAGAGTCTGAATTTCCTCCCGTAACACGACTGCAGCGTCAGTATTTACACATCTGCACAACAGAGGTTAAAAACTGGTTGTTTGACCAGGAACTGCAGTCGGTAACCCATGGCAACCGTGCGCTCGACCCAGGGGGACACTGTGCATGCTCGCTAGAGGTGAAGTTTCGCCGCGAGGCAACCGCTCAGCGCCCTGGTGGGTGAGCTGCTGCCCTCTAGCGGAATGAGAGGCTTTCTGAACATCATGTCTGCCACCGGAGGAAAGCTGCTGTTCTCCAGCAGAGCGGGAGAACACAGCATTTCCCGCTCCCACTGAGGTCGATTGCAGACAGGATTTCATGTGAAAATTGAGCTGTCGTTCACCAGCGGAGGGGGTTGACGCAGCTTTATGGGGCCAATTTGAGAAGCACTTTTAATGCTTCTCAAACTGTGGCGATAAACAAAGTCTCTTTGGACTGTGGGCATTTTTAAATGTGTTTCTGTGCAGAAATGATACAACTTTGCTGTGCCTGAACAGCCTCGGTTTGGAGAAATGGGGTAACATGTAGGGCTGAACGATTAATTGCTTATGCAATTAAATTGGGATGTGACAAAAGGAGATTTTCTATTCGCAAAGGCTGCGATTTGACTGCCAGCGAGTGGTTAGCACAATGCTAATATACATGGAAGAACCCATAGGAATGCTAATGCTAATGTCGCCAGTTACAATCTTACAAATTATGAATTAGGAATGTGGCAAATGATTACATTTTGGAGTCTAATAAAATATAAAAACTGCCATCAATCAAATAAGCACAGATATATATTTTAGTAAAGCTAAAAAACTGTAAGAGACTTTAACTCCACAGAGTTTTAGCTAGCAGCTATGAACGTAACTGAGCTATGGAAGCTCTGCAGGGACAAGACGTCAAAAACTCTAAACACAAAAGACTTCAACAAATGGGACACACTTCTTTCCTACTAATGAATTTTCACAGTTGATACCTGTGCTCCTTCAAGGGATGTGCTCCTGGCTGCAAAGCAAACACCGACTCACAACAGCTTTATTCTCTTAAATTTCATAGCTGTGTGTGCAAATGTTATGATATAACCCTTTGCATGCATTTTACATGAATAATAATCAAATCTGTTGAATGCAAGGTTAAGTATGGCAGAGGTCTTTTTCCTTTGTACATGTCTGCAGAGGCGCCCCCAAGGGGTGGTCAGGGGTGGCCATGGCCAGCTCTAGAAAATTGCTGCCCCTCTCCAGGAAAGACCCGTGTTAATAAATCACATTAATGTTCACTCAAACCATAAATTCATCTTTATTATTCAAGACATACATGTAAAACTATGGAAATGTATACAATTATTGAGTAAAAATAAATCAGATATTTAAAAAAAAAATATATGATTCTGCTGCTCACCATAAAAAAAGTATATATATATATCCATAGTTTTTGTGAAGACAGCAACAGGTGAATTCAACTGATAAACGGGTTATTTGAATGGGAGCATTACCAGGCCCTTTGCTTCCCACAAGGAAGCATTGGTATGGCAGGCCAGGCTAAACTCTAGCCATGTGCATTATGGTCTGTGCTAACTAATGCTAATGATGCAGTGGATTTCATTTCTTTTTAAGTAACTCATGGCTATTTAGTGTATTTTACTATAGAGCAATGCTTGAAAAATGAGATTGTTGATCTGGTTTATGGTTTTACCAACTGCCAGGCCCCAGCAATGACCACCATGGCAGCGTTTCCATCCCATACGAGATCTCCATACCCAAGAGTGAAATCACTTTGCGGTCGTGCCAGGACCAGGATTACGATGCGGAGAGCCACAGCGATGTCTCATCACGGTCCAGACTCCACAACTCTTCCAGGGTGGAGACCACCACAGCCAGCCACATGTGCTGCCAGCGCAGCAGCTACAGCTTCCAGTCCGCGGACCCCACATCCTTGGACTTCAACGACCCAGAATCGGATTTCGAGAGCGGCAGCAGCACAACCACGGTCACCAGCTGGAGAAGCCAAAGACAGAGCCAGAACTCCCAGGAAGATGGCTTACCAGACACGAAGAACGTGACGGTGAGAAGCACGTGGAGGAACAGGGTTGCCATGTCGGCCAATGATGCAGGGCGAGAAAAAGTGGGAACCAGGGTGCTGATGGATGGAGGGGCTGAAGAGGAAGCAGAGGCTTCAACTACGTGGAGAGCTTATCGAGCTACCACCGTTGACACGGAGGAAACCGTAAATACTGAAGGAAATGGGAATGTAAACTCACAGAAGGGAACCAAGCCGTCACCTGCAGAGGTGAGTACATCAGGACGTACATTTCTCATACAAAAGATAGAAGTAAACCTGCAAGTTGCATCTCGTGTTCCTCTATATCCCAGATGTACATGCGGAGGATCAATGGTGGTGTCACCAACACTAAAGAGACAGAGGAGCCGGTGTTTCGCCGAGGCAGAAGGTCTCAGTCTCCCCCGATGGAAACAGGAAGAGCCGTGCCCCACGCACCGGTTACCTCTCAGTCCTGGAACCGATCGTACTCGGGACAAACACAAGTAAGACGGCTGTTAATCATCTTTATCATTATGGCTAATGTTTCTTAAAAATAATGGTATGGTTCATCTTTGAATAGGGCCTGTTCCTTGTGGTGTTGCGATGTAATATTTTCAGCGTAGTGACATCTACAGTTTAGAGGAAGAACTGCAGGATTTAGTGCAGCTCAAGGGCAAGTTTAAATTTAGCCTCAAATTTTAAAACCATCCCTCCATCCATTCTCTTCCGCTTATCCGGAGTCAAGTCACAGAGCCAGCAGCCTAAGCAGGGAGGCCAGACTTCCCATCCCAAGGTGTTCCCTGGCAAGCCGAGAAACATAGTCCCTAGAGCGAGTCCTGGGTCTCCCTTTAGGTCTCCTCATGGTTGGATGTGCCCATCTTTCCTTCATTCAAACCTTTAAACTTATGATACAAATGCAGAGGTGTGACCAAGTCAAAAGTCTTTCCAGTCAAGTCTCGAGTCAAAACCAAGTCAAACACAACCAAGTCCAAGTCGTGTCTAAAGTCAAAGATGTGGAAGTCCAAGTCAAGTCCAAGTCCTTAACTTTGAATTTTCAAGTTCTAATCAAGTCATTTGTCCAACTTCTATTTAATTACAATGATAAAAAATAAATTCCAGAAATAAAGCTTCTTGAAGCTTCGTTTATTTGTGCTGCTGCGTTTAGCAGTACAAGATCACACCCAGAACGAAGAATCATTTATGATTTTTGTCCATGTCGTGCCACTTTTGTGCTAAAATATCAAATATGCGCAAGCCATCATCAAGTCAACACATGCAAGTTGATTCAAGTCGCGAGTAATCAGCGTTCAAGTTCGAGTCAAGTCGTAAGTCTTTATAGATTTTATCAAGTCAGAAATCATTAAAGTAATGACTGGAGTCTGACTCAAGTCCAAGTCATGTGACACGAGTCCACACCTCTGTATAAATGTTACCACTTTTACAAATTTTCCACCAAAATAACTTTTTTTTTTTTCCTGAATCAGATCATTGTTGTTGTCTTAAACAAGCTGCAAGTTTAAGCTCCTGAGTATTTGCAGCACACTGTTTAGATTTCCCCTCACACGGGGCTTCGGGACTTCGAGCTTAGCGCTGCACTTTTTCAAGAGTCACTCTCATGCTGCAGTAAGCACAAAGAGAAAAGGGTTGGAGGAAAAAAACGCAGAAGGAAAACAAAAGAGGACAAAACTCCAGAGTAAAGGACACAGAATGATAGCAAAACCTCAATGAAAGAAAAACTGACATTCTCTCGTGTGTGTGCATGTTTGCCTGGGTGCATTTCTGTTCTTGTGTGAATCTTGTGACATGATTTAATTTGTACGTATGATAACAAATGAAGAACAGCTGGAGTGACATGATCTTTTACACAAATTCATTCAGATGATTTCATCCAAAACAGTGTAGAAGTGAAGAACACCGATCTCAGTGAGTTTCTGCTCAGATGCCTTTTTAAACTTCAACGTCAAACTGGCAAACTTCCTTTTGAAGTGTCATGTTAACTAACTTTTATGTCATTTTAGTTGCTTGGCAACATTTCAGTGCATTTTCAGTAGAAAACACACATCTGGAGACGTAACTGCACCCTGATTTTCCTTGAATGCCCGTGTTTATGCATCGTTTGGCATGTCTCTGTAAATAAATGGAGTTTTAATGTTTTTACGAGTCAGCAGAAGACTTCTGTGCACATGAGAGGTGTCTAAGGACTTATTCCAGGCACATGAAGTCTGTAGCTGCAGACTAGGACTATTCAGAGAAGAGTGTTCTAATGTTTATTTACCAGATCAGAGAAAAGACGTCTTGTTTATGTTTATGTATTTAGCAGACGCTTTTGTCCAAAGCGACTTACAAGTGATAATCGGCATATTGCCCTTGAGGCTAACAACAACAACTTTACATCAGTCATGGAGAGTAGGGAACAAGGAGTGGACAGTAGAGAGGGGGACGGGTGCTAGTTTAGAAGATGCTCTCTGAAGAGCAGGGTCTTCAGGAGTTTCTTGAAAATTGAAAAGGAAGCCCCTGTTCTGGTAGTGCTTGGAAGGTCATTCCACATTTGTGGAACGATGCATGAGAAGAGTCTGGATTGTCCTGAGCGTGGTGTAGGCACTGCCAGTCGACGATCCTGTGATGACCGGAGTGGCCGGGCCGAGACGTAAGCCTTTGCAAGAGGATTCAGTCATGATCAGTTTTATGGTTTTAGTTCATGTAAGAATTAGTAATTCCCCATCATTTTCTTTTGATTATCCGGAGCTGGATTGCTGGGGCAGCAGCCTAATCAAAGAGGCCAGACTTCCCTTTCCCTAGCCACTACAGTCAGCTCCTCCAGGAGAATCCCAGGACGTTTTCTGGCTTAACGAGAGACATAGTCCCTCCAGTATGTCCCGGGTCCTCCTAAGGTCTTCTCCTGGCTGGACGTGTCAAGAAAACTTCACCAGGAAGGCGTCCTTACCAGATGCTCGAGCCACTTTAACTGGTTCCTCTTGATGTGGAGGGGCAGCGGACCTACTCCGAGCCCCTCCTGGATTACTGAGCTTTTCACCCTAACTCTAAGGGAGAGCCCAGCCACCTTGCAGAGACAAATAATTTCAGCTGCTTGTATCCACAGTCTCACTCTTTGGTCACATCTTGATAACCATAGATGAGCGTTCGAACGTAGATCAACCGGTAAACCCCGAGATGCTGAAACGCCTTCACTTAAGGCGTTCTAACCTTTTCCGACTCAAGGCCATGGTCTCGGATTTGGAGGAGCTTATTCTCATCCCAGCTGCTTCACACACTGCTGTTAATTAGTAATTACCCTCGTTGTTTTTGTCCTGTTCCAAATGTGTACTAGGACTTCTTAAAGGTGTTAGGACACCTGTCGACACATTTAAAAACTCAAATCTGGGTTCAAACAATGTCATTTTTTAGCTACTAAAGCTTCTAATATGTTGTTAGTAGGGATCTTGTGTAAAACAAGAAAATGCTGCATTTTATTGATTTATTTAATTTAACAGAGAAATAAAAAAAAACTATTCTGTATTTCTAGCAGATAAGATCCAAACTTTCCAAAATCGCGCAATACTTGTTATGTTGTCGTGTGAGTTTCTCCCACCTTTAAGCAAGTAACACTAATTGTGAAATGTGTGCAGACACACCCAAGAAGTTCCAGCGCTTCGAGCAATTTGAACTCGCATAACATCCGATTGCAGGACTTACCGCAGAATCTATATATGAACTCTGGCACAAAAGTAGCTGAGAGAGGGAGGAAGAAAACAGATAAAGAACAGTCCTTCCTCCTGGGTGGAAAAACAGGCTGTTCTTTCCTTTTTGATCATTTATTTGAAGATGCAGTCAGATCTGATTCTCACCACTGGAGGAGATGATAGAGTAGACTTTTCCTGACACGCCCGCCATAGTTTTTGATGACATTCCACCTTGTTGATTCATGTTCTCATTTTCCTTCCTTCAGTTTAACTCTAACCACAAGCTTTCTGGAGACCGTCGCTTTGTCTCATCTCTGTTCATCATATAACGGACTGCAGTTCTTATAGCTAAGGGTGTGTAATTGGTATCAATGGCTTTAATTGAAAGCCTCTACCTCTCAATGCTGCCTTTCATTTTTAACGTAAACTTGTGTTAAAAAGCATTAAGGGTGCTTTTTGCGTCACTTTGTTAACAAAATGATGCATTTGAGGCCTTCTGCCATGGCCTGTGTGCACTCACATGTCCTTGATTTTCTTCATTCTGAGATCTGACATTTTTCTTTTACCCTGCCAAAAACCCTGGTAAACCCAACACTCTGAACTTCGACCAACAAAGAACTCCTCCTTTGATGTGGCGTATCATCGCTGACCTGATAAAACTGCTCTCTTGTTGTCACCCCGTCCATTATTTTATTCTAATTGCTGGAATTTCCCTAAAACCACTTACTTGTGGTAGAGACAATCCATTGGTTATCTCCATGCTCCATGCATGAACTGGTCACTCGGTTTAGACAGCAATTATGAGCAAAAAAATTGCCGCAATGCAAACACAAATCTTTCAAAACACAAACGGGCTTTGAAGTGTATCTTGGAGCAGAGCCTCATCTTTGGTTTGGACTTTGAGAACGTTTCGGTGGTCTGAGTAGCGTCCTTTTCCAGGAAGATTGGACAAAAACGGCAGCATTTAGGCTGATGGAAGTCATGATCAGGCCGTTGAAGGTTGTGTGATGTGTTGATGGAGAGTTGTGCTGTTGGTAAGAGCGGCTTGAACTCTATCCATCTCATAAGAACGTGACGTTTTTTTCCCCTGAAGACCAGAATCTTGTCCATCTTTTCAAAGCGATGGGACCTGAAATCCGCTTACTGTGGATCAAGTCACTATCAGTGGATCAATAGTCATCAAGGAGGAGACATGCTGAATACCTATGTAGGCTTGAACTGATTTTTATTATGCGCTGTTTTTATTCCTTCAGGCCATTTTATGAAAGATCAGTGGGGATGAGGGTGGGGTTGCTACTACTATTTGACAGTAACACTCACAAACTATGGTTTTTTTTAGTGGTACTTTAATTTTTTACTTGATTTTTACACTTTCATTCCTTTGTAGGAGAATAAGGGCCCCGATTGTCCTTTGGGATCAGTAAAGTGTTTATCAATCTCTTGATTCTTATGAAGATATAGCTTAGATGGTGAGCTGAACAACTCTTCATTTGGCTGTGATTGCAGTGTCTGTGTGTGACTTCTGTATGGATTCACAGCAGAGATGCACGTTATATTGTTATCGGCCGATGTTGATCATTAACGCATCGGCATCGGTCTGATAAGTAAAACTGGGCCGATTTTCACAACTGATGTTTATTTATTATAAATATTGTTTATTGGCTATAATGGTAGTATTAATATTAGATATTGACATTTGCGTACATGTCTTCGTTTGTTATGTAGGACTCTATTTTGTTCCACTTTTGTCGGGTTTTTTATCTTTAAAACACTGAAATATTCTGCTCTGTCGACACAGTAACTCAGGCTTGTTTTTTTTTTTTTTTTTTTTTTTTCAAATTTATTCTCTTTTTTTAAAAGACCTTAACCTTAATTTCAAATGCGTTTCTCACAGGAAATGGAACGAAGCTGCCTGAACAATTCAAATGAGTCACAAGAGGTCAGGCTGTCGCCAGATGATTTTGCTTTTTTTGTATCTTGTGATATCGTGATAAATATAGATTCAGTATTCATATGTTAACATTTTCGTCTTTTAAATAATTAAATCAAAGCTTCTAGTTCTTTCGTAACCGTGGTTAAAATAACTTTTTTGAAATTACGACTCCATCAGTCCTGCCTTTTATTGCCTAAGCCATTGCTTTAACTTCAGATGTCTTGTTTTTCAAATACTAGTAGTCTCAAATGTATAATAAAGTCAACATGGAATCAAATAATTTAGAGATTTCATAGTTTGAGAAACAAATGAAATGCTGAATAATTGTTTCATCTCTGAAGGAAGTTGCCTTTTGGCCAAAAGCACCGTCTCCCCCTGCTAGTACGTGACTAGTGCTGTTTCTCAACAGGTCGGTGCTAAAATGGAGATGGCTTGTTTTTATAGCTGTCACTCCACACCTCGGCCTGCTGAACAGAACAGCATTGTACTGCTTCCTCCCCGGTGTAGCGGTAGGAAACCTCAGCCCCTCCGTGAATCAGCTCTGAACTTATGTTTGGCAGAGGACATCGGGGCCGATACGGCTGCTGATCCAGATACCCAAACATCCTCTGCTGCGTCCAACAAACCAGACAGAGTCAGACAGGCAGCGAAGTAAAGTGTGAAATCAGCGCCGCTCTAGTTACCGTTCCCCCGATGTGACCCACGAAGACAAATCCCTCGGAAATATCCCTGTAAGCGGTGTGGGGTTTTCAGGCCGAGAAGACCCATAAAACGTTTGAGTGAGTGGCTTTTACACAGGAGTGTGGTCCTGTGGAAGAGTGGATTTGGGAACTTTGGTTGGGAATGCAATGCCACTCCCAAAAACAGACCAGAGAAGAGATTTAAAGCAGCGAGGTGATTAGTTTAGCAGGAACTCCAATGGACCACTTGTTTCGTTACCCAAACCTGCATGGTGTCAGGGAAAATCACTCCTGCCGGGCTTTTTCTTCCCTCGCCGTGCCATGCTCCGTTTGCAGAGATTGGGGATGTGTTTGCAGTTAAAGGAGAACCCGCTTTTCCAGTTTATCTGGCTCCAAATCATTAGATACAAACTGAAGCTCGTCCCTAAATCATTTATGTAATTAATTTTAAGCCACAAATATGCAGCACGGCCATGTCTTCTTTGCTGCTGCTGGAGGTTTTGCTTTTGCTACTAAAGGTGTCTGTAGTGTTGTCCCAACACAAAGCTCCTTTTCCAGGAAGGCTTCTTGCAGCAGTGGGTTACCAAAGAAGGAGAACGTGCCCCCATCTGTTTCCTCCCTCGGTGACTAGAGCAGGAAGTGACCACACTGAGCGCAGCCACTTGGCGGTGTTGGACGGTGACTTATTTCCTGTCTGTTGCCCCAGGAGACTGAGAAAGGCGGAGCAGGGCTCCATTAAAGCCAATTAGTGAGACTGCATTCTAAAAGGGCAGCAGAAGCCAGCTCCAGACCTCCAAATGTCACTAATTATGGAGGGTTTTTGTTTTATTTTAAGCTGAAATTACAGGAGCAGGGTGCTGTCAGAACTGCACCGTCATCCGAGTCTCACTAAGCGGGGTTACTGAGGTTATGGGGGGACGTGCCGATGCAGCGGCCACAGACTAGGAACTTGGGTTTTATTTTCTAGTCAGCCCACTAAAATTATAAATCTCTCAGCTTGGGGTATGTTTGGGGGATTTTTGGTTGGGAATTTTTCTGCAGACTTTCTCCATTAACACGAACAGCATAGATGTAACACACTCGTGACACAAGGCGTGCTGATGCATAAAAGGGGCTAAAACCACTTTGATGATGATTTTTCTTTTAAAAATCTACTTCTATCTGTAATTGAATTTCATCCAGGCTAAAGATAACCTCCATCCCAGTTCAAATCCGAGCCTCAGCCCAGCTTCTTGGAGACGACACTCACCCAGCAGCGAGTCGCAGCACGCGGGGAGCTCCTACGACCGCTCGGCTAAGACATCAGGAGCCTCCTCCAGAGGAGGCGAGCTGTGGTCCAGTCGAAGCCAAGCGTCGGGACTTCGAAGCGGAGCAGGAAGCAGATCGTGGAGCAACCGTCAGTCTGATCATCATTAGATAAGAAGACTTATGCATTGAGAAAGCAGGTAAGGGGAGGAGGCTGCTTTTCTTTTTGGGCTCACTTTAATTAAAGGAAGAGGCGTTATTTTAGTCTGCTGCAACAATGGGAAGTCTCTAAATTTTCCATTTATTTAATTTTATGAGAAAATTTTATGTGCAATGTAAAATTTGAAACGCATCTGAAGAAATTTCCCTATGATCAATCGTTCAGCTATAATCAGTCAGCTTGAAACTTAAAAATCAGATTTATTTAGCCGTCTTTCAATGCCCCATTGCCAAGCAGCAATAAAAAAAACTTCCTGCAGCTTTAATGCGGGGGTTTGGTTTCCAGAGTCATAGGCCGTTTCTCAATACCCAAGTATGCTAGTACGTTCTTGTGTACTTGACAAGTACATTCCTAAGTACAACAGAGAGCCTGTTCTACCGAGTACGGGGGTACAAGAACGGCATTTGGAACAAAACCGTACTTCGTTACATCATGGCAACAAGCGTTGCTTTATGCTACAGTTAAAATAAAAGTCTAGTTTGTCCCTGAAGTAAATAAACAAACAACGCTAATTTCAGTTTTCTTCTTCTTTTTTATTTTTCTAATCTAGAATCGATGCATCCCTAGAAAAAAAAAGGTATTTTTTGTGAAAGTAAAACCTTTTTCAAACCCGGATCAATGTTCTCACAGTACTATGACTGGAAACCATTTCTACTTTCATCCTAATCATTCACGTACTTTGGTGAATCAGCTAATGTGCTGTTCACTGACCGTAAGACTCTTCACAATCAACCTTTCCTGGAAATTATTATTGTGATTCTTACTGAAGATTCCAGCTGTTTTCCCCATAATTAGCAGCAAATTGCCGTGTTTGTTCTTGCAAATTACGGCTATTTCAGACTCTGTTTCTAAAACTTTTCTTGGTTTTGGTTTTCTTCAGCAGCACGAGTCGGCCCAAACACCAGTCTCCCATCAACTATTGGCTGCATTATCAAACCTCCATCTCCAACAGCTACAAACCTCAAAAGTTGTGATCGTCGAGGACCAGAAACGGCAGACCTGACCCAAAGCCCCTGTTTTCTCTTCTGCTTCACGTTGGATGTATCATATGTAACTCTGAAACCTGACAAGGGAGAAGCTGGAGTGCTGGGGAGGGAGGAGGACTTCTCCAGCGTGCCAGAGAGGTTTTAAGGCCTGTTCGTGGGAGGAGGACTCGTGTGGGTTAGAATCATCGAGTCATCACTGAAAGAGACCATCTGTAGTGGGCCGCAGTGTCACGGCGAACCAAAAAATCCTAAATGTGACCAAAAACAGGAAGCGAATTACCCTCATTTTGCTTTTTTTTTCTTCCACAAACGCAAGCATGCATGTTGATTTTAGCCGTGAGGTCATTTTTAACCCGTATTGGATTTCATCAGGCTGAACATTTGCATGTTTTCAAGTAAAAAATGGAAACGCCTTGAAAGGAATTCACTCAGCATGTTTAAAAGAGCATCTCTGACAAAATGGGACCTTCATTTTGTTCTTTTGATTCGTTGTAATTCGCTTCCTGTTCTGCGTCGCCCTTTCCCTCTCCTGATCAGCCATGTCCAGTGGACAAAAATGCAAATTGCACACTACGAGACGCAACGCACATGTAGGAGAAGGCTGCTTACGACCTCAAACCATGAGGCGATTACTGCGGTGCTTTGTTCCACAGCTGTCATGGTGGATTCCACCTCTGGACTACCAGCAAATCTCACCGGACAGCATCTCCATCGCTATCGTAGATGCTGTCATAGGAAAGCGGTCCACCTTGTACGTGACTGGATTCGCCGTGCGAATCGTCCCAGATTCTGTTTTTTGGGGTTTTTTTATACTGTAAACAAGTTTGAGGCCTAAACCATCAACTCCGTGTTGGAGAGATTTCTGCAGCAGTCGGAGCCCCATAGGACCGATTCAGCCATGGGCTGGATCCAGGAAGGAGCTCCGTGCGCCGCTCGTCTGACCATCCACCTGTAACATGTATCCGTCGCTTGATTCCACTTTGACACTTTACTCTTTATGCAAGCAGGAGATTCGGCTGTCCGGTCCTCTCTGAAGGAACCGGTGACCGGAACGGCCATCGTGGTTCTGTCACAGGTCAAAGGTCAAAGGTGGTGACTAATAAGATTGTTTTTTTGGTGCAAATCTAAAATGTAACTCTCCACGAAAGCTTATTTAGATCTCATCCATGCCTTAAAGAGGTCGATTTTGCATCGTTTTCCTCCTGATTGTATTTGGTTTTGGTTTCTTCTGCTTTTCCCATTTGAAGCATTTTGATACGGAACATTGTAAAAGTCTATTTTCTTCCGAGGGAACGTTTCCTACTAAGATTCCAGAACGAGGTTCACTGAGATTTATTTTTAAAAGTCCTGCTATTGTGGATTTGGAGTTGGAGTGGATTCGTCACGGAGCAGAAACTCTCTTATTGTCAGTATTTTTGTTTTTTGTGTGTATAAAGAGGAAACAACTTCTCCCTTTAAACCAGTCCCAGATCCCCACCCCCCCATGAGCTCCTTGTTTTCTCATTTCCCAAAAGCGAAGCAGTGATGTTTTATTGGAGGGCCGGAGGCCCGTCACCAGATCTTGACAGGCAGCTCCCTGGGTAGCTGGAAGGTCAGGGGTCAGGGCTGCGTCTAATCTCGTCCTCTTCAGCTTGACTCAGGGTTTCTAAATACAGGAGCGCTTGGCAGAAGAGTCCACTTTGTGTTTAATTAAAACACACAAGGGGATGCACGTGCTCTTCTGGGGAGCAGAGCGGCCTCCTGCAGATCCTCGAGTTAGAAAATCCAGTTTGGGAGTTTCAGGAAGAGTCCACCTGTCAGAAAGTGCAGGTTTTACAGCGCTGTGGAGGTTTTCTCCCTCCTGGATCTCCAGGGGTTCAAAGCGGTGTGGCTTAAAAAAAGAGATTCGGGGCAAAGTTGAATCTCCATCCTTCACCGGTGCCTCCTTACAAGGCCCACATGCACACTAACCATACCAGACTGGAGGGCAACTGGGACTTCCATCATTACAGCTTCCTACAAAATTCATCCAAATTGGAATGTGCTGGAAAATAAGAGATCAGAATGGAAAAAAATGCATGAATTCTGGCAAAAAGTATTAAACACATCAGTTTTTGTAGTTATTATAGGTATAGTCGGAGGCACGGATCCAAACGGTGCAGCAAACAGGCGGCTGCGTCGTCTATAATCTGCACTTAGCCAGCACTTACGTTAAAACCAGAAACGCCCCGTACCCCTTTTTGAATCTAAAGTGTCATTTTGAGGCCAAATCTAAGGATTTAGAGACAATTAAACAAATAGTTTCTGTATTAAACATATTTTGCAGCATGGTTCTGTGTTCCGTCTGTTTCTGCCTTCCAACGTTGTGCCAAAGTCATTCCCAGTATTCCCAGTTTACAGACGGACCGTTTCTCTCTTTTCCTGTTGGGTTATTTTGTCTCTAAGATGCTGAAATAAAAGGGGATTTATTCACTTTGAGGGTTTTATTTTTTTTTCCTGCGTAAAAATGTTTTTATTTGTTGAACAAAAGATGTCTTATTTTCAAATCTATATTGGTTAGGTTTTATTTAAGTCCTGTAATTTTGTAAAGTGGGCCTTATTTGCTGGGATATATTGAATATTTGTCCTCTTTTGATTAAAAGATTGCTGTTTTTTTAAATTTAAATTTTTTTTTATAATGTAAGGTAATGTACCGCTACACTCCTGGAGAGTTCTTGTGTTTGCAGAGGGAGAGAGTTCATTTCCATGCGATCGGATCGATTTGCCACACGTCCCTTTTTTAATTAGATTATTCTCGTTGAGGGTGGGTGGGTGCATTCTTCCTCCCAGAATCGTTGCTGCTCTCTTCTCCCTCATGCAGTCAGGGTTTGTTCTGTTTGTAAGCGCTGCCAAAGAAAGAAGCTTGCTGCCCCCCCACCCTCTACAAGTGTAAATATGTAAAACAAATATTCTAAATGAAAAGAGGATATTTTTACTTGGATCTAGTCTGGCCTCCTCCTCCTGTTCTCCATTCATCATTTGGACTATCAACCGTTTTAGTAAGGCGCCGTCAGAACACGGATCGTGTGATTGACGACGCCGTGTGTCAGTAAAACCAGGTGGACGGAGCGAGGAGGTTATTTTTTTTTTTTTAATCTTTTCTCCAACGTGCATGTTTTAACCCAACTGTGGCTGGCGCTCTCTGCATGCAGGCCTATTAAAACTGTACAGCAGACCATATATATTCCAATAAAAATAAAAACCGACCTGTTTGTAACACTGAGTGTTAAAGACGATCATCTCTTTTATGATTTTTCTTCTCGCCAATCTCAGCAAGTTCTGATTTCACGGCCCGCTGAGGGTTTATGTGTGTGTGTTTGAGTGGTTCGAACTAGGAGAACAACAGCTGACAACGTGCAAAACCAGCAGGCAGGCAAATGAGGCAAATTGGTGGAGTTGAAAGAGGGGGAAAAACCACAAGCTGCTGTGGAATGCTACGTCAGCACGTACGTACCTCTTTGGGACGACCAGCGACGTTTTAATCTGAAACGCTCCTGATTCTGCGTTCTGCTTGTTCTAACAGTTGACATTTAGTGGTTTCACGTCAGCTCAGGCGGCCTGGTGTTTCTATTTTACTCAGGATGAGAAGTTTTTACATTTGGGGATGCACCAATATAAAAAATTTAGGGCTAATATTGATAATATTGTCAGTATGAATCATATGAGTTTATATACAAACACGTTTATGTGCTCAAAAGAATTAAGTTAACTTCAAATCAAAAGATCCTAGATCCGAATGAACGAAATGTTCTAACTAAATACTTAGTTTTTTACATAGTTGAATGTGCCGACGACAAAATCACACAAAATATATCAGTAGAAATAAAATGTATCAACCCATAGAGGTCTGGATTTGAACTCACTCAAAGGTAAAACGTAAAAACACTACAAGCTGATCCAACCTTGATGTAATGTCCTTAAAACAAGTCAAAATGAGGCTCAGTAGTATGTGCGGCCTCCCTAACACCTGGGCGTGATCCTGATGAGGTGGTGGATGGTCTCTTGAAGGATCTCCTCCCAGATCTGGACTAAAGCATCCGCCAGCTCCTGGACAGTCTGGAACAATGTGGTGACCCTTGATGTGCTCAGTAAGATTCAGGTCTGGGGAACAATTTTCCTCTTGCAGAACTGCTGACACACTCCAGCCACAGGAGATCTAGCCTTGTCTTGCATTTGGAGGAACCTGGACCTCCAGCATATGGTCTCACAAGGGGTCTGAGGATCTCATCTCGGTACCCAATGGCTGTCAGGCTACCACTGGTGAGCACATGTAGGGACAAGGGGCCCCCAAAGGAAATGCCACCCCACAAACCGGCCATGCTGGAGGACGTTGCAGGCAGACTCCAGACTCTGTCACATGTGTTCAGTGTGAACTTGATTTCATCTGTGAAGAGCACAGGGCACCAGTGCTGAATTTACCAATCCAGGTGTTCTCTGGCAAACGCCAAACACCTCATACCACCCTCACGGAGTCTGTTTCTGACCTTTTGAGCAGACACATGCACATGTGTGGCCTGCTAGAGGTCATCTTGCAGGGCTGTGGCAGTTCTCCTGTTCCTCCTTGCTCAAAGGTGGAAGCTGCAGTCCTGCTGCTGGGTTGTTGCCCTTCTGCAGCCAACATACAGATCCTGGTAGTGCCTCCAAGCTCTGAACACTACGCTGACACACAGCAAACCTTCTGACTTGCATTGATGTGCCATCCAGAATGAGCTGCACTACCTGAGCCACTTGTGTGGGTTGTAGACTCATCCAATGCTACCAGTACAGTGAAATATCTAAACATCCAGCTCAGCTTCGAGGACTGTTGTTACATCTAACATCTTTGGTCCTGAGGAAAGTGCAGCGCAGGGGGAGAACGGGGCCAGTGACGCTGAAGAATGCATCGAGCCTGGAAGTGCAGCTCCTCTGGAAAGCTTCTGGTTAACCAATTTAATCCCACATTCATCAGATCCTCCAACACTGCCAGAGACACCCCCCCCCCCATCGCTGCCTCTCACCGAAACCAAAGTGTGTGTGGAGTCGCTAAAGGGTCAGAGTCTACTGAACAGAAAACATCCAGCAGGCTTTTATCGAGTTCTAGAGAAATCAAGAACTTCAGAATCAAAAATGAATTTTTCTTTAATTAACAAAACATGACAAAAAAAATCTTAACCTGCAACAAATCTTTCAACTGTACTTTTATTACAAACTTACATCCTACGCTATCTAGCAGAAGTTGCATTAAAGAGGCGATCAGCGACGGCTTTAAGGGAACCGAGAGGACCTCTAGTGTAGCAGAAGGAACGGTCTCCCTTCCAAAGGCAGAACGAGTTTCTGTGGAGTGAACGAGTCATTTGATGCTGATTCATTCATGTTTGGCTGAAAGTTTCATTCCCATGCCTTTTAACTTAAACTGAGAAAGAACATGTTAATGAAGTTTTGATGAGATTTAAACAGATTAATTAATCTAATCTGAACAAAATGCTTCAGTGAAAACAGTCAGTAGGCTAAAGTTCCTCCACATTCACACATGGCGCCAGTTTCTGATTGATGTTCTCTGTGATGCCCGCGTTTCAGACAGGAGCAGTGGGCGGGGCTTGAGGAGGGTTGCTTGTGGCCGTGGGAGTCGCTTGCCTCGGGAGGGTGTACATGGCTCCTAGGAACTGGTCGGCGATGCGGCCAGCCTCTCGGAGGCCGCTCAGCAGGGCGCCGTGGACCGTAGCTGGGTAGTTTCTGATGGTGTGCTCACCGGCGAAGAACAGACGAGGAACGGGCTGAGAAGGAAATGAGAACCGTTATAGTTATGCCATCACTTTCCCATACTTTCCCAGATCCGCCTTCGCTCACCTGTGACGCTCCAGGTATTGCCGGGCCCGGCGTGATGGGCTGAGCCATGAGGTCGTAGTCGTTTCCAGAAGAACCTGCTGCGACATAGGAGTAGGAGCCCCTCGCCCAGGGGTCGGCACGCCAGCGAGAGACCACGGTTTCCTTTGGCTGCCATGACAACAAACAACGTTTAATTTCTGAGTTTCCATGATGAAGAGGAAAAGCTCCAGCTCCGGGCTGCATGATTGTTCTCCCGTTTGAAACCAGAAGCAAATGACTTCTAATGACGGGTGGTTTGGATGCGGTTTGCTGTGTGGTCGCTGGGAGCTGGCTTTGGAGCCCGATTCAGGAATGAATTCCACTTGAAACACAATTAAATAAGAAGGAATGCTGCGGGACATTACAGGACTGTTTCTAATGGATATGTTAAACAACCTCACAACGAAAACTTCTACACATCTGAGTGCCAGAGCCGTTGTTTTTGGTAGACGGTGTGTATACACACCTGGGGTACAGCGCTGCTTCCAAAGATTCCTTTAAGTATGGCGAGGCAGCGTCCAACAATGACATCATCGCTGATGTTCTCCATGATGCCCGCGGCTTCACCAGCCATCAGTGCGAGCAGGATCGGGGCTGAGAGTGGAGACGACACCATCTTTAGTCTTTTACTTTTGTGTATTTAAACATTAAAAACAGACGTATTAGAACTTTAACCCTATGATGCGTGACCGTGCTACCTTTATAGAGATTCCAGAAGAGGAAGAGCTCGCCCCGGCTTGCAGTGGTGGAGCCGACGTGACCAAACAGGTTCACGCTTGGATCCCAGAACACACGGTCAAAACACAGCACCACCTTGAAGAGAGAACCATAAGCTTGTATCCTGAATGATGAAGCTCCCTCTACTGGACAAATGGAGCAGCAGCAGCTAGATTGCATAATAATGCAGCACTCTTCTCTGTGCTGCAGCAGAGATCAGCTGTCCTGCTGCAGACGATGCTGAGCAGGGGAGAGGGAGGGAGTGATGCAGGAAACAAGGAGTCTCCAGCTCTACCTACTGACACAAAAACTCTGACCTGAGGATGAAAAGGATCTGATGTCCATGTTAAACTCAAGATTAATGCGTGAATTTAGACAAAAAGGAGGGAAACAGGAGCCTAGGGCGTTTGATCAAATAGCAAAACTAATTCTAGGTAATGAAGGTCAACAGAAAAAGGACACAGATCCTGAATCCAGCCCCAAAACAAAAAGAAATTTACTACCAGAGCTTTATTTAAAAAGTGATGAATCATTCTACAGAACTCAAGAGATCCAACTACCAACTACTGCAGCAGCTAAGCTACTCTAAACACGATTCAGTGTTTCTGATGACCAACCTTGTTGAGGTTCCCAAAGCCCATCCTCTGTATGGCTGACGTCTTCCACTCCGGCAGCGGGGGGACGAACTGGACCGCGGGCGGCTGCTGCTTCAGCACACCGAGGGGCAGCGTGCAGAGCACGGCGTCGCACTTATAAATAAAGGTCTGGGTGGTGGAGCGGGTGTTGACAGCTATCACCTCGCAGCCTGGAGCAGGAGCAGATCAAACATCTATAATCTTCACTCCTGATGCTAATCTCTCACCACTGTGGAAGCTGCGGGTTGGATTCCCGTACCGGATGCCGTGTATCGGACTTGTCTCACCGCCGTGTTCAGTTTGATGTCCAAACCTTCAGCCAGCGCCACAGGAACGCACGAGTAGCCGTTCCGTACAGTCAGGTGGCTGCCGGTAAACTCAAAGTCGTCATCCTGAAGAGACGAGGCATATGTCATTACCGGGTCACACTTGAGTTAGTGTTGGAGCCTGAACGGGGGGTGTGTGTGTGTGTGTGTGTGTGTGTGTGTGTGTGTGTGTGCACCTGATCCCAGTGCTTCAGAGACAGAGTGGAGAGGGGTGTAGCGTTGGCAAATTCCAAGTTGGCAAAGTGCCAGTCGAGAATCTGTCGATCCCGGGATGAGAGGTAGACATCGCTGTGGGAAAGGAAGAAGTTCACAACAGCAAGGAGACGGATCGCTACACACACAACCTCAGTTCATTCATCCAGCAGCAGCCTGATCATGACCCGACACGAACAAAACCCAAGCGTAACACTTCAGGGCACAACACCGGTAAATCAGTCGTTGCTAAGCGAGTCGGTTTAAAAAAAAAAAAAAAAAACATGTAGCCAACTGTAATTCCTCCTCCCTCATGGGAGGATTTAAGGAGTTAATAAAAAGATGGCGTTACCTGGGTGGGTTGGCCTCCAGCTCCTGCAGCTTCTCCTCCAGCTTCACCTGCATCTCTGCCAACTCATCAAACTCCTGCAGGAAGACGAGGAGATTTAAATCTACTAGGGTACATCCCTCACTAAAATTTGTATTATTTTCAAATATTTTATAAGGTGTGTGTGTGTGCGAGGTCAAAAATGAGAAGAGCAAGCAGCTTTAACGGACGGGGCTGACTGAACCTGTTCATCATTTCACCACAAGAGAACAAACCACAACCAGGAAAAAGACTAAAAAAAGGACAAAAATCTAAAACATACGGACTTAAACAGCTGTCTCCTTTAAGACGGAGTCTCATAAATCCACTTTGTGTAAACAGAGACTTAAATGTTCCTCTGAAGGTGTACACGCATACGTCTGCAGACATAAAGTCCATCAGAGCGTGAGTCGAAGCCTTCAAGTGGTTTCTCAGACAGCTCATGGATCCAGTTCAGATGCCAGCTGTGTTAAAACACACATCTGCCTGAAACACGCACACACACACTTAAACACGAAGTCTGGCACATGTTTATCCCGATCAAGTTTGTAAAATACGTCTAAACGCTGTAATTCAGTCAGAAACCACGCTTGAGGTCAAAGCTTGGTGGCTACATTTGTGGTGATTTGCTAATCAACGATAGGAAGTTTTAGTTTAAACCACGGCTAATGACACACACACACACACACACTGTAAACACAGTTACACTGATAGCCTTTAAACTGAGCGGCTCTGATTGGTGTGTGTGTGTGTGTGTGTGTGTGTGTGTGTGTGTGTGTGTGTGTGCGCACCTCTTCGGTCAGATTTCAGTCGTTTTAGAGGTTCTAGCGCTTGAGAGGAGTTAAGGTGGTTTCTGTAACCCCCAAATTCCACTACCTCCGCTCCGCTCCGGTCCGCCCCCGCCTTCCGCAGCCGCTCGCTTCCGAACTCAATTTTTACTGGTACCCGCTCTACAACGGCTCCGCTCCGGTGCGGAGACCTGAGGTGGGCAAACAAGCATGCGCGGGATTTTCGAGATCTTGCGATACAGTCCGAGCAATAAACGCGGAAGTTAGATCCAAACACCCGTTGTGTGGGAGAAGCATCGAAATGAACTGTTTAATCTGCCCTTCATTTGTGTTGAGAGATCAGCAGTGTTTGGATCAACAAAGTGTGACTACTTTGATAGTAGAAACTGTATTTATGGCTTACTTTTGTGCATTTAAAGTTCAGCTGCCATTGATAGTTGTTAAAAGTTGTTAAATCTGTGCAAATGAAACAAAAAACGCCTTTTGTTTATCGATTTATTGTGAAAAACGGAAGCTGTGCTTGCTCCTTTTCCTGTTGGGTGGTTGTGATTTCTGTCCATTTACTGCGGAGGTGCTCCGGCGTCCGGCAAAAATAGGATCGATTCTATTTTTGCCGGACGCCGGAACAGAGGGCGGCGCACGGCGCCGCACTGTCGGAGCACGGCCGCAGTAGTGGAATTGCTCTGATTGACTACAACGGGACCGATTTTGCTCCGGCGTTCGTGTCGGAGCGGAGCGGAGGTAGTGGAATTTGGGGGTAAGGCTCACCTTGCAGAGCGCAGTGAGGTCGCGGTGCTTGCTCTTCACCAGGAACTCAGCTGTGATGTCTCTTGGTGGCTTCACCTCACTGGCCTCTTTATACTGCTGATGGAGCTCTTTAACGCGCTCCCTGGTGGACACCAGCTGAAAGACGGAGGATCATGTCAACGCAGACGAAACGATTAACTCTAAGGCTCTGGACAATGCCAACGTGCAGTCACCTTGTTGAGATGATCCTTGAGTTCTTCCTGAGTCTTCACGATCTTCTTCCAGTGTTCGATCTGCTCGTCTTTGACGTGCTTCTCCTGCAGCCTGAGCACAGATCAGGTCGGTCAGACTTGACAATGCGGCGTCTTTTAAATCTGCGTTCGGGTCGCCGTACTTACTGAATGACCACCTCCAGGGCCTGGCCCAGAGAGACGGGTTTGTTGTTGAGGAAGTTGAAGTCCAGCTGGTGGCTGAGGTAAGACGTGGCTTCCAGCAGACGGTTGAACTCCTGCTCCACCATCTCATCTTTCTCTTTCGGGACCTGAACGCACAGACGACCATAAAAGAATCAGAAAGACGGACTCGACATGCTGAATGAACCAACTATAACTAACAGCTACATTATGATGCAAGTCCTGCACCTACTTACGTATTTACTGTCTTTAGAATAAGTAAAACCACCTACAAATACCAGTCACCATTAAAGCGGTCGTCCTCTAACCTGTCGAGGATAGCTCTATGTACGATCTCAGTAAAATGATTAGTTATGACCACACTAATAAACCAGAGTGGAAGTAACGGGGAACACCCTGGAGCTGTCTTTACCCATGCAGAATTAGCGTGTTGGAGCACTTTTCACCTTTCTGGATCCACATCCCTCCATAAAAAACACAAATGAGACTTTATTCTAACCTGACAATCACGTTTTCATTAAAAAAAAAATGTTTCAATCTCCAAAGAAAAACAAACATATAAATAAACATATGGTAAAAACGAGGGTTTAAAAATGTTTGTGTTTTGGTTGTGGTTCAAGACGACGTATACTTCTGCTCACGTAATGAAAGACGAGCTGCTTTATCAAACTGCTGCTATTTCCATATTTAGCATCACTAATCTCATCACAGTTGCCATATTTAGCTCTGTTGTTGTTACCTGTAACAAAACGAAGCCAAAACTGACATTTTCTTAGTCCACAAGCTCAGACACGTGTTGCAAACAGACTGTGTGAGAGCCCCGCCCCCTGGTCACATGACGCTCAGACGCTGCTCACAAAAAACCACATCATTCTACGTAAATAAGTGAATTTAATAGTGATAATTTAAGATAATGTTGGCATGAAATCCATTTTTAACAAAGGAGCTGCTTTACTGCAGCAGTGATCTACTTGGTCCCTTTCTGACTAGCTGTTAGCGTGTCAATCCCAGAGCTTAAAACTGTTTCTCTAGACTGAGGTCATTCAGATTTACAGATAAAATAACAGGAAATATGGTCGATGGTTCCAACATCTTTCACTGCAAACCTCGTCTCTAGTGGCATCTAGTTGCCCTGATGTTAACAGATGTTTTAGAACAACACCTGTTTAAAAAATAATCCACTTCACTGCTCAATATTTATATTTTCTCCATGTAAATTTTTCTCCGACTCCTACATGGATGAACAAAGATGATAAAAATGGATGGAGCTAATCATTAAAATGAGGAACAAATGTAAATAAACATATACATACACTAGTGCACCGTTCACCCTTTGGCAGTTCACCACAGATGAACATGGAGAGATAAAAATGGGAGAAGAGGGGGGGGGGGAGAGAGAGAGAGAGAAATGGGACATATTGAGTAAACAACTTGAACCTCATCTGCAAATGGATGGAGATGGTTCTACTCACAGCCTGGCCGTTAGCTTCGTACAGCGGACACTTCTGTTTAATCTTAGCCAGCTCCATGTTGACCTGCTTACTGACCACGGCCATGGGATTCCCTCCTGACCAACACAGGACAGCCATATAGAGTTAACTCCCTCTACAGGACAGCTCATGTAACCACAGAGGAATCACTAACCAGCCTTCACCCACACTGGAGACACTTTTGAAGAACATTTCTGAGTGAAGGTGAATAATTCTTACCCAGACCCGTCACGACCATAGCTCCCAGATCTGCCACATAATTTCCTTTCCTAAACGTGGCCACTCTGCCTCCCACTCGGTCCTGCAGGCAAACAGAACAATAATGTCTTCAATTCCTAAAAACAAAATAATCTCAGTTAATCTGGGTTTTAACAACAGTTCATTCTAACCTACCCTGGCTTCCAGGACTGTAACATCCATCCCAAAGCTCTGCAGCTGCCTGGCTGCACCCAGACCAGACACGCCTCCACCGATCACTATCACCTTCCCAGTTTTCTTAGCTGCAACAAGCATGAATGACATCAGCTGGTGCGCTGCTTCTTCATCAAACCTAATATTTTGTGTAATCACACAAACTTACTGGGTAGAGGCTTGACTCTTTTGTAAACACCAAAGTTAATGAGGCCGTGTCGTTCTAAGTAGCTGTGTATCCTGTGAACCAGCACAGCGTCACCTAAAAAGGGAAAAAAAAAAAAAACCACTCAATACAATTCTTAGAATAAACAGATTAAAGCAGCAGATGACGTTTTAATTAAATATCCTACTGTTGTACGGAGCTTCAAGCTGTTGTGCTGTAGCCTCAAAGGTTAGCTGAATTTTAGGGTTATCCAGCCACAGTTGGATCTGGATAGGATTAGAGATGTAAACACATTTAACCCTTCCACTGTCTTATCTGGTGACCTCGCCAGGAGAGTTGACCATTGAGCAGGATTGATGGTTTATCCCTTGAGGTCCACAAAGCAGGGGTGATGTTGTGCTCTGCCATGTGGACCTCAAGAGATAAGCCATCAATCCTGCTCACTGGTCACCTTTCCTGGCGAGGTCACCCGATAAGACAGTGGAAGGGTTAAAAACAGCAACCCTGTGTTTTTCTGTTTCGAAATGAAGAACGCATGAACGCTGGTACATACCGTACGGTTCCTGATGTACAGGAAGACCTTTTGAGTCTGCTGGGGACCACTGATGATGTCAGGGAAGCAAGCAGCCTCCTGAGACGTCATCCTGTCGTGAGGAAGGCGGCTCTGGAAAGCAGCTCCTTCCAGACCTGCAAATCAAAACACATACTTCTACACCCTGAACAAAGCAAGGTTTAGCTTTAACAAGTGATTTAAAAGCTAAAAACTCTTTTTCCAAGTGTCCCTCTCACCCGAAGGCTCTTCGGGTTCACTGTCATTTTCTTCTTCAGGTGGCGGAGGAGGAGGAGGAGGGAGGACCTGCTTCCTTTCCTTCTCCGCCTTGGCATTCCTTTCCTCCTCCGAGTAGTATTCATCCTCCGATAGATTGGCCAGGCTTTCGTCCATCTCGCGGTACTCCACCTGCAACATTAGGCACAATAAAAGCACCAATAAAACCAGGATTCATGATGCCCCGGGATTTCTTTAGCCGCAGTCCTGCAAAAGACATCACAACACATCAGTGTGAACCAAATAAAACATTTATAAGAAAAGTTAAAAAAAAAAACTAAATCCATCTCGCCAAAAACTTGTAGAAATCTAAAATGTTTACCTTTTGCCGCTTGCGCCGACTCGTTCTACGGACTTCAGCTGAGTCCGGGTCCACCCCCCCAGGACCTGACTGGTGGGGAAAAGGAGCTCCACCAGGTTCCCCGCTAGGGGATGACCTGTCCTTCTTCTTTGCATCTACAGCCCCTGATGCTGAAGCTAACGGACCGGTCTGAGCATCAGAAACCAGAGCCCTTTCACCTACTGCTGCTCCAACAGAGGATGAGGATGAGGAAGATGAGCCAGCATCTGATTTCTTGCTAGACAGCATTATGGAAGATGTTGGAGGCCTCTCCTGAATCGAATTAAACCAGGCAGATTATTAGCACAACTGTACTGAAAAAAATGTGAAATGATGAAAAAATGTTGGAATATTAATGTATTTAAAAAAAAACTACTTAAAAAACTACATTATTTGATGTAAAATGACAGTATGGGTTGAGTACCAGGAACAACAAAAATCTTTATTTACAGCACTAAACAGAAACAGAAATTTCATGGGGGGATGAGAATTTGCAAAGGAAATAAAACTATTTTTTACTATCAGGAATTATGTCAGCGTGTCACATGTCTGCCAACAACTACTCACAATTAAACACAATCCTGTCAAATGACACTTATTTGCATGAGGATGAACTGAGTTTGTTTAGCAAGATATCCCCAGTCTGGGGCTTGCTGCAGTAAAAGCATCCTAGCTAGCTGGGAGAGATGCATAAAACACATCAGATCTGATCATTAGGTGATGGACAGAACATTAACTAAGCATGAGAGAGGTGGTTTTATGACATGGATGCTTCGATGTACAGTAACCTTGTCTTGTTTTACCCATTTCTCCGTACACCTGGTTATATCCATTCAAACACTAAGAAACGAAGACAGAACCAGAGATATGATTAAACAAACTCAACAAATGTTTTGGCCTCTTGGCATTGGATTAATCTTAACTTACAGCCCGATTTAATGTTAGAAATCGGCAGTCTGTGGCTCACGTTTTAGAAATATAAATGTTAGCTAAGAGCATGTAAAAGAAAAAAACCTGACGGGTTGGTGTGCGACAAAGCTAGCGGTAGAAGCTAGAAGTATGTGGTTTGTTGTTAAATGCATGCTTCACACCACACATAAAAACAAACACCGCAATCGCAAAACCATTCGTAGCACAAACAAAACCCTCCATCCGTTTAAAATCCGTTTAATAACAGTCGACCATGCTGTTAGCTAACGCTAACAATAAGCTGTAGCTAGCACGGGAACAGGTGCGCCGGTTTAGCAGCGAAAGAGGTATATAATGATGGACTTGTAGCTAAATAAAAGGAGTATTTTCCTTAAATCTAGAAGAACGGCGATGGAGATAAGGAAAAATACGGAAAATACTGATAATACCTCTCAAACCCCCGCAGACGTCAACACAAAGACGACACAGTTGCAGACCATCGATGAAAGAACCCCTCTCTGATTGGTCAGTGGGAAAGTTACGCAAAGCCATTTAGCGATATGATTGGTTGAATCTTACAAACCTGGGAACAAACCGGTGTAATGCCGAAAAAGTAAACCCAGTAGAACGGGAAAGGCATTTTAAGGCGCCCAGCTTTTCTATTAACAAATAGGATTAAAAAAATGTCAAAGTGTAATTTAAGCTTTTAATTTTTAGTGAATATTTTAAATGCAATCTTGAAAATTTTTAAAATTTGCTTTAAGTGATGGTTTTAATTTGTCCGTGGGGTGCTTGCAGGCAGTCCAGCATGCCATAAACACGAGCTACAACCAGGTTACATCATAGACGTCAAAACAGCATATCCTTTTATAAATATGTTATAAATAAGAGTGAGAAATAAGATGCTATTTGTAACCTTTAACTTTCACTGAACTTATTTTTTTAGCAAAACAGCATCTGAGTCCTCTCCACCGGGGGGGGGGGGGGGGGGGGTGTTGTGTAAGGGTCCCTTTTGAGGCACAACACCCAATTGTTCCTCGTTTTCTTTTAGTTTGCGTTTAAACGTATTTAAAGTAAACATTTGTATTTTGTTTAGAATATAGCGCCTCAAATTAGTTGTGATTATTTGCTGCCAGCTGTTTGGGAGTTCCCGTGATTGTTTTTCCGCTGTAAAGAAATTTGATCTGATTGACCCTGACGTCAGCCTGAAACAACAGGAAGAGGAGGTGAGGCAGTCAGGTAAAGGTGAGCTGCTACATCGCACCCACCCAGGAAAGACTGTTGGTGTTTTGTTGACTCTCTTTGATTTAAATTTGGCAAGGCTGTGTGTAAGTAACCACATTTGTGTGATCATTAACTCAATTATTACCTTAATGAACCAAAAATTGATTGAAAGTCAGATACTGAGTTTCACTCTTAATTAACCCAGGTGTTTGCTACGTATTAAATTACCACAGTGTTTGTCTCGAATTTAAATCCTACAATGGGTGGAGTTTATTAACCGATCGGCTTGGTGAAACTTGTTGATTTACATTAAACATAAAGTAAAAGTCAGGCTATAAAATAAAAGAGTAGTCTATTTCATTGAAGTACTGGGAAAAAAACTCACTCATATATTTTTCTGGTCAGTGTATTTGTAAAACAACCGTATCGGTGTAAACTAAAAGCAACAACAGATTTTGGAGCTAACAAGGATTAATTCTGACAGAACCAAAGACAATGGTGAAGGAAGAGGAAGACTCATCCAACCGGCCTGACAACACCGCCTTCACCCAGCAGAGGCTTCCAGCATGGCAGCCCATTCTTTCTGCAGGGATCGTGATCCCAGGGTTTGTCCTCATTGGCCTGGCGTTCATCGGCATCGGCGTGGGTCTGTTTCTCACTTCACGGGACATTCAGGTGTTGGAGGTAGGACAGCAACATTCAAAAGCACACATAGTTTCTGAGAATGAAAATATTTGAGATGTCCTAGAAGGTTTGTTTCTGATGATTGATGAGACTGTGTTTGGTCTTTCTGGCATAGATGGATTACACTGGGGCTGACGGGAGTTCACCCTGCAGCGTTTGCTATAACCTAGCAGATAAAAACTGTGTTTGCACCATGAGCTTCTCTATTGACTCTCTGATTAAGGTTGAAACAATTATTCACCATTGGTCAAATTAAACCCAAACCGTTTTTTAAATAATCTTCAAATGCATTCTTTTTGTGTGTGTGTGTGTGTGTGTGTGTAATCCTGTTCGGCTCAACCACAGGGACCTGTTTTCTTTTATTACGGCTTGACCAACTATTTCCAGAACCAACGGAGGTACGGCGTCTCCAGAGATGACAAACAGCTGTATGGAGACACGAGTAATTTCGCAGTAAGATAACCCCAAATGCAAGATAAAATGCACATCCTTTCTTACAAACCTTAATCTTAAAACTGTTTCTCTCTTCCCAAGTCTCCCAACAGCGAATGTGCACCCTATCAGTACATCTCCAACGTTCCAATTGTGCCATGTGGCTCGGTAGCAAACAGCATGTTCAATGGTACACGCTGGAAAAATGAACCATTTAAGGTGAAAAGCTGCATGAAGTGCTTATTTTATTTTATTTTCTTCAAAGATACCTTTGAGCTGTTTAAGAACGTCAATGGCCAGTCATTGCCGGTGCCTCTAGACGGTAAAGGAATCGCTTGGTGGACGGACTACAACGTAAAGTTCCAAAATCCGAATGTCACGCCTCTAATTAACGCCTTCAATGGTTGCGACTTCATTATATTTTCCCCTATTGGGTCATAATTTGTTATGTTTTTTTGAAAATTGTAAATGGAGCCTTTCCTTTGTTTTTTTTTTAGGGACTGTCCGGCCCCCGTTTTGGTCAAAGAACGTTTACGAGCTGGACACAACCGACGCATCAAACAACGGTTTTATCAATCAAGACTTCCTGGTCTGGATGAGGAGAGCAGCCCTGCCAGATTTTCGAAAGCTGTATCGACGGATCACAGATGGGGACTACTCAGCGGGTCTACCAGCAGGAAACTACAGCCTTAAAATTCACTACAGTATCCTTACAGATATTTTACAGATTTATGAAGGTGTTTAAAGGTGACTGAAGTAGGAATGACCTCCCGTGGTCAAATTTGGGTAGCTGACGTCCGTGTTTAAAAACAAATGAGTCTCTCTGACCCAATTCTCACCTCTGAAGTGCACTTGGAGGAAGTGTGCAGTAACCCCTACTACCTACGCCGATGCTTCCAATGTGCGTTAGGGTTAAGCTTTTGAGTGCGCAGTACACAAGTGTGCAAATAATTGCCAAATTGGGAAGGTGAGCATTGAGTAATCGACCGCAATCCATCCTGGTTGCTGTTTGTGCTACCTTTTTAAAAGATCTTTATTAAATGATAATGACCCACACTTGTGTAGCGCCTTTCAGAGTCAAAGGACTCCAAAGCACTCTACACTACAGTGTATCATTCATTCATTCATACACTGGTGGTGATGAGCTACGATGTAGCCACAGCTGCCCTGGGGCAAACTGACAGAGGCGGGGGCGCCACCGGTCCCTCTGACCACCACCAGCAGGCAAGGTGGGTTACACGTCTTGCCCACGGACACAACAGCAGAATTCTCCGTCTGGATCTGGAATCGAACCTGCAACCTTCCGATTACCGGACAACCCGCTCAACCAGCTGAGCTACTGCTGCCCCTTAATAACTTTAAAACAAGCAATTATTTGACTAAATTTACATTCATTGCCATCCACATTAAATCTTAGTCTAAAATATTCAGAGCATGGATAAATATCTTTCATTGTCTTAGAATTAACTTTGTTCATTTGAAAACGCATATTTGCAGAAGAAGGCGTTCAAGCCATTGCTCCGCCGCCTTCTCAAAATTCCCATGGATTAATGGATTGTAGGTCATACCCTTCGCCGAAGTGGGCATCGATGTGGACTTCAGCTAAGTGCAGATCAAGTGTGCAAAAGGGTGTTGTCAACTTCCACACTTGAGAAGGACACCCAACACACTCGACTGACAGCTCCATGAGGGAGACACACACACACACACACACGAGACGTTTTGCTCTCTGACTTCTCCGTCTCCCGGAGAGCGTTGCCAAGCAATTCCCTGCCAGGACAACAGAGGGCGTAGCGCTGTTCTGGGGTATCCTGTCATGTATCCAGTACTACTGTGTTTATATTGTGTTTTTGTATTTGAGAGACTTAACGCAGATAAAATTTGTCCCTCATCCTCCTCTTCATACACTCGCCACATCTAAACCCACGTTTCCCATCATTTTCATCCTCGAGTAAAACGCTTGCTGTGTTATCTTTTTACTCCTCCACTCACGGGTGAATAAAGCTTTGATATTTTTTAGTTTTCCCACGAGATATTCTTCAAGCTGCTCCGTGTCTGCCGGCTAGATATCTTCGGCTTTCCTTTTGTTTTTGAGGGGGCAATGGCGGCGCTGTAGATGATGGTGGCTGTTGATGCCAGCGCTGCAGCGTTAGCTCGGTGCAGTCTTGGGAACCCAGCGGGCTTACAGATGGTAAACAAAGACAGTGTCCCTCTTTGGCCTTTTTAAAAAGAGAAAATCGGACAACCCCTCCAGCTTTCTGAGATTGAAATCTGCTAAAGTAACTTTCCTTCCAGCATGATTGAGACATTAGCTCAGTGGTCTAGTGGTAGTGTCCACCCTGAGACTGGGAGATCAGGGTTCAAGTCCTGGTCGGGTCGACCCAATGACTCCTTGATTTACACTCAGCTTTGGGGGGGGTTAAACCACCAAATGGTTCCCGAGCACGATTGTGTCTGCAGCTCACCACCCCCCCCAGGGGATGGGTCAAATGTGGAGAACAAATTTTGCACACACATCGGTGTGTGTTGCAACTAATGGGACTTTGATTTTAATTGCTGTTTTGTGATTATTTCACTGTAAATTCTTACTTATTGTACCTGTAAATAGAAATGATCAGCTTCATCCCTAAACTATTGGGTCAGATGAATACCAAAGCTCTAAGAGTTTCATGAATGAGGCTTCACGGTCCAGCCACAGAGCAGCCTCGGCTCGTGTGACTGGTTAGGTTGCTTCAGTCTTTTAAATGATTTGAACACAACGACTTAGGAGCTTTTACAGGAGCAGCAAGACATGCAAATCTTCTGTCATAGGAAAACAAGATAAGTAAATTATGGTCTTCATCTACCCAGAAAGAAACTATGTAAATGAGACTCGACTGCATTTTTAAGCTTTGCACTTTTGACTAGATATTTTGATATATTTAACAGAAGGATCTAAAAGTGCTTATAGAAAGATCATTTGTCTGTGCATTTTGCACGTTGTGCAAGTTAAATAATATTTGCTACAATACCAGTTTGTGAATGCACAAAGGTTTAGTTTTAATATAAAATCAAATCAAATTTTATTTGTAGAGCACTTTTCATAATAATCAGCACAAAGTGCTTTATGTAAAAAAAAAAACGCATCAAAATTCCACAGCCAGTTCAAACTCCTTGCACACACCTTAACCCTCGCCCCCTTCACTGCACACCAGGCAGCACAATCAAGTTTGTTAAAGTTGAAAAGTTAAAGGTAAAAAAATGCTGTGAAAAAATGAGCTAAAAATTGTTCAAATATATCAATGAAAAGCTAAGTTCAAAAGGTAGGTCTTGAACCTCTTTTAAAAAAACATAAGTACTTGCAGCAGCTCCGAGGCTCTCCGGCAGACTGTTCCACAGACGAGGGCCATATAGTGGGAAAATGATGCTTCGCTGTAAGTTTTGGTTCTACCTTTTGGTTTGACTGAAATGCCAGTACTGGAGGACCTCAGGGAACACGGGGTTCATAATTTAAAAGGTCTGCTAAATGGGAAGGTCCAAGACCATGGAGACATTTATAAACTAAGAAAAGAACCTTAAAATCAATCCTAAAATGTACAGGAAGCCAATGCAGCGATTTTAAAATGGGTGTAAAATGTTCCTGCCCTCTGGTCCTGGTCAGCACACGTGCTGCTGAATTCTGGAGTAAGTGTAAGTTCCAAATACTCTTTTGGGGTTGACCAGAGAGCAGGGCATCACAATAATCAAATCTACTTAAAATATAAGCATGTATTAACACCTCTGCTGGCGAGAGAGAGAGAAATGGGCGGACTCTGGTTATGTTTTTATAGCCTGACCTGCTAGATTCTTCCTCTGTTGAATTCTGCACAGAGAAAGAATTAAACAGAGGAGTCTGGCAAGCCAGGCTAATATTTTTAGGTGATAAAATCCTATTTTGGTTATAGTTTTGGTATATGGAATAAAATTAAGCTCAGAGTCAAAGAGGGCACCCAGATTTCTCACTCAGTGAGAAGGTTTGAAATTGTGTAGTTCTGCAAAAAGGATCTCTCGCTTGTTTGCAGGACCGACGATTAAAACTTCAGTTTTGTCCGGGTTGAGCTGTAAAAAGTTTTGTCATCCATGACTTTATATCTAAAATACAGTTTAAAAGTAAATTTACTGGTTTGATGTCATCAGGGGACACTGCAATGTGAAGCTGTGTGTCATCAGCATAGCTGTGAAAATCAATGCCTTGTCTCCTGGTGATGTCTCCAAGTGGCAGCATGTAGCTTAAAAAGTGTTGGGCCTAAAATCGGTCCTTGGGGAACCCCACACTTCATTTCATGGGTTCCTGAGGATTAGGTATCCATACTTATGAAAAAGCTTTGATCTGTGAGATAGGAGTAAATGGGACGGTAAAAGAATGTTTACACAATCCATGCTTTAGTGGTCTTTGCAAAGCCTTAACATTTGTCCCTCAGACTATCCTGTGAATGGTTTTGGTGGGAAAAAGAAGGTGGTGTTCAGCAATGTCAGTTGGATGGGTGGAAAGAACGAGTTCCTGGGCATCGCCTACCTTGTGATTGGATCCCTGTGTGTCGTCATGTCCGTAGTTATGCTCATCGTCTACGCGAAGTTCAAGTTCCCTGAAGACAACTGAGTGTTTGTTTAGGGATGGGTGTTATTAGAGGATTCCCAGTCTTTTTTTTTTTTCTTTCTTTCATAAAGAGGATTAGGTTGGTGCTCACACATATTGTCTTAGGTACTGATCTGAATAAGCTAGGCATTCATTTTATTGTGCGTATTTTACCACTGGAGCTTTTACGACATCTATATTATTCAACTTGTCTGCCGTATGTCTTAGAAAAGTGTAAAAATAACAGTAAAGTTGGGGAATTTTTGTTTTTAAAATTTTTGTCCATTTACATGGAATGACTTTGAAAGGTCAATCAAGTTAAAGCCATATTTTACATATGAAGCCATTGACGCTGGTCAGACTGTTACCTTTTAATTGTAACTTTCTGTACATTTTGTAAATATGCAAATTCCAACTCAGGGATACGGTTTGTGTTTATTTAAAGCATTTTAATGTTTGAAATTTGAGTTTTTACTTTATGATGTAGATATTTCTTGAATTAAACATCAAAGCTATTGTTTCATTTCTGTTGGTGAATTCTGGAAACTTGGTCAAAGGTGTGATTTTGAAAGTGGACGATCTTTACTCTGTATTTTCTGATTCTGTTTGAGTTTTCTCCTTCTAAGTTTGTAAATTGAAGACATTCTGAATTAACTCATCCTTAAATGATCAGACAGCGCCAAGGTTTTGAACATCATCTGGGATATGTGGGTTGGGTGGGGGATAAAGCAGACTTAATTTTCCCTTTTCCTTAATTAATTAGGATTAAAACATATCAAAGAAATTTATAAAATTTGAAAAAACTTATTTTTGTGTACTTAAATTTTACGTTTCACTGCTGATCATTATTTCACAGTAGCTTATAGCAAACAGGTGGCTGTACAAGTGGTCGTTGATTTAATCTTTAACACAGATAATTAAGATTTTTTGAGTTTTAGTAGCTCTGGCTTTCCCGTTATTTCGACTCACTATGCTGTTAACTCCAAGTTAAAATTGAAGTAATTTTTCAGAGGTTAGTTTTATTTTGAAAGAATGTATAGGAAGTGCTGATGAGTTATGCCTTGTTTAGCTTTATGACTTCTCCCTGTAGTAACCGCTTCTTTACAGCAGAGGGCGGAAAAATCTTAATTTTTGAAAGCTGGATGCTAAACTAAAGAATTGAGTTTTCGTGGTGTTTCCATCCAGTTATCCTAAATGCAAACATAAAAACCCTTAGACAGAAAATGTTAAATGGAAATGTTAAATCAAACAAATTAAAGGTAATTAAATTAAGTTATTAGACAAAGAACAAGGTTGGTACTGTTAATTGGGTTTTTTTACAAGCAAATTAATCTCAAGCATAGTTGAAAGTTCTTTTGTATAATAAGTAAACATTACATTTTCAATAAAGGAAAATCAAATATAACGGGCTTTTGTATAAATGAGATTTAGCCTACTGTTTGAGATGACAGCCTCATCATCTAAGTTTTGAAGTTTAATTTGTCAGTCTAACATAAGACATATCTTTTCTTAAACCATAACTATTGCGTCCAGAAACACGTCTAATGTTACATTAGTGATATTTTTAACCAACGGGCTTTGTAAATAGTTGTCACAAAAAGTGCCAGATAAACAAGCCTTGCAAGTTGGCATTTACATTTCGTCACAACAATAATAAATATATAACTAACACAATAATTATATAAATAAAATATACAAATGAAATGTTTTCAAATGTTCTTCATAATAGGCTCAAACTTGCTGCATCATTGGCGACTACTCCCTTTCGCCCTCTATTGGCCATTAGTGGTTCAAAAAAAGGAAGACAAAATAGTACTATGGGTATTGTAGTTTTTACCTCAGAGCCCATTTGAATTTACTCATCCAATAAACTACTAAGACCACAATCCTTTGCGCAAATAAAAGCGGCTGTCAACTGCGGCGACTTGACTGCGGTGGACAGCTAGCTGTAGGCTTGTCAAACCGGCGTCGTTAGCTTTGTTTCCTTTGTTCGTTTCCACTCAGCATTTAACTGGTGTTGACTTAAAAAGTAAAAATGTCCGACGGCGGGGGCACGGAGGAAGGCTCCGGCACCATTGAGGTGTCGGCCGTACAGACGGTGGCGGATGCCTCGGTGCTGCAGAAGCACCTTCGGAAGCTGGTACCGCTGCTGTTGGAAGATGGCGGCGAGGCCACGGCGTCACTGGAAACCGCCTTGGAGGAGAAGAGCTCCGTGGAGCAGATGAGGAAGTTTTTGGCCGATCCACAGATTCACACAATCTTGGTGGAGAGAAGAAGTGCTCTGAAAGGTACTCGGTACTCTTAAATACTGGTACTCTTTCTGTGCAAATAAACGTTTTAATTTTATTGCCATGTTGGAATACGACTGGCTTAAACACGCTAAAAACGTGCTTATTTTATCAACCGTTATAATTATGAAGTTGCTGCGCCACACTGGGTTTGATGGACAAAACAAAGCCTTAATAAACGCTTGAAGTCAGCTGATTGTTGTTTTATGGCCGGCTGTTGAATGTTTCGGATGACGTGATCCAGCATTTATGTTTATGATCATTTTGGTGATGCCAACTGGAAAACGGGTGTAGAAGCAACCCAAAGGCATTTTAAGGCCCAAAAATAAGTCCTGTAGCACCTAGTGTGGTTTTATCATGTGAGCCAGTTTCTCAATAGGCCCATTGTGTTCCTCCTGGCACTCACAGCGGAACCCTTCTAAGCTGTTTTTGCTTTTTATGTAAACTCTAAAAATGTATGTTTTGACCACGTGACCAGACAGCATGCATGTGTAGGATCCTAGTGTTTGCAGATTGTTGTTTCTCTTGGATAATTAAGTGTGACAATGAAGGAACTGACCATCGGATGAGGTGTCTGTTTAAGTTAGAATTTGTTCATCTCGCAGAGGATGTCGGAGACGAAGGAGAGGAGGAGAAGGAGTGCATCACCTACAACATCAGCATCGATATACACTATGGGATCAAATCAAACAGGTAAATGATTCCTCTCTATTACATGAGGGGACGAAATTTGGTGATGTGATGAAGGTTGGATTAAACAAATGTGCATTTCTCCTTACGTCTGCAGCTTGGCTTTGATCAAGAGGACAGGCGTCATTGATGCAGACAAGCCCATATCCACTCAAGTCCGAGTGTTAACCCTGAGCGAGGACTCCCCCTATGAGACCCTCCACTCTTTCATCAGCAACGCTGTTGCTCCTTTCTTCAAATCCTACATCCGCGAGTCTGGCAAAGCAGATCGGTAATAAAATATACGTAGTTATCATTTCTGATCCCTGAGCTTTAATAAAGACCGAGGGGATTTAACCGATCATACAATATCCTGTTAGAGATGGGGATAAGATGGCTCCTTCTGTTGAGAAAAAGATTGCGGAGCTGGAGATGGGCCTGCTCCACCTCCAGCAGAACATCGAGATCCCGGAGATCAGCCTGCTCATCCATCCCATCATCACAAACATCGCCAAGCAGTGCTACGAGCGAGCGGAGAAGCCAAAGGTCACAGACTTTGGGGACAAAGTGGAAGACCCCACCTTCCTGAACCAGCTGCAGTCTGGAGTGAACCGCTGGATCAGGGAAATCCAAAAGGTGAGATTTTAGGAAAAGCATGTAGGGCAGTGAGTGAATGGGGGATCTAGCGCGATTTACTGCTTGTTCTGTCACAATCCCGCCAGGTCACGAAGCTTGATCGGGATCCAGCCTCGGGGACCGCCTTGCAGGAGATCAGTTTTTGGCTGAATCTGGAGCGAGCTCTCAACAGAATCCAGGAGAAGAGGGAAAGCCCTGAGGTCCTGCTGACTCTGGACATCCTCAAACACGGCAAACGTTTCCACGCTACTGTCAGCTTCGACACGGACACAGGTGAGCAGCGAACCGTTCTTTTTCCGGACACCACTTGGGAGTAATTTAAGAAATTTGATCCAACTGAGATCATTTTTCTATCTTCGTAGGTCTGAAACAGGCGGTGGAAACCGTAAACGACTACAATCCTCTGATGAAAGACTTCCCACTTAATGACCTGCTCTCTGCCTCTGAGCTTGATAAGATCCGCCAAGCCCTCATAGCCATTTTTACCCACCTGAAAAAGATTAGAAACACCAAGTATCCTATCCAGAGGGCACTGCGTCTCGTGGAAGCCATCTCCAGGGACTTGAGCTCCCAACTCCTGAAGGTGCTGGGTACCAGGAAGCTCATGCATGTTGCGTACGAGGAATTTGAAAAGGTTTGGCTGAGTGCATTTTCTCTCTTTATACTCAAAGCGATTAAAATCCTCATTAAATCTCTGTGGTTTTTGCATGTGCAGGTCATGGTGGCTTGCTTCGAGGTGTTCCAGACCTGGGAGGATGAATACGAGAAGCTGCAGGTGCTTCTGAGAGACATTGTGAAGAGGAAGAGGGAGGAGAACCTGAAGATGGTGTGGCGTCTGAGCCCCGCCCACAGGAAGCTCCAGTCCAGACTGGACCACATGAGGCGTTTCAGGAGACAGCACGAGCAGCTGAGGGCCGTCATCGTCCGCGTGCTCAGGCCTCAGGTGAGTTACTTTTATTGACGTTAAACCGTGACTTCATCTCCTTGTTTTGGTTTCATTCAGTGACCATGTCGTTTCCAGGTTTCTGCGGTGCCACAGCACGCCGCAGGAGAGCCCGTCGAGCCAGAAGACATGAAGGTTGCCGGCGTTCTCTTTGATGCTGCCGATGCGAACGCCATTGAAGAGGTCAACCTTGCATACGAGAACGTCAAGGAGGTCGACGGCCTGGATGTGTCTAAGGAAGGCGTGGAAGCCTGGGAAGCTGCCATGAAGCGCTACGATGAGCGCATCGACCGCGTGGAGACCCGCATCACCGCCCGCCTGCGTGATCAGCTGGGAACCGCCAAGAACGCCAACGAGATGTTCCGCATCTTCTCCCGCTTCAACGCGCTCTTCGTGCGCCCCCACATCCGAGGCGCCATCCGGGAGTACCAGACGCAGCTTATTCAGCGCGTGAAGGATGACATCGAGTCCCTGCACGACAAGTTTAAGGTCCAGTATCCTCAAAGCCAGGCCTGCAAGATGAGTCACGTTCGAGATTTGCCTCCTGTGTCCGGCTCCATCATCTGGGCCAAGCAGATCGACCGTCAGCTGACTGCGTACATGAAGAGGGTGGAGGACGTTCTGGGAAAAGGCTGGGAGAACCACGTGGAAGGGCTGAAGCTGAAGCAGGATGGGGATAGCTTCAGAGCGAAGCTGAACACCCAAGAGATATTTGATGATTGGGCTCGCAAGGTAGAAAGCAGCTGTGAACGTAACATTTTCACTAAAGCTTATAAAACGTCTTAGAATTTGTTAAAGTTTCTGTCCCCTTGCGTCGTAAACCAGGTGCAGCAGCGTAACCTGGGTGTGTCCGGGCGGATCTTCACCATCGAGACCACCCGTGCCCGTGGAAGGACGGGAAACATGCTGAAGCTCAAGGTCAACTTCCTCCCGGAGATTATCACTTTATCCAAAGAGGTCCGTAACCTGAAGTGGCTGAGCTTCCGCGTTCCTCTGGCCATCGTCAACAAAGCCCACCAGGCCAATCAGCTGTACCCGTTCGCCATTTCCCTGATTGAGAGCGTGCGCACCTACGAGCGCACCTGTGAGAAGGTGGAGGAGAGGTCCTCCATCTCCCTGCTGGTGGCCGGGCTTAAAAAGGAAGTGCAGGCTCTCGTCACAGAGGGCATCACTCTGGTGTGGGAGTCCTACAAGCTGGACCCATACGTCCAACGGCTGGCAGAAACCGTCTTCAACTTCCAAGAAAAGGTCAGGAATTAATCTGGGATGTTTAGCAATGTTAGGCGGCAATCGCTTCATCCAACAAGTTTTCTGTTTTTTTTTTATCTGTAGGTCGATGACCTCCTGTTGATCGAAGAGAAAATAGATCTGGAGGTTCGCTCTCTTGAGACGTGCATGTTCGACAACAAGACCTTCTCAGACATCCTCAGCCGTGTCCAGAAAGCTGTGGACGACCTGAATCTGCACTCCTATTCCAACTTACCCATTTGGGTCAATAAGCTCGACATCGAGGTGCTTCAGTCAGCCTTTGTTTGAATCTAACGTTTGGTTCCTGAATGCTGATGATGATACTGATTTTGTGAATGCTCTGTTAGATCGAACGCATCCTGGGAGTGCGTCTTCAGGCTGGTCTGAAGGCCTGGACGCAGGTGCTCCGGGGACAGGTGGAGGACAGGGCTGATGTGGACATGGACACCGAGGCTCCACAAGCTGGTCACAAACCTGGAGGAGAGCCCAAGATCAAAGTGCGTGTCGTGGCTAATGCGTTGTTTATTTTCAAGTCTCGTCTTATGCTTTTATGTTTTCCAGAACATCATCCACGAGCTGAGGATTACCAACCAGGTGATCTACCTGAATCCTCCTATCGAAGACTGCCGCTACAAGCTCTACCAGGAGATGTTTGCCTGGAAGAACATCATCCTCTCCCTGTCCAGGATCCAGAGTCAGAGATACCAGGTAGAGATGTTAAACCCTGTTGTCTGTGATCCATCTTCAGGTGTTCTCCTTTTAACCTCCACTCTTGTTCTTGGGTTTGTTGCTCTTCATCAGGTGGGCGTCCACTACGAGCTTTCGGAGGAGGAGAAGTTCTACCGTAACACCCTGACCAGGATGCCAGATGGTCCTGCAGCTTTGGAGGAAGCCTACAACGCAGTGGAGGACATTGTTGGTGAGGTGGAGCAGTACGTAAAGGTAAGAGGCTTTCTAACAGAAAATTAAATAACATTTTTAATGAAGTGTAATGAAAGTTTGAGGATTTTTCCAACTCTTTGACTATTCTGGGTTAGATTTATGATTGGATAGCTTGAACTCATGATGGTTTTGCCCCCCTTGTCCAGGTGTGGCTGCAGTACCAGTGCTTGTGGGATATGCAAGCAGAAAACATCTACAACCGCCTCGGTGAAGACCTCACCAAGTGGCAGGCCCTCCTGGTCCAGATCCGTAAAGCCCGTGGAACCTTCGACAACGCTGAGACTCGCAAAGAGTTTGGACCTGTGGTCATCGACTACGGCAAGGTAACGGTTACCAGCTTCAGACATTCGGACAAAGAAATTTGATTCAGTTTTAGAATAAATTGATGTTCCTTCAACGCCCATTTTTTCATTTAAGTAATTCTTTATTATTGAAACGTTCGTGGACAGGTCCAGTCGAAGGTGAACTTGAAATACGACTCGTGGCACAAAGAGGTCCTGAGCAAGTTTGGTCAGATGCTCGGCCAGAACATGCAGGACTTCCACGCCCAGATCTCCAAGGTAAGGTTGGATGGTTGAGAAGTTACAACAGTGATTCTGCAGGGTTTTTATCAACACACACTTCCTCGCTCCTCTCCAGTCCCGTCAAGACCTTGAGCAGCATTCTGTGGATACGGCTAGCACCTCAGACGCTGTTGAGTTCATAACGTATGTCCAGACCCTAAAGCGCAAAATCAAACAGTTTGAGAAAAACGTGGAAGTAAGTTTAGTTTCTTCTCGCTCTCTTTGATGTCTTTTCTTCCGTTTCAAGAAGAACTGAGAGTTGTTGATGTTCTCCGTCGTTGTACTCGTAGTTGTTCCGTAACGGACAGCGTTTGCTGGAGAAGCAGAGGTTCCAGTTCCCTCCGTCCTGGCTCTACATTGACAACATCGAAGGTGAATGGGGTGCGTTCAGTGACATCATGAAGCGCAAAGACACGGCAATCCAGCAACAAGTGGCCAACCTTCAGATGAAGATCGTCCAAGAGGACAAAGCCGTGGAGAACCGCACCACAGACTTGCTCAACGACTGGGAGAAGACCAAACCTGTTGCTGTAAGAAAAACTCGCGTCCAAACAAAGAATCCTAGTTTACTTTCATGCTAAACTGATGTTTTTGTGTTTTAGGGCAACCTGCGTCCAGAAGAGGCTCTTCAGTCTCTGACCATCTATGAGGGCAACTTTAGCCGTCTGAAGGTTGAAAGAGAGAAGTGTGCTCGAGCCAAAGAGGCCTTGGAGCTCACCGACACCGGTCTGCTGAGTGGGAGTGAAGAGCGGGTGCAGGTAATTCATAAAAAGCATCAAACGTGGGTTGTAAATGTAAATACTGAAGTTAAATGTGGACTTTGATTTTCTCAGGTGGCCCTGGAGGAGCTGCATGACCTGAAGGAGGTTTGGTCTGAGTTGTCCAAGGTGTGGGAGCAAATCGACCAGATGAAAGAGCAGCCGTGGGTTTCTGTTCAGCCTCGCAAGGTACAAACTAAAACAGTCGTGTCTGCTCTTTAGGGGGTAAAAGTCCTCAGCGATCACAAATGCGTTTGCTTTTCTTCTGTGCAGCTTCGTCAAAGTCTGGATGCTCTTCTAAACCAACTCAAGAACTTCCAAGCACGACTGAGACAATATGCTTCTTATGAGTACGTCCAGAGGCTGCTTAAAGGATACCTAAAGGTCGGAGCGGGGTTCTCCTACTAAACGTACGTTTTTAGTCATTTAGATGAAAATAAATGTTTGTTTTTTTGTCTTGCCGTAGGTCAATATGTTGGTGATCGAGCTTAAATCCGAGGCGCTGAAAGATCGCCACTGGAAGCAGCTGATGAAGCGCCTGCATGTGAACTGGGTCCTTTCGGAGCTGACCCTGGGTCAGATCTGGGACGTCGACCTGCAGAAGAACGAGATGGTGGTGAAGGATGTTCTCCTGGTGGCTCAGGGAGAGATGGCTCTGGAGGAGTTCCTTAAACAGGTCTGAAAGAGCAGCAGCTCGTTTTGGTTCGTCTGCAGTCGTCTTTCATTAATAAAATGTTGTTTTAACTTTCTGTGAAGATCCGTGAGGTGTGGAACTCCTACGAGCTCGACCTGGTGAACTACCAGAACAAGTGCCGTCTGATCAGAGGCTGGGACGACCTCTTCAACAAAGTCAAGGAGCACATCAACAGCGTGTCTGCCATGAAGCTGTCGCCTTACTACAAGGTAAGCAGATTGAAATATTCAGCTTATAGGACTCAGATCTTCAAACGTTTTACTGTTGTTGAAATTCTGTTCTTTTGTTTTCCATCAGGTTTTTGAGGAAGATGCTCTGAGTTGGGAAGACAAACTCAATCGCATCATGGCTCTGTTTGACGTTTGGATTGACGTCCAGCGCCGCTGGGTCTACCTGGAAGGCATCTTTACGGGCAGCGCCGACATCAAGCATCTGCTGCCTGTAGAAACCCAGAGATTCCAGAGGTGAACGAACCCAGGATACTTTTAACACCACTTTATTTTAAAAACCTGCAGATTAAATCAATACTTTTGTTTTAAATTGCAGCATCAGCACCGAGTTCTTGGCTCTGATGAAAAAGGTGACCAAGTCTCCTTTGGTGATGGATGTGCTGAACATTCAGGGAGTGCAGAGATCCCTGGAGCGACTGGCTGACCTGCTGGGAAAAATCCAGAAAGCTCTTGGAGAATATCTGGAGAGGGAGAGGTCTTCTTTCCCGAGGTACGAAGAGGAGGCAGAGCGCCGTCATAGACAATGGCGTTAATCCGCACGTTCTGTTATTGATTGATGCTGGTTGGGTTTAGGTTCTACTTTGTCGGAGACGAAGACTTGCTGGAGATCATCGGCAACAGCAAGAACGTGGCCAAACTTCAGAAGCACTTCAAGAAGATGTTCGCTGGCGTCTCCAGCATCTTGCTGAACGAGGACAACACGGAGGTGCTGGGAATCTCCTCGCGGGAGGGAGAGGAAGTGGTCTACAAGACGCCGGTCTCCATCACGCAGCACCCCAAGATCAATGAGTGGCTCACTCTGGTGGAGAAGGAGATGAGAGTGACGCTGGCCAAGCTGCTCGCCGAGTCGGTCACGGAGGTCACGGCCTTCAATAAGGGCACGGCCATCGACCTGAGCCAGTACATCGACTGGATCGATCGCTACCAGGTTAGAACGGGGATCGTTTTTAAGATCATTAAAGACACAAATCTGCTGTTTTATTTTAACTTTGTGCACATCTTTGCTCCACAGGCCCAGCTGGTGGTCCTGTCCACTCAGATAGCCTGGTCTGAGAACATCGAGTCAGCCCTGACCACCGTCTCTGGCGGTGGAGACATGGCACCCATGCAAGGCGTGCTGTCGAACGTGGAAGCCACTCTGAATGTGTTGGCTGACACCGTGCTGATGGAGCAGCCTCCGCTCCGCAGGAGGAAACTGGAACATCTGGTTAGGACTGATTCCGTCACAGCACAAAGTTCACGTGTGATATGAAGCATCGTAATGTTCTGATGCATCCGTGTGTGAGGCAGTTCTTCTCATTCTCCATTTTCAGATCACAGAGTTGGTGCACCAGCGCGACGTGACCAGAACTCTGATCAAGAACAAGATCGACAACCCCAAGTCCTTCGAGTGGCTCAGTCAGATGCGCTTCTACTTCGACCCCAAGCAGACGGACGTCCTGCAGCAGCTGTCCATTCAGATGGCCAACGCCAAGTTCAACTACGGCTTTGAATATTTGGGTGTTCAGGACAAGCTCGTGCAGACCCCGCTAACAGATCGCTGCTACTTGACCATGACTCAAGCTCTGGAAGCTCGGCTCGGTGGATCACCGTTCGGTATGGAAATCAAAGGGGAGTTTTTGTTTAGATGTTGTAGAATGTGTTTAAAACACCTTCTGTGACCTCGTAGGTCCCGCTGGAACAGGAAAGACTGAGTCAGTCAAAGCCCTCGGTCACCAGCTTGGACGCTTTGTCTTGGTCTTCAACTGTGATGAAACCTTTGACTTCCAGGTACACGATCACGTCTCGTTTCACTTCCTTTAGCGCATCGGTGCAGGGTAAAGCTGTATTCTGTGTCTTTTCTTCAGGCTATGGGTCGTATCTTCGTGGGTCTGTGCCAGGTGGGAGCCTGGGGCTGCTTTGACGAGTTCAATCGTCTGGAGGAGAGAATGCTGTCTGCCGTTTCCCAGCAGGTCCAGTACATCCAGGTGGCCTTGAGGGAGCACAGCAACCCCAACAGAGACAGGAGTACGTAACAGGGTTTCACACAGGGTGCCTCTTGGTAGTAAAAAAGCAGCAAAGTTTTTTTATTTTCCAGTGTGGTCTACATGCACGTCATAATAAGTACAACTTAGAGTCTGAAAACACCGTTTTTAAAGCTGAACTTGTAGGATTTACCGTAACGCGTGTCGTGCCAGGTGTTCCTGTCACTACTGAGCTCCTGAACAAGCAGGTGAAGGTGAGCCCAGACATGGCCATCTTCATCACCATGAACCCTGGCTACGCCGGCCGTTCCAACCTCCCCGACAACCTGAAGAAGCTGTTCCGAAGCTTGGCCATGACGAAGCCCGATCGCCAACTCATCGCACAGGTCATGCTCTACTCGCAGGGCTTCCGAACAGCTGAGATTCTCGCCAAGAAGATCGTCCCCTTCTTCAAGTACGAGTCACACGCCAAGCTAACAGATTCAGATTAAGATGGTCTTTTTTAGATTTATACTATCTGCTTCATCTTCAGATTGTGTGACGAGCAGCTGTCCTCCCAAAGCCATTATGATTTTGGTCTTCGAGCCCTCAAGAGCGTGCTGATCAGCGCTGGGAACGTGAAGCGCGAGCGCATCCAGAAAATCAAAAGGGAGAAGATGGAGCGTGGAGAGGATGTGGATGAGAATGAGATAGCCGAGAACCTTCCTGAACAGGAGGTATGAAAACTAGCTTAGGGATGAGTTTGAGCTCCTCCGAGATGTTTGACTCCTTTTGTTTCCGTTAGATACTGATCCAGAGTGTGTGTGAGACCATGGTCCCCAAGCTGGTGGCTGAGGACATCCCTCTGCTGTTCAGCCTGCTGTCTGATGTCTTCCCCGGCGTTCAGTACATGCGTGGAGAGATGACGGCTCTGAGGGAGGAGCTCAAGAAGGTCTGCTCAGAGATGTACCTCACCTACGGAGATGGCGATGATGTAGGCAGCGCGTGGGTGGAGAAGGTAGGGGAAGACTTTACTGGAGATGATTGTTTACATTCGGTTCAAATGAAAAATACTCATTCCAACTCTGATGGAACTTGTTGCAGGTTCTCCAGCTGTATCAGATCACACAGATCAACCACGGTCTGATGATGGTGGGTCCCTCTGGCAGTGGCAAGACCATGGCGTGGAGAGTGCTGCTGAAGGCCCTGGAGAGGCTGGAGGGGGTCGAGGGCGTGGCCCACATCATTGACCCCAAGGCCATCAGCAAAGACCACCTCTACGGAACGCTCGACCCCAACACTCGCGAGTGGACTGACGGCTTGTTCACCCACATCCTCAGGAAGTGAGTCGAGTTTAACGAGGTAGAAAACGCCAGGTGACAGCTTGAAAGCAACTCGGTAAATAACGTTTTCTTTGATTGCAGGATCATTGACAATGTTAGAGGAGAACTGCAGAAGCGTCAGTGGATCATTTTTGATGGCGACGTCGACCCGGAGTGGGTCGAGAACCTGAACTCCGTTCTGGATGACAACAAGCTGCTCACCCTGCCGAACGGCGAGCGTCTCAGCCTACCGCCAAACGTAAGATCACTTTGAGCTCCTACGGTCGCACCTGTAACACGGTGCTGTGGCGACTAGTCGATGCTTACCTGGGATGTTTTTCCCCCCGTTTCCAGGTGCGTGTGATGTTTGAAGTGCAGGACCTGAAATATGCGACTCTCGCCACCGTGTCTCGCTGCGGCATGGTCTGGTTCAGCGAGGATGTCCTCAGCACTGATATGATCTTCAACAACTTCCTGTACCGCCTTCGCAGCATCCCGTTGGACGAGGGAGAGGATGAGGCTCAGCGCAACAGAAAAGGCACGGAGGATGAGGAGGAGACCGCTTCACCAATGCTGCAGGTTGTTTAGAGAGCAGAAAACTAATGAAACAAAACAAAATGTCCTCCAAAAGTTTGATGTTTGCTGATGTTTTTAACCAGATCCAAAGAGACTCTGCAGCGATCCTGCAGCCGTACTTCACCTCCACGGGCCTGGTGATCAAGGCCTTGGAGCACGCCTCCAAGATGGAGCACATCATGGACTTCACCCGCCTGCGCTGTCTGGGCTCACTGTTCTCCATGCTGCATCAAGCCTGTCGTAACGTCGCTTTGTACAACAACAACCACCCAGATTTCCCCATGCCCATCGACCAGCTGGAGAGATACATGCAGGTAGAGGACTGCGTCGTATTTGTCATCACCGTGTCACCTGTGGATGCTCTGATGTTAACACTAATGTTGTCACTGCAGAGGTATTTGATCTACGCCGTGCTCTGGTCGTTCTCTGGTGATGGAAGGTTGAAGATGAGGGCTGAACTCGGTGAATACATCCGTCGTATCACCACGGTGCCCCTCCCCACGACTCCTAATGTTCCTATTATTGACTATGAGGTACGTCATCTTCTGTTTTTAAAAGTAAACGCCCGTCTTAAAAGACCTGTTAAAATAAAACCGTTCTAAATTTTCTTGTCCAGGTTTGCATCTCTGGTGAGTGGCAGTCTTGGCAGGGTAAAGTGCCTCAGATTGAGGTGGAAACCCACAAGGTGGCATCTCCAGATGTTGTCGTTCCTACTCTGGACACGGTTCGCCACGAGGCTCTGCTTTACACGTGGCTAGCCGAGCACAAACCATTGGTACTGTGTGGACCTCCTGGTTCTGGAAAGACCATGACCCTGTTCAGCGCTCTCCGGGCTCTGCCTGACATGGAGGTGAGAGACCGAACCTACCTGAAGTGATGTCAGAAACGAGCCGTCCCATTCTGACTTCCTGTTGTCTTGCAGGTTGTTGGTTTGAACTTCTCCAGCGCTACCACCCCTGAACTCCTGCTGAAGACCTTTGATCACTACTGCGAGTACCGCCGCACCCCCAACGGTGTGGTCCTGGCCCCGGTTCAGCTGGGCAAGTGGTTGGTCTTGTTCTGTGATGAGATCAACCTGCCAGACATGGATAAGTACGGCACTCAGAGAGTCATCTCTTTCCTCAGACAGGTATGACTCTGTTAGCATAAGCGCTGCCAGAGTTTATGGGCTACGTTTCATAGATTTTATTATGTTTCTTGTAGATGGTGGAACACGGAGGCTTTTATCGCACTTCAGACCAGACGTGGGTGAAACTGGAGAGGATTCAGTTTGTTGGAGCCTGTAATCCTCCCACTGATCCTGGCAGGAAGCCCCTCACACATCGGTATGATTCATTATCCTCTCATTTTAACCCAAAACAACATTTTAACATATTAATAATGTCTGAAACGAGTTCCTCCGTGTTTTCTCGCCAGGTTCCTGCGTCATGTGCCTGTGGTCTACGTCGACTACCCCGGCCCGGCTTCCCTCACCCAGATCTACGGGACCTTTAACCGTGCTATGCTGCGTCTCATCCCGTTACTACGAACGTACGCTGAGCCTCTTACAGCTGCCATGGTGGAGTTCTACACCATGTCTCAGGTAAATGAGCTAACGTCAATAAAAAAAAAAAGCACGAGATCCGTCTCACGGTGATCGGATCTTTTATTCATTTATTTGACTTTAGGAGCGGTTCACCCAGGACATCCAGCCTCATTACATCTACTCTCCCAGAGAGATGACCCGCTGGGTCAGGGGCATCTTCGAGGCTCTGCGCCCCCTAGAGACGCTGCCCGTGGAAGGGCTCATCCGCATCTGGGCGCACGAAGCTCTCCGTCTCTTCCAGGATCGGTAATTGAGCTAAAGATGAGCTTAACGTCCTCTTTAGAATGATCGAACGGGACGACTCTGTGCTTGTGCTCGATTCAGGCTTGTAGGTGACGATGAGAGGAGGTGGACGGATGAAAACATCGACGTAGTTGCTCTTAAACATTTCCCCAACATTGATAAGGAGAAGGCTTTGAACAGGCCGATCCTCTACAGCAACTGGCTCTCTAAGGTAAGTCGGAGACTGAGGCTCCTTAATGATGACGTGACATCACTCCGACTCAGCGCTCTGGCCTTCTGTTGGCAGGACTACATCCCAGTGGAACAGGAGGAGCTGAGGGACTACGTGAAGGCCCGTCTCAAGGTCTTCTATGAAGAGGAGCTGGATGTTCCTTTGGTCCTCTTCAATGAAGTGCTGGACCACGTCCTCCGAATTGATCGGTGAGCGATCGTCGTAGTGATTCCCAGAAATTCACGATTTCGAGGAAACTAAATATGTTTTTGTTTCAGAATCTTCCGTCAGCCTCAGGGTCATCTGCTGTTGATCGGTGTGAGCGGAGCAGGAAAGACCACGCTCTCTCGCTTTGTGGCCTGGATGAATGGATTAAGTGTCTACCAGATCAAAGTTGGTGCACTCATTGTTCAAACGATTTAGTGTGAGATCGCTGCTTTTGCTTGTTTCGTCACTCGTGTGGTTCTTGATCAGGTGCACAGGAAATACACGGGTGAGGACTTTGATGAAGACTTGCGTACAGTTCTGCGTCGCTCAGGTTGTAAGAATGAGAAAATAGCCTTCATCATGGACGAGTCCAACGTGCTAGACTCAGGATTCCTGGAGAGGATGAATACTCTGCTGGCCAACGGAGAGGTAACGTTTGTGTGTCGCTGCTGCTTTTTTGTTTCTGTGATTATAGAAAAATCCTGATCTTAGTGGATTTTATTTCCTGCTTCTTCTGTTTGTAGGTGCCTGGCCTGTTTGAGGGAGATGAATACGCCACCCTGATGACTCAGTGCAAGGAGGGAGCACAGAAGGAGGGGCTGATGCTCGACACGCATGAAGAGCTCTACAAGTGGTTCACCAGCCAGGTCATCAGAAACCTCCACGTAGTTTTCACCATGAATCCCTCATCAGAAGGTCTGAAGGACAGAGCTGCCACATCCCCCGCCCTCTTCAACAGGTGTGGACTCATCGTGAAGGAAACCATAAACCACCGAAAAACAGAAACTTTTCATATTTTTTGGTAACTGTGCCCTTCTAGGTGTGTGTTGAATTGGTTTGGAGACTGGTCAACAGAGGCACTTTATCAGGTGGGCAAGGAATTCACCAGCAAGATGGATCTGGAGAAGCCCAACTACAAGGTGCCGGACTACATGCCCATCGTCTACGACAAGCTTCCCCAGCCGCCCTCTCACCGCGAGGCGATCGTCAACGGCTGCGTGTTCGTGCATCAGACTCTCCACCAGGTAGGAGAGGACTTGGAGCGGACGACGACTGGTCCGACAGGTGGGGCTTCACCCGATTAACGATTTCATTTAATCCTTCAGGCAAATAGCCGTCTAGCCAAGCGTGGTGGTCACACCATGGCCATTACTCCTCGCCACTACCTGGACTTCATCAACCAGTATGCCAACCTGTTTAATGAGAAACGCAGCGAGTTGGAGGAGCAGCAGATGCACCTGAACGTTGGTCTCCGTAAGATCAAGGAAACTGTCGACCAGGTAGGTTATAAACCAATCAGACCTGAGTACCTGTGTTATGTTGGCGTTTAGCTCGATAGGCTCCCTAATGTGTACGTCACCTCGTCAAGGTGGAGGAGCTTCGTCGTGATCTAAGGATCAAGAGTCAGGAGCTGGAGGCCAAGAACGCTGCTGCCAACGACAAGCTGAAGAAGATGGTCAAAGATCAGCAGGAAGCCGAGAAGAAAAAGGTCCACGAGGAGAATTAAAGCACATCTGTGGACCCCTGGGCTGTTCCAGTCCATTAAAACGTATTTTTGTTTTGCTGCCGCTCTGGTTTCAGGTGATGAGTCAGGAGATCCAGGAAGCTGTCTACAAGCAGCAGGAGGTGATCAAAGACAAACAGCTGAGCGTCAAACAAGACCTGGACCAGGTGGAGCCCGCTGTGATCGAGGCTCAGAATGGTAACGTTTTGCTTCATTATTAAACATTTACCGTCTTTTTGATGTTAACGTGGCTGTTGTTAAATCCACGCTGTCAGAAATTTAGAAACACTTAACCGCTAAAAAAAAGCCCCAGCTAACCTGAATTTTCTGGCATCCACCCCTCATCATCGTCCCGTTTCCTCATCATCTTATTTACCCGTGTCCACCTGACAATGGTAGCCGTTAAGTCTATTAAGAAGCAGCACCTGGTGGAGGTGCGCTCCATGGCTAACCCGCCCGCGGCCGTGAAGTTGGCCCTGGAGTCCATCTGCTTGCTCCTCGGGGAGAGCACCACTGACTGGAAGCAGATCCGCTCCATCATCATGAGGGAGAACTTCATCCCTACAATTGTTAACTTCTCTGCTGAGGAGATCAGGTGAAATGAAAGTTTCTATTTTATCTGTTCACTAAAACATGTTTTTGTTGTTTTTTTTTTCTTCCTGTTTGTGTCGAACCCCTCCCCCTGTCTCAACCCAAACACTCCTCCCTCCTCCTGTGTTCGTTTCAAACCCTCTCCTCCTTCTCCTCCTCATCCTGCTAAATTAGCCGTGAGTTCTATTAAGCGGCAGCACCTAGTAGAAGTGCGGGCCATGACCAATCCCCCTGCGGCGGTCAAACTGGCCATGGAGTCTATCTGCCTTATGCTGGGCGAGGAGACCAATGACTGGAAAAAAATCAGACAAGTTATTATCAAGGATAATTTCATCAGCAGCATAATCAACTTTTCCTCTGAGGACATGAGGTACTAGCGTCAGAGCGGAGGTTGGGTCACACTGACCATGCTGGATCACCACAATCAGCTGTTTATTATAAATTATATTTATAGCAAGTTTATTTAAAACTTGTTCTTTTTGCTTTTACTTGTGACGAGATTTTAAAAGGCCTCCTCAGCTAACCCTAAACCAATAAAAACAATCCTTTTTAGTTTATCGTGTTTTTTTTTTTTTATCATTTACAAGTCAGTCCCTGCTCTATTTAATCTCCTGCTAACTTCACTCAGTGACTCGATTCGTGAGAAGATGAAGAAGAACTACCTCTCCAACCCGAGCTACAACTACGACCAGGTCAACAGGGCTTCCCTGGCCTGTGGGCCGATGGTGAAGTGGGCCATCGCTCAGGTGTGGGAGCCTTAATAATCTGAAGATTAGGATTACTGGTTAGAAAAATGCTCTTCTAACGTGCTCTGCCAACGCTCTAGCTGAATTATGCCGACATGCTGAAGCGCGTGGAGCCGTTGCGGAATGAGCTGCAGAAACTGGAGGACGATGCAAAGGACAACAAGACGAAGGCGGAGGAGGTGGAGCAGATGATCAGAGACCTGGAGGCTAGCATCGCTCGCTACAAGGAAGAATATGCTGTCCTCATCTCAGAGGCTCAGGCCATCAAGGCTGATCTGGCTGCAGTCGAGGCGAAGGTGAACAAGTCTTCCTGTTCCTGTTTTATTTTAAACAGCAGCTTGTGCTGATTTTCGTTTTCTTTCAGGTGAATCGCAGCACAGCGCTGCTGAAGAGCCTGTCCGCTGAGCGAGAGCGCTGGGAGAAGACCAGCGAGACCTTCAAGAACCAAATGTCCACCATCGCTGGAGACTGCCTCCTCTCCGCTGCCTTTATTACTTACGCTGGTTACTTTGATCAGCAGATGAGACAGAACCTGTTCACTACTTGGTCTCATCACCTGCAGCAGGCCAACATTCAGGTAACTCCGCCTCGGTTTTGACCATTCTAATTGTTCTGTATAATAAAGTCTGAATAGAACGATCCTAAACTGGTTTTTAATGCGTCCCTTAGTTCCGTACGGACATCGCCAGAACAGAATACCTCTCCAACGCTGATGAGAGACTCCGCTGGCAAGCCAACTCCCTCCCAGCAGACGACCTTTGTACCGAAAACGCCATCATGCTCAAGCGCTTCAACCGGTCCGTGTCTCTTTCCCCGAGGGGTCCCGAAATAAAAAATGTTACGACTTTTAACTCTTGGTGTGTCTTTGTTATTCTAGCTATCCGCTCATCATCGATCCATCCGGCCAAGCCACAGAGTTCATAATGAACGAGTACAAGGACCGCAAGATCACCAGAACCAGCTTCCTGGATGACGCCTTCAGGAAGAACCTGGAGAGCGCGCTGCGTTTTGGAAATCCGCTCTTGGTCCAGGTAGAACCATGACAAGGCGCCTTTTCGTTGTGCAGTCCACGCCCGCTATCCCCGTGTTCATCAAGCACTTGTTTCTTCTCATGTGTTTGTTTTTTTAAGGATGTGGAAAGCTACGACCCCATCCTAAACCCGGTGCTGAACAGAGAGGTGCGAAGAACTGGGGGACGTGTCCTCATCACCCTGGGGGACCAGGACATCGATCTGTCACCGTCGTTTGTGATCTTCCTCTCCACACGAGACCCAACGGTGAGGCGGCTCTGTTAATTCATCCTGTTATTTAGCTGCTTGACTTCTAACACGTTACGTGTTCGCAGGTCGAGTTCCCACCAGACTTGTGCTCTCGTGTTACGTTTGTCAACTTCACCGTGACGCGCAGCAGCCTCCAGAGTCAGTGTCTGAATGAGGTCCTAAAGGCTGAGAGACCTGACGTGGACGAGAAACGCTCTGATCTTCTGAAACTGCAGGGTAAGGAGGACACGAACAGGAACTCGATGAGAAACGAGGATGCTTGTGGTGCAGTCATCATCACTGAGTAACTTTCTCTTCAAGGTGAGTTCCAGCTGCGTCTTCGCCAGCTGGAGAAATCCCTCCTGCAGGCCCTCAACGAGGTCAAGGGTCGCATCCTGGATGACGACACAATCATCACCACACTGGAGAACCTGAAAAAGGAGGCCGCGGAGGTGACCAGGAAGGTGGAGGAGACGGATATCGTCATGGCTGAGGTGGAGGCGGTGTCGCAGCAATACCTGTCTCTGTCCTCCGCCTGCAGCAGCATCTACTTCACCATGGAGGCTCTCAACCAGGTCTGACTACATCTTTCGTTTATCTTTACCACTGCTTTTCAGTCTTTTCTATTTTCAACAAGTGTCCCTTAAATCTGGATCCAGATGCACTTCCTGTATCAGTACTCTCTCCACTTCTTCCTGGATACGTACCACACGGTGCTGTACGAGAACGCCAACCTCAAGAGCATCAGCGACCACTCTCAGAGGCTCGCTCTCATCACTAAGGACCTCTTCCAGGTCTGAAATGAAGCTGTTAAATGTAACTGTAATGTGAAGCAGCAAACTAAGATGCACACATCTGCTTTGTGTGGAATCAGGTGGTGTTCAACCGAGTCGCTAGAGGCATGCTGCACCAGGACCACATTACGTTTGCCATGCTGTTGGCTAAGATCAGCCTAAAGGGCATCACGAGGTAAGAACGCCGTATTTGGACTAACGGCGTTACACTAAACATCGCATTTAATCTGTGGATTTCTCCAGTGAACCGTCATACGACGCAGAATTCCAGCACTTCCTGCGTGGGAAGGAGATTGTGCTGACGGGTACGGCTCTGCCCAAAATCAAAGGTCTGACCAGCGATCAGTGTGAGGCCATGGTCCGACTCAGCCACCTCCCAGCATTCAAGGACTTGGTGGAGAAGGTGGAGGCTGATGAGGTGAGTGTCAGAAATCATCTGGATAAATCAGAACAGGTGATGCCTGGTTTAAAACTCAGTTTTTCTGATTCAGTCGAGCTGAAATGCTTTTTAAAAATTATTTCATCCTTTAAAATAGATTTTCAGAAGTAATTCTTTCATGTTTTTGCTTCCTCAGCAATTCTTCATGTGGATTGAGAGCAACACTCCTGACCTGGCCGTTCCTTATCTGTGGTCGGAGGAGAAGCAGTCAAGTGAGCATTTTGAATCGAACCGTTAACAGCAATCATGGAGATGAGCCTGAGAGTAGATGGAGCGTAGATGCCTTTCACTGATGTTTGTCTCTCTTGCTTCAGCCTCCATCGGTCAGGCGGTGCACCAGCTGCTGCTAATCCAGGCCTTCCGCCCTGACCGCCTGCTGGCCATGTCCCACATTGTTGTCTCCAAGGTGCTGGGAGAGTCCTTCATGAACATCATCGAGCAACCCCTTGACCTGGCTAACATAGTAGACAGTGAGGTATTATGAAGGTTAATTTCTTCCTTTTTAAAGGTGCTAAAGGGAAAAGTGGGTTATAAAACATGTCTGCCCTCCAGGTGAAGCCCAGCACTCCGGTGCTGATGTGCTCCGTACCCGGTTATGATGCTAGCGGGCTTGTCCGGGATCTGGCTGCAGAGCAGAACAAGCAGATCACCTCCGTTTCTATTGGTACCAAGTTTACCTAATAACTCAGTAGCTGCACAAGGTAACTGAGTGGAGCCGTGAGGATATTAAACGTTTACACACTTCTACTCTGCAGGTTCAGCTGAAGGTTTCAATAAGGCTGACCGAGACATCAACACTGCTGTCAAGTCTGGCAGGTGATTCATGTCACTGTATGTTTATTAGTGTGTTTTGATATCATTTGGCGTGTATTTAGAGGGTTTGTCTTTGATCCTGCAGATGGGTGATGCTGGAGAACGTCCACCTTGCTCCTGGCTGGCTGATGCAGCTGGAGAAGAAGCTTCACTCCATGCAGCCTCATGCTAGCTTCAGGCTCTTCCTCACAATGGAGATCAACCCGAAGGTACAGCTCCTCATCAGACGTTTCTGTGTGTAACAGTTCCTTTTAAGGTTTAGTTCCAAAGTACGCGGAGTTTAAAGGGCAAGTCACCCCCTGCCAGATTCTTACTCAACTCTCACTTCCTGTTTGGAAAATGCAACAAATGCTGTTGCCTAGCAGACCGAGAGGGCAGAGCCTCTAACAAATACACACACTCACGACATTGTGACATCATAATGTACCATCTAACATCATAGTGTACCTCTTAGCCAATAGCGATGGCAGATTTAAATTCAAATGCAGTGCTGAGTTTTTGCCTGACGACGGTGCATCGCTGACAGTTTTAGGCAGAATATTTAAATTTTAACTAAGATGCCCTAAAGTGCCGAATTATTGACTACATTTGTCTACAGCACAATTGAACACTCATTTATTTAGTTTATCAGCAAAAAAATGGTGATTTGGAGTGACTTGCTCTTTAAAGAGGGACTGCACGCCATCCGAAAAGTAACTCCACCCCTAGTCAAGATTTGAAAATGCAATGAAAGTGGGCGTTGCCAGGGGGGCATGGAGGGGCGTGGCCAAGTGTGAGGAATTTCCATCCTTGGAGGGAGAGGGAGGAGACTGTACCAATGATGAGAGATTGTACCAGCGCCAGCCAATCACAAATTTAAAATGCAGTAGCCACAGTTCAACCCACAGCGGGCAGCACTAAGACATTTTTAGACCTAGATCAAGTTTACACAAACATCTCAAAAGATGCACAGAAACCGAAAGATTGCATTTGTAAAGACCCAGTTATACAATTTATAAGCAAAAAAAAAAAAGGTTATTTAGGGGTTTAATTACGCGTTAAGGATGTTCTTGTGTTTGATCTCCGCCAGGTTCCGGTCAACCTGCTGCGTGCAGGTCGGATCTTTGTGTTCGAGCCTCCTCCTGGGGTCAAGGCGAACATGCTCAGAACCTTCAGCAGCATACCTGTGGCTCGCATGTGCAAGGTGACCTAAACATACTTCAAAGCTAAAATACCATTTCATTTGAGATTTCTATCTGAATTATTGTGTTCGTCTCTACAGGCTCCCAATGAGCGTGCACGTCTCTACTTCCTCCTGGCCTGGTTCCACGCCGTCATCCAGGAGCGCCTGCGTTACGCTCCACTCGGCTGGTCCAAAAAATACGAGTTTGGGGAGTCTGACCTTCGCTCTGCTTGTGACACCATTGACACCTGGCTGGACGACACTGCTAAGGTTGTAAACAGCTAAATTAACATATTGTTAAGAATCCTTAAGTTCAGATATTTGAAACAGATTTTTTTGCTCACATTTTCACCACATCTGACCTCGCAGGGTCGCCAGAACATCGCCCCAGATAAGATCCCCTGGGCGGCTCTGAAGACCCTCATGGCCCAGTCCATCTACGGTGGTCGCATCGATAACGAGTTTGACCAGCGGCTGCTCATCACCTTCCTGGAGCGGATCTTCACCAAGGGAAGCTTCGACAGCGAGTTCAAGCTGGCGCTCAAGGTTGACGGCCAGAAGGACATCAAGATGCCTGATGGGATCCGGTCAGTGACGCTTGATCCGTGACTTTAACTGCTCTAAGTCCATGAATATTAAAATATTTTCCTTCAAAAACGTGTAACTAGCCATGTGATTGTGTTTCAGACGTGAGGAGTTCATGCACTGGGTAGAGATGCTTCCTGACACTCAGACTCCATCTTGGCTGGGGTTGCCAAGCAATGCAGAGAAGGTGTTGCTCACCACTCAGGGTATGGTCATCTCTGGCGTTTCACACCTCCTGACCAGCAGTGTGTGCATCGTTTAAATGAACGTTTCCACGGTTCTCTTTTTTTAGTGTAACTATAACAAGCTAACAGCATCCAGTGAAACGTCAGGATTTAACATCTAAGTCTGTTTGGCTAACGCTGAGTCCTGAAACGTAGCCTAGCTGTGGTTGTAGTGTTTGTTTTTAAAAGGTCATCTGCTCGAAGGAATGGGGGTGTGGCTCCTCACCCTCCAGCAGCTGTATTTCACTGGCATCATGTTGCTTTGCAAAGATGCAAATCTCATTCCCCTCCACAGATAAGTTTTTGGCTGCATCCCCCCACATCCTCCCTTTTCTGTTTGGTCAGACTGAGCTCCAGATTCACAGTCCAGCCGCTACTGAAGCTCTCAGCCTTTATGCTCAGTTCCTCCCCCAAACCTGCCTCCTTGCATCGCTTGTGTGGGTTTATTTATTTATTCAGTCAGCTGAGGAAAAGCCTCATTTCCCTTATTTTTAAATATATTGTTACATGAAATGTTGGCTGAAGCTTTCTGTGGTTTTTGTCTTGTCCTGTCTTCTCTTTTTGCTTTTTTTAAACCCATTTTTATTTATTATAACCCTGAGAAGCAGTTTTTTGTTGTTGTTCTTTGTTTCATAATTAATTTCTTCCCCTCACCTTCTGCCACGGGCTTGTTCTCCACCCCTCCTCCACCTCATTCCCCGCTCACTGGCGTCCTCTGCTGGGCTGCGCAGGCACTGACATGATGGGTAAGATGTTGAAAATGCAGATGTTGGAGGATGAGGATGACCTTGCCTATGAGACGGAGAAAAAGGAGCGCACGTCGTCCACGTCTGACACTCAGCCCGCCTGGATGAGGACCCTCCACACCACGGCGTCCAACTGGCTTCAGCTCATGCCTCAAATGGTCAATCCGCTCAAACGCACGGTGGAGAACATCAAGGTAACGGCAGAAAGCACAGAAACACAGGTGGTGGTTTATAAACACGCTTCATGAGGTAACCAGGGGATCTCCAGTGGGTGAAAATCCTTCTCCAGTTGCTTTAACGTCTTTGTTGAAACATGTAACCACCAGGACCCACTGTTCCGCTTCTTCGAGCGTGAGGTGAAGATGGGAGGCACGATGCTCCAGGAGGTCCGGCAGAACCTTTCTGATGTGGTGCACGTGTGTGAGGGCAAAAAGAAGCAGACCAACTACTTGCGCACGCTCATCAGCGACCTCGTTAAAGGTTTTGTTGTTTGCATCTGTTCATATCTTTATTATTTGAACATGTATTAAACAGTTGACTTTATTTCCAGGAATCCTCCCACGCAGCTGGTGCCGGTACACCGTCCCAGCCTCCATGACTGTGATCCAGTGGGTGTCGGACTTCAGTGAGAGGATCAAACAGCTGCAGCAGATCTCCCAGGCGGCTGCAAGCGGTGGTGCAAAGGAGCTGAAGGTACCTTCTGTGTGCAGAATTACTCTTGAATACCATTAACTCCAAATGGGTTTGCAGAACCTGTTTTAAAATGTTTTTGTCTCATTTGTAAAAGTACTTTTCTTCTTGTCTGCCATCTTTAGAACGTCCACGTGTGCTTGGGCAGCCTGTTTGTCCCAGAGGCTTACATTACCGCCACCCGCCAGTATGTGGCGCAAGCCAACAGCTGGTCGCTGGAGGAGCTGTGTCTGGAGGTCAATGTTACCACCGCCCAGGGCGCGGCGCTGGACGCCTGCAGCTTTGGCATCAAAGGTCTGATAAAACACTCCATCTGCTGCACTTGTGGAAAAATATGGATTTAATAGCTGAAACACAACAAAGTGCTATAAATGAAATTTATTTTGCAGCTTGGTTTTAAAGCATGTCGACTGTCCCTTCCAGGTCTGAAGCTGCAGGGAGCCACGTGTGCCAACAACAAGCTGTCTCTGTCCACGACCATCTCCACGGAGCTGCCTCTGACTCAGCTCCGCTGGGTGAAGCAAAGTAACGCCGAAAAGAGACACGTGGTATGAGCAACATCTGGACAGAGGACGTTGTTCAAAAACAAGCTTGGATAACTAAGTTTGAGTTTTTGTCTCCTTGCTGCAGGTCACTCTTCCCGTGTACCTGAACTTCACCAGGTCAGACCTCATTTTCACGGTCGACTTCGACATCGCCACCAAGGAAGATCCTCACAGCTTCTACGAGCGTGGAGTTGCTGTGCTGTGCACAGAATAAATAACTTATTCCTGCAGAAGAAGAAAAAAGCAAGCTTCTTAATCACTTTCTGTCGTTATCCATCACTAATAGTCGTAGCTTATTGCATCCCTATGTTTACCTTTTTGTCAATCAGTCGTAGAGTTTTTGGAACATGTTTCTGAAGGTTTATGAGAAAGTTGCCAGATGTTGAAAGGAAATGATGTAATGTGGAAAAGGAAGGTTGAAAGGGAAGTGTTTTAAAGAAAGGAGCCTTTTAGATTGAGTAAAAGCAGGTAGAGGAAGTCGCATTCCTTCAGTGGGATTTTTAACTATGGAAACAAAGTGTCATTAAAAGAAATTTGACTGCATCAAATTGGTCTCTTCAGACTTTTTTCCAGATGAAAATAACTTCACTCTTTGAATATTAACCAGTGTAAACTAACAGCAAAATATTACTCTTATCTACTGGATGAGATCAGTGCAAAGATTTGTATTTGTTGGCAGAAGTGCAAATATTTTAACATTGTCTACATGAGAGAAAAAGAAATGTAGTCATTCTGGCTCTCTAGAAGGCCATAACGGGCCTAGATATGGATGGATTTGTTAGGACTTTTGCACAGAAAAGCAGACGGCTGATGCTGTAATGACAAAAGCCATAAAGAAAAAAATCTTAAAAAAATATATATAAGTGAAATAAGAAATTTAAAAAAGTAAAGTAAAAAATGGAATGATGAGATAAAATAAAGACAAAGATAAAAAATTTAAAAAAGATAGGCCAATAAGACATAAGATAAAAACATTAAAAGATAAAGATCAATGCAGCCCCAATGGGAAACAAGCCAGTGTCCCATTTGTGCCAGTCCCAAGCCCAGGTGAATGCAGAGGGTAGTGTAAGGAATGGATCAAAGAAAAAGATGTGTATATATACATGGATAGAAGAACTGTAATGATAGCATAGTTTTCTATGCATTTTAGGGATTTGGGGGTACGTGACACCTGAAAAATTATTTCCCAGACCTGCACCCCCTGATAATCTATACCTGCCCCCCTTTGTAGGGCTGGCTAAATCCGGCCCTGTGTGATTTAGCATGAAATTAAATGCTATTCAGGAGAAATCAGTTTCGACTAAAATTATAGGAAACAAATTAATAAAATAAACTGGACTTGGTATTAATACATCTTTTTTTCATACAAACGTACAAAAATGTCTGAATATTGTATAGAAATTACAAAACCACTTGGCCCAGAATGCGGCAGCTCGCTTGCTGACAGGTAGGCGCAGGGATCACATAACACCAGTCTTACAAGCTCTTCACTGGCTCCCGATCACTTACAGGATTCAATTTAAAATGCTACTGATCTGTTTTAAGGCACAACACAATTTGACCCCTCCTTATCTGTCGGAACTTTTAAACACACGTGTCCCCAAACGAAGCTCCAATCATCCTCTCTACATCTGTTATCTGTTCCCAAGTCTACGCTGAAGTCCAGAGGCGACAGGGCCTTTTCTGTGGCTGCTCCCAAGCTCTGGAACAGCATTCCCTTACAGATTAGGTCTGCCAACAGCCTTTCTGCTTCTAAGTCTCTTTTAAAAACCTACCTTTTCACCCTTGCTTTTAACTGATTTTATTGTTAATTAATCTTAGGGTCTACTGGAAGGCTCTCAGTGTTTTATCATTTTATTTTTACTGCTTGTCTGTGTACAGCACTTTGTGCAGTCTCTGATTGTTGGAAATGTGCTATATAAATAAACTTGACATTGACTTAGTTCTGTTCCATGCAGCAAATGTAACATTACATAACCACTGGAGGTTTTATTTGTTCATCTGGAGCTTCTCCAATGAAGTCAAATCAGAGAAGTGTGTGAATCTTTCCGAGCTCATGTCAGCTACCACTGCAGATCAGGTTTTATTCAGAGCATCAGCAGTAACAGATTTTTTCTGGAAGGGAAAAAAGTTTTGTAAAAGTGCACTTCTAAATAACTTCGATTTCCAAGGTAAATAAAGTGACGTGAGTCTTTGCTCAGTCACTTGTTCTCCATGTTTAACACACACTGCCTTTTTCTCAGCCCCAGCTCTGCTGCGTCTGCTCCAGAGCGGTCCACCTTCCTCTTGGACAGAGATCCATTACAAGAGACGCAGGATCTCTCAGAGCAGCAGTTCAGCATCTGACACGAACTTCCCTTGCTTGAGATCGGAAGTCCAGAAATGGGAAAGTCATTAAGCTGCAGCTCTACATCTATAGTTTGGATGTCCATCAGAGAAGAAGGCGCCCTTTCTTCTGTCATATTTGCACAACCATCTCGATCGCTGTAGGAGGACAGAGTGTCGAGTCCACAGTCCCACAGCTCAGAATCACTTCTGCATTTCCTCTGGACATCACCGGGATCTGGGACTGTGGTTTGCTGAGCTATTAAAGAACCTGTCATCCCATTTTTCACCAGTTTGGCGGAGTGGTGTAGGACTGGTCGCCTTCTTCGGCCTGAGAGGCGGCATCCACACACCTTCCCCTGCTGCCTTAGCCTGCTGCTGATGTTGGACTCATCAGAATCCTCTGAGCTCCCATCGTATGGGTCCAAAAACTACAACCACGAGAACACAGACTTATTTATGAACCCGCTGAGCAGAAAGACGTTGAGGAAATGAATGCCTAAAAGAATACGTACCAAAGAATAAGATGCATGTCGCCCTGCAGACTTGTATGTTGATGCACGCTGTGAAGTCCTGCTCACACACTCCTACTCACAGAGATAGATCACTAAGCTTTTGCAGTTTAATAACACTTCCTAAATGACAATAGATGCCAAAGTGAGCAGGTTTTATGAAAAGTTTGACCGTTCAAAAATACAAGTACTTTTTCTGATCAATGATGAGCAGTTTATCAGCGTAGGTGTACATGTTTCTAAAATGTACTCCCTGATTTAAAAAAAATGCAGTTTAGGAATGAGAGAAGTACCAGAGTGCTGGTGTCGGACCATTTCGGACTGATTTCTGAGTCAGATTCCGTGCTTGAATCCATCTTACACATCTCCTGACAAAAAGAAAATCACAGGTCACATTCTTACAATTTAGAAATGTGCAAGCGGATAAATTGTAGAAGGGGTTTTAAATAACTTACCGTGTAGCTGAAAGAAAGCTGGTCCACCGAGTTGGGTGCACGCCTATCACTGAGGTCTCAATTTAGATAAAAGATATGTATATTATTTATTATGACAAATATCAAAATTTACTTGTAAACATTTGGAAGAAATTGGAGGAAAATGAAATTAATAAATCACAATCAATAAAAACTCAACTCAGCTTCTATAAACTGTCGTTCAATGAATATTTAAACGTTATCTAAATGATTTTATCTCCTTATTCTCCCATACCTTGTAGTGAACATTGTTGTCCTTTCCTACACGCCATTATGACACTTGTTTTATTTTATTTTTAGACCAAAAAGTGGTGAAATAGCAAAAGAATTTTGTAAAAATGCTGCCAGAAAAACTTTCAGCAATCAGCAGAGTACCAGGTGCTTTTGATTTTAAACAGCAAAAATGTGGACACAGCTGAGTTAAAAACAAAACAAACGTGTCAAAATAAGACGTCCGGTCAAAATCTTTTCAAAATAAAACACCTTTAAAAGTGCCTAAATGTGTTTCATAGCGTTTTACTTATCTTGGAAGTTACATGGCCACAAGTAATATTTATTTAGAGATCTTCTCCTTCCCAGTTCCTCTGTGAACCGCTGGGGGGAACGGGAGAGTCAGCTCCCAGCGTCGCTCACCCTGCTCCCATCCGTGCGTAAGATCCGGCCTGGGGGAAAGGGATGAATGTTAATTTCAAAGATGGCGGCGGAGGGAGGAGGGAAGGAGATGAACGAAATTAAAACTCAGTTCACCACTCGAGAAGGTGTCTACAAACTCCTCACTCACTCCGAATACAGCCGTCCTAACAGGGTGCCTTTCAATTCGCAAGGCTCCAACCCCGTTAAGGTCTCCTTCGTGAACGTCAACGACCAGTCGGGTAACGGCGACAGGATCTGTTTCAATGTGGGCCGTGAGCTCTACTTCTACATCTACAAAGGCGTTAGAAAGGTATCGTGCTAAGTCGGCTAATGTCAACAGCCATGGAAGACACTGCTGGTTGTGGTGCATTATCGTTGTCTCAGCTGTCGTTGGAGTTTTGGGCTGTCAGTGTGCTATTTCAGAACTATGACAGGCGCTTGACTTTGAAATTAGCTGGCAGCTTGCTAGTTAGCTCGAAGCAGTTAGGTAGCTAGGCTACTCGCTAGCTAGCCAGCACCACTGGCTGACATTAAGAAGCTGAGGCCAGGACCTAAAATCTGATATTTTGTTTTAGTTGGACTTGAATTTGCATGAAGGCCTCAGGGGTACATTCACAATTTGTATTGTCTCAACTTGTCAGCGTTGAAACTGTTGCGGATCCGGTTTGTGATGAAACTGTCGACTTGTTAGCTGACAGGTGCCTGACAGTGATTTAAAATCAGTGTATAGCCAACTATTAAACTATAAAGTTGGTTGTTATCAATGCTATCCCACATTTTTGGGTTGTATTGTACACATTTCATGCCTGTCATTCAGCATCATAGCATTTACTTATTGGAAGTGTTGTTTATAGCCTGCCTGATCAAAACTTAGCATATACTCTGAACCAAAAATTGAAAATTTTCTTGCTTCACAGACAAAACTACACTGTACATTTATATAGGCGTCCTATCTGTATAGGATATATATTATAATAACATTTAGCCTTCCATTAAATGTAAACACTTATTTTTTTTTCAAAGTAGAAATCACTTAAATTGAAAATGCAATCAAATCCTTTTATGCAATGACAGCAGGATCGTAGTTCAGATTGAATTAGACTGACTCACCATCTTTTAGACTGGTAATCAAAACACTTATGTGTGTGAGAGCTCTACCACTTCACGCTGCAATTTCATATCATGTGCTGCTTTTCAGCCCTTCATGAGTCATTTAGTTCTCCCAGCAGTGCTTGGTGATGGAGAACTCTGAGAAATGCATGACATTTTTCTGTTCACGCTGAAAATAGAGAATGAGTAAACGTCATAGGATGGCTGGTATTTAGATTTCAAGACACAGTAATTGTTGTGTTCAGAAGTAATGATGGAAATGATTCAGAAGCAGCATTTTTCTTCTTTTAAAGTAGTTTTAGTCAGAGAGCTCTTGCGTTCATTTATTTGGTAGGGACTGTGCACACTAATTAACAGCTATTGAAGATTCAATATATGTAAATATGCCAAATGCTACAGTCCCTAGGCAGGTCACATTAAAATATAAACTTAAATTTTGTGTCTTGTTTAATAACACATTGATATATTTTCAGACTTGATATACTGTTCAGTCTTACTCCATTACATTTACAAACTAGTAAAATATAAGTGCTATGTGTGAAATATCTTGATGAGGGTGAGACAAAAACCTTCAATGTCAAGGCTAACATTAGTGAGTCATCATTTTACCCCTAAATGTGTTTTCCATACCCCCCTGCAGTGGTAATTGTAAATCATTACCAATCAGACTGTTGTTACATTCTTTTTGGCTTATTCAGAGCATTTCTGTGCATTTTAGTTACTCTGAGAGTCAGATTTCACCCTGATGCCTTTAAAATCTTAGCTGTATCACCAGTTTTTGATGTTGATTTTTGTAGAAGATCACATTTTCTTCATCATTCTATTTGAAATGAAACGTAAAGAGTGCAGTAGCTCAAAGTCAGATTGTTAAAGGTGTCTGTACTTGCTTTATGCTCTCTCTCGCTCCCTTCCTCCAGGCTGCTGACTTGAGCAAGCCCATAGACAAGCGTATTTATAAGGGGACGCAGCCCACGTGTCATGACTTCAACCACCTCACAGCGACAGCAGAGAGCGTGTCCCTGCTGGTGGGCTTCTCAGCAGGACAGGTCCAGCTCATTGACCCCATCAAAAAGGAGACGAGTAAACTCTTCAATGAGGAGGTATGCCTCTGAAGGATAGACGGCACATTGTAATTCTGCAACGTTTGCCACACGTGTCTAGATTTTTAATATCGTAACAAACTATGCATTGGAAAGTGACTCAGATATTTTAATATTCTTTTTTCCCCCTCCAGAGACTAATAGACAAGTCCCGAGTAACTTGTGTGAAATGGGTACCTGGCTCCGAGAGCCTGTTCCTGGTCTCTCATGCCAGTGGGAATATGTACCTGTACAACGTGGAGCATACCTGTGGCACCACAGCACCACACTACCAGCTGCTCAAACAGGGAGAGAACTACTCCGTACACACGTGCAAGAGCAAATCCACGCGGAACCCCCTCTTGAAATGGACAGTGGGGGAAGGGGCTCTAAATGAGTTTGCCTTTTCTCCAGACGGCAAGTTCCTTGCTTGCGTTAGCCAAGACGGCTTTCTACGGGTGTTCAACTTTGACGCTGTGGAGCTTCACGGCACGATGAAGAGCTATTTTGGTGGCTTGTTGTGCGTGTGCTGGAGCCCCGATGGGAAGTACATAGTTGCAGGTGGAGAAGACGATCTAGTGACTGTGTGGTCGTTTTTAGACTGCAGGGTCATTGCCCGAGGTCATGGCCATAAGTCATGGGTAAGTGTGGTGGCGTTTGATCATTACACCACTAGCGTGGAGGAAAGTGACCCGATGGAGTTCAGCGGCAGTGACGAGGACTTCCAGGATCAGGTGATCCACTTTGGGAGAGACAGAGCCAACAGTACCCAATCTCGACTTTCCAAGCGCAACTCTACAGACAGCCGGCCTGTAAGTGTAACGTACCGGTTCGGCTCAGTGGGCCAGGACACTCAGCTATGTCTGTGGGACCTCACCGAGGACATTCTTTTCCCCCATCTTCCTCTTTCAAGGACACGGACACACACTAATGTGATGAATGCTACTAGCCCTCCTGCGGGCGCTACAATCATCACCAACACCTCTAGTAACACTACAAATGGAAACAACAGTGGTTCCAATACACCCGGCGTGAACTCCCTCTCTTCCACGTTGCCACGCTCAAACAGCTTGCCCCATTCAGCTGGCACCGCTACAGCTAACAGCACCAACAAGGCGGGCAGCGGGGGCAGTGCAGTCAGCGGCGGGATCATGGACAGTGCCATTGCTACCGGCGTGAGTAAATTTGCCACGCTCTCGCTGCACGATCGGAAGGAACGCCACCACGAAAAGGACCACAAACGCAACCACAGCATGGGTCACATCAGCAGCAAGAGCAGCGACAAGCTCAACCTCCTGACAAAAACCAAAACGGACCCCGCCAAGACGCTCGGCACGCTGCTGTGCCCCCGCATGGAGGACGTGCCGCTTCTCGAGCCTCTCATCTGTAAAAAAATAGCACACGAGAGACTGACTGTACTCATATTTTTAGAGGACTGTTTAGTGACTGCATGTCAGGAGGGATTTATTTGCACATGGGCGAGGCCAGGCAAAGTGGTAAGTTCTTTTTAACAGGAAATGGTGGGAAGGTTGCAGTGATCAGATTGTCTGTCACTCTTTAGCAAGATCTATATTCTAAAGATAACAACAAACTTGTGACTTTTGGAACAGCTTTTTATAGTCGAGTTGTCATTTTGTAGGCAGGCAGGTAAACTGAAACTGTCTGTGTTTACGTTATTTTTTTCTTTCATAAAACGTATGCTCTTTTTTGGCTACGTAACAAATTCTGGTGAGATTTCTGTGTGGACTTGTGATGTGAAGGTGAACTTAGGTCCTTAATGAAAGCTGTTTGGTTCCTAAATCATCTAACAGTGCCTAGCTAACAAAGCAAACCGCCTCTACCGACCTTCAGGTTGGGTTCTGGTACTGTAGCTTCTTTCATTTTGGATCTGCTTTCTGTTTGGGAAATATCTCAGTTTTAAGCTAAGACATGGATAAATAGAAACTACTGTCAAACTCTGGATCTTTTTTTATTTTTTTATTTTTTTTTTTTTTACTTTTTTCCTGTGTGACCTCTTCCCCATGACCACTGATCATCAGCCTCTTGTTCTGTTCTCCAGCGAAGCTTCCTCTCTGATTAATGCCTGCTGTTCAAGTTCTTGACTGTACTCCACTTAAGACCGCTAAAAGACATCATCACATTGTTTATTAACTAGCAGGAACAGATGCTGCTCACCTGTGAAATCAATAGCTGTAGTCTTTGTGTTAAAAAAGAGCCGAAATCCAAAATATAGACATATATTCTGTTTAGAGGACTAACTGGATGCTAATCACTAACTAATCGCTTGCTGCAACCAACAACTTTGACATAAATCACAAACCGAGTGAACTAAAAAGTATAAAACTAAGCCTAGATCCATTTGATAATTAGATTTGCTAACATGCCGTGGGACCATCTCAACCCTACTCACATTTCAGCTTTTATGCAAACGACCCAGGGTTTTGCCTGAAGATTCCCTGCAGCTCTTTGCATGCTTAAACTCCCTTTTCCCTCTATACACTCACCCAGTTTTTCACAGAATACACCACCTTATGAAATTTAAACCACTTTAGAAATGTAGAACGGGTACATTTACTAGGAGAAGTGATGGAGGTTCGCTGCTAATGAAGATGGACTCCATTAGAGGCACGGCGCTGCTTCCACGCGGTTTCCAGGATTTGGAAAGCCGAGCCACGTTTCACTAAGCTATTTGTTGTTTGATTCTGCTACAGTATGTGGACTTTCCCAATGCAAATCTCCTTGTTTTCCTTTTTCTAGGGTTTACTGTCATCCCAAAACCAAGCCAGCTCTCCCAGTGGGACAGTAGTATAGCCACAATATTTCTGCTGCTAAAGAACCCTGCAACCCCAGAGTCCGATGCTGCGCTTCACCCTGCAAGCATTGCAAGTTTTTCTTTTCTTTTTATATCCTTCCCTCCCAGTTTTGTTAATGGCTTCTCTGTTTTTGTTCATCACTCCCTTGACTTAGAGAAGGAATGAAACCAGGGGGGTAGGAACGGGGAAATGGAGTTGGATTATCGACTATTGTGCTATTTTCTGGAGTTTTAACACATTTTAGGTCTTTTAAAATGTTTGTTTTGTGTCCGATCTCGCCAGACTGTTATCTGTGTTAAACGCAGACCAAATGAGAGGTGCCATGTTCCATACAACCCATTTAAGGCTACAGACTGTGAATTTTGGAAGAACTTATGAGTTGCTTGAGCATTAGAAAGTCTCATCCATCCATATTCACCCTGTGTCTGTTTACTCCTGACTAGAATCTCCCCATTGATGACTTTGCACTGATTTTGTTGTTTTTCTAGAACTGCTCTAATGAACAGAAAGAGGGCTGAGGACTGCCTTGCTGCACTCGGCTTAACATCCTCAGTCTTGAAATCTGAATCCATAAAGCAGGATGCTGCGGTCGGTGTCTTTTTAAAGAGAAAAATAAACGGTTTGCACTTAAATTTATTAGAAAATAAAGGCTTTACATTTTTGGGTGTGCTAAAACTCATAAATGGCTAATACGGTAGTTGAAGAAAAGAATAAAAAGTTATGAAAACCTTTATCTACTGAGCATTTATTTAAATATGATTTCAGATTTAAATCTGCTCTGTATCATAATGTGTATACTGTAATTAATTGATTTGAAGGGGGCATAAGCGAACTACCATTACTTCAGTGGAAGTTTTGTCATTGATAGTTATATTTCTAAAGCCTAAAGTATACATATTAATAATATTAAAATACTCTTGAATACACGGTTTGCTGTTTGTTTTTGTTCTGCACCCACACAACACAACGGGACTGACTCAGACTCAAGGTTCAGTTTCAAAATAAAAGCTTGTTTAGATCTTTTGAACATGTAGGTTGTTCAGTGTAAATGTTTCTGTTGGACACAAAAAGCTGTTTACAGTTAGAGCACTGTCTGTGTTTTATGCTCTTATTTACTGTCGTATATAACAGCCTGACTTGTGTAGCTTTCCACTGACAAAAGCAGAGGGAGTCAGTTTTTAATACGTTTTTGTTTTGGTTTTATTTTTTCTCAGTTAAGTCACAGAACATCCATACTGGCAAAATCTAAACACGACATGTGAATAGCTCACGTAACACGTGTAAAACCGTTAGATCCTCCTGAATTGGTTACAAAATCATCCTGTGCTCTCTGAACTCCAGCCGCGTTACGACACGTGTCCAGATCTTACTAGTCTTGTGATGACAGCTGTGTTTCCACTTCTGACCCTTGTACAGAGGACTAAAGATCATAAAATCAGCTTCATTCACACGTGTCATAAAGAGAACTATTCACTTCTTATGACACCATCAATGTTGACCTTAAACCATTTTCAATATTTAACAGATTATTCAAAACAAGAATTTCTTCGTATGTATGTGTGTGTGTGTGTCTTAAGTTTGTCATAAGGAAAGGAAAACAAAACCACTTCCTGGTTGAAGGTTATCTACGATTGTTATATTTTCTCTTTGTCTCTAGATTTTGTTGGATTATTTCTTCTTTTCTTTAGCAACCTGACGAGAAGGAAGGTTTTATTTATGTACCGTTACAATTTCGCTCAGTAGACAAAAGTGTATAAACTGGTCCAGAAAAGCCACAAATTTACAGACAGGCTGTCACATTCAATGTATTGTTGTGTGTGTGACCGCGTCTGGGCGTGGTGAAGATTAGCATCGGTTCATTCTTTGTAAAATGAGACGATCTGAACGGTGTCGGGTGACTGCAGGTGGAAAAGAGGGGTATTTGTTCTTGGACGAGTGAAAAAGCTTATTGCTCAGCTGTGAACGAGTAGAACACCATAAAACTTTAGTGGACAGGTTGCATTCAGTTTGGTGTTGGTTGTAACAGGTTTTATGGTCTTCAATGCAAACGATGAGCATGTTTGTGAGGTTTTACACCATTTACATCACGCCTGTCCTTTACACATCTGCTTTTCAGGTCCGTCCAGTTTGAGCAGAAAAGTTTTAATCTGATGTGTTTGGCTCTCAGGTGCCCCCGTGCTTCCGATCCAGAGGTGGTATGTAGCGGGATTTAAAAGCTGTGCAGCGCGACTCTCCCTGAGTCTGTGAAGAGATGAAATATGCAGTTAATTTTAGTTCTTTAATGATCAATCAAAAAAAAGTCAAACTGCCAACAAAATAACAACTTTAAAACTTTGGAAATAAACTTAAAACTGGAAATGTTGTAATTTATTTTCTAAACCAGAAATTTGTTTTGTGCATCTCCCATTTTATTTTTTTATTTATTTTTTTGCTGTCAAAACTATTTTAGTTTGATACAAAGACTAGATTTTTAAGGGGAGCCTCGCGGGCCACGAAGGACCTCGCCTTGCTAGTCAGAGTCATGAAGGTGACACCAGTCACTGAGCGCTCATCCACAGTTGCTGTGGCAGGCCAAGGGAGAAGATGTAACCAGGCGATGATGGCAGAGGAGTTAAATGCCCACCCTGTCATCTGAAGGTTGTCAGTTTGAGTCCCACTCACTCTTTTGGAGTTGTGGGTTTGGAATGGTGTGTGAGGTGCCTTTGGGCAAGACACCTCACACTGGTAGTGGTAGTGGTTGGAGGCACCGGTTACGGCAGCTGTGGCTACATTGTAGCTCATCACCACCAGGGTGTGAATGTGTGTGTGTCAGTGAATGACTGGTAGTGTTGTAAAGCACCTTGGGGGGTTATAGAACCCTGGAAGCTGCTAACTCAATTACAGGTTTTTTACTAACCATACACTGGAAATGTATGAGCTAGTGGGGCAGCAGTAGCTCAACTGGTTGAGCGGGTTGTTCAGTAATCGGAAGGTTGCAGGTTCGATCCTGGCTCCTGACAGAGAATTCTGCTGTTGTGTCCTTGGGCAAGACACTTAACCCAACTTGCCTGCTGGTGGTGGTCGGAGGGACCGGTGGCGCGTGTGCTCGGCAGCCTCGCCTCTGTCAGTGCGCCAGGGCAGCTGTGGCTACATCGTAGCTCATCCCCACCAGTGTATGAATGTGTGTGTGAATGGATGAATGATACACTGTAGTGTAAAGCGCTTTGGAGTCCTAACTCTGAAAGGCGCTATACAAGTGCGGGTCATTTATCATTTATTCTTACAAAGTTCCAACACATTCACTGTTTTTGAAATGTTGTGATGATAAAAATGTTCAAATGTTCACAAATTTTTTTCTCATGTTGAAAACAAAGTCTTTGATTAAACAAACAAAAAAAAGTCCATAAAATACAGTTTGAATGAAAAGTATAGGTATTGTTCCCCGTTATGATTACCTTTGTGGACTGTGGCTGGCTTTTTGGTGTGATGGCTGGCAGCGTTCCTCCGTGAGTGAAGGGAAAATCCGACAGAGCAGAACCTGGAAAGGAGGCGCGTTGTCCCAACACGGCCATGTTGATCTGGGGCAGCTCTAGTGGACGAGGCCCGTTTCGTCTGTTAAGGGAATCCGCTACATGTTTGGAGTTGTGCTGAAAAGACAAAACTGATTAAATGCATCTGCAGCATCTCGTCTTCTGTCTCCTAGCGACACTCACACTCATTAAAGGTGTCTGTCTGATGTGCCTTCCCCTCAGGTGTTTAACGAATCTGCTCGGCCGATAGATTTGTGTCAAGGGGGCTTGAATCACAGGACCCCCAACTCCATCAAAGGGCTCTAGGAGTCTGTGAAGAGGCTCGGCTTTTTTCTCTGCCATTCTGAAAAGAGAAAGGGTTGGTCATGAAGATGACGCATATTTAAATTTAAAAGTGGTTTGACAGTTGAGGGCTTCACCTGATTTCCCTAAAGTACGTGTGCCTCAGTGCTGTTTCTGCGGCGATGCGCTCATCGGGGTCATAGGCAAGCGTCTGATACAGCAGCGACAGAGCCGGAGCTGGGCAGTTTGGGAGTAACCAGGAGATGCCGGTGCCTTTCTTCGGGGGGAAGTTAAAATGCATGGCTCTAGACCTGCCAGACATGGAAACACCAAAACATATTCACATTTTGAAATAATTGGCTCGCATCGGTTTGAGTGGAAGCACTTACTGCTTGAACTTTTTTAGAACACTTTGATCCGGTGTCCCCAACACTTGGTGGATCTTGGCAACCTGGTCCAACTCGTTTGTTCCAGGGAAGAGAGGATTCAAGCTGAAACGCCAGCAGCCACAGCAGAACTACTTACACAGTTTCAGGAACATACTTGTTTACATCCTAGAGAATGCAAAGGCCAGCGACAAGTCCATGTACGAAAATATTGATTCACTGAAATGCCGCCATAACCCATCGGTTACAGGGCGAACTAACCTCCGAGCCTATGTTGCCACACTGGTTGTGTTGGAAGCATCTGGCCAGAGTTTCCCAATTAAATTCAGTCTTAAATATAGCAAATATCTAGTTTTTAGTATCACAACATATTGTATTGTGATATATATCATAATGCCAGATTCTTGCCAATATGCCTTAATAAATTCTGACTTTGATCAGAACCAAAAGTTAAACCCACCTCATGATTTCAAAAAAGACACAACCGGCGCTCCAGATGTCCATCTTCAGGCTGTAGTATCCGTCTGTGAGGAGGCACTCCGGGGCTCTGTACCATCGTGTGGAAATGTACTCTGTGTGTGGTGGCTTGGAGTACACGCTGCGACAGGAGCCAAAATCACCCAGCTTCAGAATGTTGTGCTGTAACATCAGAAAGGTTCGTGTTGAGCATTTGAACGTCCTCACACGGCTCAGAAAGCAGAGTTCAGCACTGATCTGTCTCACTTTTATGAGAATGTTTTCAGGTTTCACGTCTCTGTGGAAGATCCCACAGCTGTGCATGTGTTCCAGCGCTTTTAACAGTTGGTACATGTAGTTTTTGACTGTCTGGTCATGCAGGGGTGTTTGTCTTCCTGCAAACATCATTACATGCTGTTTTTAACCCAAAACATAAACAACATCTTCAAGTTTCACTTTTCTCACCTTGAATGTGCTCATAGATGTTCATCTCCATCAGCTCGCATATTAAAGACACTGTTCCGCTTTCTTTGTCACTGAAACATTGTTGGGTTATTAAAATACAAACAAGTTTAAGATGTCAGAATGCATGAGAAACAATGCAGTGCTCACAAAATCAGGTCATGGAGTTGGATGATGTTTGCATGAGGACTCAGTCGTCTCATCGCCTGGACCTCACGCAGGTTGTTGGCCTGTTCCAGACTAGAAGAACAAAATGGGATTGTGCTTAGTCACATTTGCTTCACACAAGTTACAGCAGAATGAGAAAACTGAAAGGTGTGCTATTCCACAATAAATGGTTGCAAAGTTTTAACACACATTGTTAACAACAAAAGACAAACTTTTAGTTCATCAGACAAATTGTAACAAAGCAAGTTTTACATTTAATATACTTCAAGTCAATATATGACAGAGAATTATTGGAAATGGCACCACAATGTGGGACAAACATACCTGTTAATTCTCTGTTTCATAGTTTTGCATGCATAAAACTTCCCATCCTTCAGGCTCTGGGTCTTCAGCACCTCTGAAAACGTACCCTCTCCAATTTTCTTAATTACTTTGTAACCTGCAACAACAAAAACACAATGGAATAATTAATGATAATTGCATCAGCAGCTGGGGCTGCGCGGTGGCGCAGTGGTTAGAGCTGTTGCCTTGCAGCAAGAAGGTTCCTGGGTTCACTTCCCGGCCTGGGATCCTTCTGCATGGAGTTTGCACGTTCTCCCTGTGCATGCGTGGGTTCTCTCCTGGTACTCTGGCTTCCTCCCACAGTCCAAAAACATGACTGTTAGGTTGATTGGTCTGTCTAAGTTGTCCCTAGGTGTGAATGTGTGTGTGCATGATTGTTTGTCCTGTGTGTCTCTGTGTTGCCCTGTGATGGACTGGCAACCTGTCCAGGGTGTACCCCACCTGATTGCCCATTGACCGCTGGAGATAGGCACCAGACCCCCCCCCCCCCCCCCCGCGACCCCACGCGGACAAGCGGGTTCAGAAGATGGATGGATGGATGCATCAGCAGCTCACAACACATTCATTAAATGTAATCAATAATAATAATAAATAAATATGTGAGAAACGTTTTTGCTTCAGAAACTGCAAACTCCTATCTGGACATTAGGATTTTGTTTTGTTTTTAAATAAAGATTTGGGGTCATTTTAAATTTTCTAAACAGCTATCAAAAATAATAATAAAAAACTCCTATTTTTGTTCTAGCTACTAGATGTTTGGTTTGAACGTCTAATACTTCTTTATTTTTTTAAGTTACTTTTCTGATTTTACCTGTCAGATTTTATTTTAATGTTTTCATTTTACAGGAAAGACAGATTAGGTAAATTGTGTATCTAATTTATCTTACTTTCAGCAATTTCACCACAAGCAAAGGTAATTTTTTTTAACAATGATTCCAGTGATATTTTCATCTATTTTATTGTGTATGTGTGTGTATGGTTGTTCCTCTGATGAGCTCCAGAGGTTAAAACAATAACTGCTAGCAAGCACACATGTAGAGAAACCCTCTATAAAACCTTTTTTCCTCACTTACTTTTCATTCTTTTAGGATTTTGCCGCCGCATTTTGGTTGATTATCACGACCAAAGGTATCTTTGTGGTACATGCTAATTATAAGCTAGAAAATGAAACATTTCCACGCAACGAGGGCACAGAAGTCCCTCTTGTTGGTGCTAGCCTAGCCCCAGCTGACCGTCGCCTTGGTAACGGTGCACGCCTTCGCCCTCCACTCTGACCTGAGGAGGAACTCAGACTGAACCAACCTCAGCCTGGCCCTTCGATTAAAAAAATATCAGAATATAAACATATAATAAACCCCAATTTTTTGACAACGACCAGTCAAGCCGATTTATTCAACAATCAGGCCCCGAAAAAAAGACAAAAAAAAAAAAAAACCTCCATCCTTACCTTTTTTCCAGAGGTGCGCCGTTTTCTCTTTTGGCTGCGGGTTTTTGTTCTGCATTCCCGCAGCATTTCCCCTATTATTCCAGTCTGTGCTAGAGCTCGTTTTGCTTGCATTTCTTAAGCTTGCTCTATTCTTAACGTCAATAAGCCAGTTTGAGTAGTGCAGCATTGGTGCACATTAATTGTGAAATAGCTGACCATGCGTTTAATGGCTTAAAAAAGGCAATTCTCGCAGGAGAGAAACAGCAGATTCTCTACATTCATAATATTACGGTTCCGTTACCAGACACAAGAGCATCTCAAAGCGGCTGCCAGTCTATGCAAAAGGCGTGGACCTTCTCTATTTTGACCCCAACCGGCTTCCGTAAGAAAGCAGAACGTGTGCACTTTCAGTGTTGCTGAATGTATTAATTTTCTTGTTGCTCTTGGGATGTGAAGTATACACGAAGGGGTTGTTTTTAAATCACCATTATTCTGGATTTGATTCACCATGAAAACCCGATTCACCACGGTGGATATCCGGGCAGTTATTGCCGAAATCAATGCCAAGTATGTGTTGTTAGGCTAAGCTAGCATTAGCCCACTAAATGTTACTGTCTATTTTTATTCACATTCATTTATTTCACCTCCTCATTTCACAGTTACATTGGCATGAGGGTAAACAACGTGTATGACATCGACACTAAGACGTATCTCATCCGTCTGCAGAAGTAAGAACATAAGGTTCTGAGTGCTACTATTTATGCTAGCTTAAGTCATAAAGCTCTTGCTAATAGAAACATACATGCGTAATATTAGAAGCATAAAGATTTAAGTGATTCAATGATTACTGCTAGAATAGATCACTGTTTTGACGTATACATGTAAATAAATCACTTTGTTAATAAAGTTAGATCTTGAATTGATCGGTTTTAAACGGGGAATAATGGGAGTTTTTTTTAGCTGGAAACAACAAAACTACACAGAAATGTTACTGTTAGTTGTCACATATACAGAAGATTCTGTAACGTGTATGATGAAAAGTAAAGTATGTGAATGAAGTCTGTCTTCTCCCAGACTAGGATGAATAATAATAATAATTATTATTATTTTACACAGACCTTCACTTGTATGTGTTACAGTTGTGTTTCTGTTTCAGACCGGACAGCAAAGCTGTTCTCCTGATTGAGTCTGGCACTCGCATCCACTCCACAGACTTTGAATGGCCCAAGAACATGATGCCTTCAGGCTTTGCTATGAAAGTAAGAAGATCCATGTAATTGTTAAAGATCGTGATGTTTTTTCATTATTATACCCTGCTTCAAAAATGCTGATTGCTCTGTGAATATTTATATGTTTTGATAGCACTTAACTTGATTTTTATCCACAGTGCAGAAAACATCTAAAGACCCGCCGGCTTACCCAGGTTAAGCAGCTTGGGATCGACAGAATCGTGGACATCCAGTTTGGTTCGGATGAGGCTGCCTACCACTTGATCATTGAACTTTACGACAGGGTCAGAAAACATCATCCATTGCATTTGGAACTCTTCCAGGTCACATTTATCCTGATTAATACACATTTATGTTTTGTTTCCTCATCTTTACTTTCAGGGTAACATCATCCTTGCAGATCACGAGTACACAATCCTGAATCTGTTGAGGTTCCGAACCGCAGAAGCAGAAGATGTTAAGATTGCTGTGAGGGAGAGGTACCCAGTGGAGAGCGCCAGACCACCGGAGCCCCTCATCAGTCTTGAGAAGTAAACCATTTATTTGATATAGATAGAGAGGACATACATCAGTGTTCAGTTAGCCTTTATTACATTAGTCTGCAGCACAAACATAGTGTTATTGTTCTCTTTAAAGACTCACTGACATCCTGAGCAAAGCACCAAATGGAGAGCAAGTGAAACGAGTCCTGAACCCTCATCTGCGTAAGTCGCTGGACACACAAACACTGTGATTGTTTATTTGAACAGATAATATTGTAGATTTTAGAAATCTTCATTCCTGTAAAAACAGAGAGATTATTTATTGTAGGTCATTCTTCAATCACAGCCATTTTCACTGGACTGGGAAGCTCTTAAAGCATTAATCCATGATGTGCAATCCTGATGGATAAGAGAGAGGGAGAGTCCAGTTATAACAGGAAGTTACGGAAACTGCTCTAAAGTTACTAAAATGTATGATTCACATCATGTAAGTTAGTCTCGGGTTTGGAAAAAAATAGTCTGGATCTTAATTTTTACTAAGTTTTCTCAGCTTAGACATGCAACGTTTTATAAATGAGATCAGATATTACACTTTGCAACAGAAAAATCTGATCCTAGCGGTAAAACATGGCTGCTCGAGTGTGTTTGGGAACCAAAGCCACAGAGATTTTACTGTTTCTTAGGACAAAACATGCATCAAACTGTGTTTTCAGAGAGAAGTCATGGCAGCAAATACAGACAAGATCACAGAATTGTTTCAAAATATCATTAAATAAGATTGATCTAAATTCACAAGTCTGGTTCAAAGAAATTGTTCTAAATTCCTCCTCGTTTTTAACTCCAAATAAAAAGCCTGTTTCTTGTCCAAATAAGCATTTTCTTATTAATTCTTAACACGTTGCTTCAAGAAAGCCTAATGATGATTTTCAGTTTATTTATTCATTTTTTAATCATTAAACTTCTCATAAACCCGTTCAGCTTACGGAGCCACTCTGATCGAACACAGTCTTATAGAAGCAGGACTGCCGGGTTCGCTCAAAGTCGACAGCCAAGCTGATGTTGCTGAAGGTAAAATATGGACGTCGATTTTATTATTATTAATATTTTATTCTTTTAACATGAATGCACTAACAGGACCTTTGTTTTTTTCTCCTCAGTTGCCTGTGAAATCCTGAAAGCCTTGCAGATGGCAGAAACCTACATGGAAATAACGGAAAGATTCAGCGGCAAAGTCAGTAAAACATCTTTTATAAGTATTGAAGTAAACTGTAATTTTTTTTACTATACTTTAAATGTTATTTATTTTAAGGGTTACATCATCCAGAAGAGTGAGAAGAAACCAAGTTTGACTCCGGGCAAACCCGGTGAAGATCTCCTGACGTACGTCTCGTTAAAGGCATACTATGCAAATTCATATTCTTGAGCCAGTATGTACTAAAATGATGCTTTACAAGGTTAATGAAATGTCACCCAGACCCCGCCGCCCTCTGTGTCCAGAATATCGCACTTGCAACTTGAGAGTGGCGCTGCAGTCTGCTTCCAGCGCATTTCCTGCATGTTTTAGATCATGAACACAGCGGATTTGTTTAATTTAGTGATGAATCACTCCTGTAGACACTGATGAAGGCTGAGGAGACATTTCAGCTGTTAGATTAGGGTGTTAAAAAGACAAACGCAACAGCAAAGAGATAAGCTTCACTTTTGCTTTCATTAACAGAACACTAGAGGGTGCTAAAAACTGCCTGGTATCCCTGGGCAAAGGACAATCCTCCAGCTGATTGTTCCTAACGAGGTTATTAATTTTCTCGTTAATGTCTTCCTGCAGATACGATGAATTCCACCCGTTTCTCTTCTCTCAGCATGCAAAGAGCCCCTATATGGAGTTTGAAAACTTTAACAAGGTGAATATTAGCACAGCTGTTGCTTATGCATCTAAAGAAAACCTGTTGGCAAGAATAATGGTTTAAAAATATTTTTAAACAGGCAGTGGATGAGTTCTTTTCAAAGATGGAGAGCCAGAAGATTGACATGAAGGCCTTGCAGCAGGAGAAACATGCACTGAAGAAGCTGGAGAATGTTAAGAGGGACCACGAGCAGAGGCTGGAGGCGTTGCACCAATCACAGGTCGGCAGCAAGCAGATTTTCATTTCAGATTCACCTGATCTGTTGCAGAATTAAAAGCTTTATTCTCTGTGTTTGCAGGAGGTGGACAGAATAAAAGGGGAGCTGGTGGAGATGAATCTGCCTGTGGTGGAGAGGGCTCTGCAGGTGGTGTGCAGCGCGTTAGCCAACCAGGTGGACTGGACTGAAATCGGCACTATTGTTAAGGAAGCACAAGCTGCTGGGGACCCCGTGGCCTGCGTCATCAAGGAGCTGAAGCTGCAGACCAACCACATCACCATGCTTTTAACGTGAGATCACCGTCCAGGTGATAAACCTGCCGGAGAATCCCGGTGGTAATAATCGACGCCGCTCTGTGTGCAGAAATCCATACATTTCTGAGGAGGACCACGAAGAGGAAGAGAAAAAAGGTTCCATCGATGAGAAAGGGAAGAAAAACAAGACTAAAGAGAAAGGGCAGAGCAGGAAGCTGCAGAGGAACAAGCCCATGTTGGTGGATTTGGATCTGGGCTTGTCAGCTTATGCCAACGCTAAAAAGTGGGTTTGCATTTAAAGTTTTAGATGCACAAACACATAGAAAGCCTACAGATGACAGTCTGTCGTCGTGTTGCTTTTAGGTACTATGACCACAAACGCACTGCAGAAAAAAAGGAACAGAAAACCATTGAGGCAGCAGACAAGGTGGACAAGCTATTTTACTTTATGTATAACAAATAATTTGTCATGCATTGATTTAGAATTAATGTTTTATTTTTCATCTAAGGCTATGAAATCAGCTGAGAAAAAAACACATCAGACACTGAAGGAGGTCCAGACCGTCACCACTATTCAGAAAGCCAGAAAGGTGTACTGGTAAGGCCCTCGCCAAAGGATCCTGAGTCCGTTCCAAGTTTAATTGAAGCGTTTGTGGCTCCAGACTGTCTGCGGTCATCTTGTCCTCCCGTCTGACAGGTTTGAGAAGTTCCTGTGGTTCATCAGCTCCGAGAACTATCTCGTCATCGCAGGAAGGGATCAGCAGCAGAACGAGATGATTGTTAAACGCTACCTCCGGGCAGGTGGGGAAACTGTCCCTCTAAAGGACTCATATAATACATGTTCTTTTTGAAATCTGATTACTCAGTCTGAGTTACATATACACGCTGAATGTGAAAAATCTCGTCTGCTGCCATCATCTGCATTAGCAGAAATGAGGTAGATGGGAAAACGGTCACATCAGAAAAAGCCGCTCTCCTCTACGTCACAAGAAAAGTTAGCATTCACGGCCTCGCCCAGCTTGGCCTGGGACCGCTGAAGGCTGTTGTTGTTGATTTGGCGACCAGGAAGGAACGGAGCACATCTCGGCTAGTGGAAGCTAACTGTTAGCATTAGCAACCCTACAACATGGAGGAACACGTTCAGGCTTGTGTTATGTGTTTTGAGATAAAGCATCAGCAGACGAAGGCAGTGGAAGGGTTGTGTTGCTGTTAGCCAATCAGAGGCCAGATGTTCACATATCATGAAAAATAATGAGAAAGATGCGTTAACTTGTTTCACTTTGTTTGTTTCAAGCCGCTCTTAAAAGTAAAGTAGCAGAATCAGAAATTGTTTTTGGTAAAAGAAGTTCAGCGTGAATCAGAAGAAGCGAATCATCGATCACTTTCGATCTTGTCAGGTGACCTTTATGTTCACGCTGACCTCCATGGAGCAACTAGTTGTGTCATCAAAAACCCTTCAGGTAAACATAAGCTTCTTTTGCTATATTGTGTTTTATTTCTATATTTTTATATTCAAATCTCTTTTGTCTTCGTCCCAGGCGACCCCATCCCCCCTCGGACCCTGACAGAAGCTGGCACCATGGCTGTGTGTTACAGCGCTGCGTGGGATGCCAAGATCATCACCAGTGCTTGGTGGGTCCATCATCATCAGGTTGGTCACCTGTGAAAGCAGACGTGGAGTTTAATATCTGGCTCTGAGCAGTGGGAATTTCAGCTTTTGTTCGTTTCCAGGTGTCTAAAACGGCTCCAACTGGAGAGTATCTAACCACCGGAAGTTTCATGATCAGAGGTTTGTCGCAAAAAATAAAAATAAAATTTATGTACGTCCTTCCTTCCTTCCTTCCTTCCTTCCTTCATTCCTTCCTCTCTTTCTTTCTTTCTTTCTTTCTTTCTTTCTTTCTTTCTTTCTTTCTTTCTTTCTTCCTTCCTTCCTTCCTTCCTTCCTTCCTCTCTTTCTTTCTTTCTTTCTTTCTTTCTTTCTTTCTTTCTTTCTTTCTTTCTTTCTTTCTTTCTTTCTTTCTTTCTTCCTTCCTTCCTTCCTTTCTTTCTTTCTTTCTTTCTTTCTTTCTTTCTTTCTTTCTTTCTTTCTTTCTTTCTTTCTTTCTTTCTTTCTTTCTTTCTTTCTTTCTTTCTTTCTTTCTTTCTTTCTTTCTTTCTTTCTTTCTTTCTTTCTTTCAATAAAAAAGCTTAATCTCTTCTTTCTCCAGGGAAGAAAAATTTCCTCCCTCCGTCCTACCTGATCATGGGTTTTGGTTTCCTCTTCAAGGTAAAGTTTAGAAAACATTTCATCACTTTCAGACTGTTAGTAGCTACCGCTCCTTGCGCCTCCTACAGGTGGACGAGCAGTGTGTGTTTCGTCACAGAGGGGAACGAAAGGTAAAAACGGTAGAAGAAGACATGGAGGAGGTCACATCCAGAACGTCTGAGCTGTTGGAGGAGGGAGAGGAGCTGATAGGTAGGAAGATGTTAGCTGCATTTATAAAAAAAAACTCCTTTTTGAGCTGCTTTTTGCTATTTTTACAGGAGACAGTGGTGATGAAGATCGGGGTGAAGGAGGAGCAGAAGATGGAGAGAGCAGAGTGATAAAGGAGGACTCTGGAACGAGCGGAGACGCACCCGCTGCCGCAGACGAAGGAGAGTCGGAGTCGGAGCACAGTGACACAGAGGAGATCAGAGAAGAGGAAGAATTCAGCTTCCCAGATACAACCATCTCCCTTTCTCATTTACAGCCGAGCCGGTAAACCTTCCCACCAGGTTTCACTAACATTAAAGATGCACGAATGCAGAATAAATTCATCTTTTTGTGTGTTTGTTTTAGGATTGCTCAAACCCCTGACTTCAGAAAAGAAACAACAACTCAGGTAAGATTCTTCAGAGTCATTCCAGATTCATTAGACTTCACAACATTATTAAATATTTTTAAAAAATCCTTTCAGGAGGAAACGGATTCCCAAGGAAAAAAACACTTAAGTGCCAAACAGAGAAGGCAAGTGGCTGAAATGGAACACCTGCAGACTTTGGGTGAAATCTGCTAAAGTTGTGTGATTTCCATCTATTTTTTTTTTTAGGGAAGACAAGAAGAAAAAGCAGAAACATGGAGATGACATCACAGAGGAGAAGAGTGATGTTTCATTTGGAGGATCAGCTGTGGATCAGGGGGCCAGAGGTGGAGGAGGCCCCTCGCAACCCCCTCTGAAGAGAGGCCAGAAGGTTTGAGACCAGCTTGTCGTTTATTTAGAACTCTTTAATCTCCACAGCGCTTTCCACTTTTTTATAACTTTTAAATAATTCAGGCAAAAAAAGGCTAATATTATGTAAATCAGAGGTGTCAAACTCATTTTAGCTCTGGGGCCACATTGAGGAAAATCTAGTTCCAAGTGGGCCAGACCGGTAAATTAAAACCTGCTTCTCCCAGTCATTGAGGGCGCACCATCTGTAGCGAGGCATACAGCGCGGGACCTTTGCACTCCGACCCTGTCCAGTGCTCCAACGAGTGCGGTGAAAATATCAGCTGCTGTTGTTGAATCCATCATGGGCACCAGCTCAACAAACTCCTCTGTGACGGTCAACATGTCCTCAACTCCGCGGATGAAAATCTCCAGTTGAGCAACTTCTGTAATGTCCGTGCTTTCATTAATAGCAACTGAAAAAGCAATAAAGGACTTTACTTTTTCCTTCAATTGGCTGTCCAAATCCGCTGAAATATCAGAAATCCTGTCTGGAATTGTGTTTCTGGTCAGGCTGATATTTGCAAAAGCTTGGCACTTTTCAGGGCACACAATCTCCGCTGCCTTCATCATGCACGTTTTTTACAAATTCCCCCTCACCAAATGGTTTTTAAGCCCCTGCAATTTCATTAGCAGTCAGGTAGCTAGCTTTCACTGCAGCATCACTGAAATCTCGGCTGTGAGTAAACGCAGACTGCTGTTTCTTCAGTCCGGCCAACAGTTCATTCACCTTCTCTCTTCTCCGCTGTCCTTCAAATTTGTCATACTTTTCGGCATGAAGACTCACATAATGGCGACGAAGATTATATTCTTTCAGCACTGCAACATGCTGTAAACACACCAAACACACAGCTTTTCCGTTCACTTCCATGAAAAAATAAGGGGATGTCCATTTTTCTTGGAACAACCTGCACTCTGTGTCCACTTTTCTCCTTTTTGACAGAGACTTCTTGGGCTGAAGCACAAAATGTAGACGCCGGATTAGATATCGGGGCCAAAACAAAGTAGCTCGTCAGAACACCTGTTGCACTTGGTTGACGTACTTGCTCTGGCTGAGGATAAACGGCTTGCTTGCTTAACACAATGCCTATGACACCATCTAGTGAACGTATAGGGAACAGCAGGTTTTTTTTAATTGAAAAATTAGTTTATTTTCACTCTACATTGTAAAGTATGAAAATAAAGTTTATACAACCATCTCGCGGGCCAGATTTAACCCATTTGCGGACCGAATCTGGCCCGCGGGCCGTATGTTTGACACCCCTGATGTAAATAATAGTAAAACAATATTAATAGAAACATAATAATAATTAAAGCTGCAAGCAGCGTCGTTCGGCCCTCGCAGCTCCGCGCCGCTCCGGTCTGGACGGCAGCCCGGGGCACCAGTGCACGTCTGACAGAACAGAAACGTCAACCACCCCGACACCAGAAACCGCGAATGGCCTCCTAGTCCGCACCTCACCCTGACTCAGCATCCCCTCTGAGCTCACCATTAAATTGAATATTAAGATTACGGCGTTACGCCAGAATTCGCCATGGCATCAAAGCCCCTCCCTTTCTGGAAAGCTATCAGATCTGAATGGTCAATACAGCATCATGAAGACAGTGCATGACCTTTGTTTCATGTTGACTAAATTAGAGGGGACAAATATGGGCAGTTCACCATAAAACAATAGGCTTCCTGTAGTCAGGGGGCGGGGCTTAGGTGATGTCAGCTGTCCACATTGTCATTGTTTACAGATATGGTCAATGATCACACAGACAAAGTTCGAAAAAAATCTGATCATGCACATGGGAGTTATTAAGTCAAGTAAAGTAATGGCGAAAGGTCAAAGTTTGAGGCTTAGCCACGCCCACATCTTTCAACTTTTGAAAAATCCGACGGTTGAATTTTTTCCCCTATGTCTTAAGAGTATATAGCAGAAGTTTGAAGGCGATTGGTGAAAAGGGCGACGGAGCATCACTCTCCAAACAACGTGTGCGAAAACCACTAAATCGCGTACTTGGACCAAAATGGCCGACTTCCTGTGCAATGTTGTGCTTGGCTCCAAGAGACTTTTTTGTAGGTCCTGAGACACCACATTAGTGTACCAAATTTCGTAATCCTCAGTCAAAGCATGGCTTGGGGCTGATAGTTTAAATGGTCCTAGAGGCGCTATTTAAGACAATAGGCCACGCCCACAAACTTCAGCTATGGATATCTCTTGGGGCTCAGGCTAGGATCACTTACAAGAAGTTTCGTAGCGCTATCACAATAACTGAAGAAATGAGAGGCAAACGTATTTCCATGGCGTGATGGCGATTTTCGCCATGCTGCCAAAGCCCCGCCTTTACTCGAAACCTGCCAGTACTGGATACCAAGTGACCTCAAGTTGTCTACTGCTATTTGCCAGAGATTATGGGTGATTGGGTAAAAGGAGTCCAATAGGAAGCTGTGGAAAAAAAGAGTGGCGTGGCGAAAGGTCAAAGTTTGAGGCTTAGCCACGCCCACACCTTTCAACTTTTGAAAAATCCGACAGTTGAATTTTTTCCCCTACGTCTTAAGAGTACATGGCAGAAGTTTGAAGGCGATTGGTGAAAAGGGCGACGGAGCATCACTCTCCAAACAACGTGTGCGAAAACCACTAATTCGAGTACTTGGACCAAAATGGCCGACTTCCTGTGCGACTTTGTTCTTGGCTCCAAGAGACTTTTTTGTAGGTCCTGAGACACCACATTAGTGTACCAAATTTCGTAATCCTCAGTCAAAGCATGGCTTGGGGCTGACAGTTTTAATGGCTCTAGGGGGCGCTATTTAAGAAAATAGGCCACGCCCACAAACTTCAGCTGTCTATTTTTCTTGGGGCTCAGACTAGGATCACTCACCAGAAGTTTCGTAGCGATATCACGAAAACTGAAGAAATGAGAGGCAAACGTATTTCCTTGGCGTGATGGCGATTTTCGCCATGCTCCCAAAGCCCCGCCTTTTTTCGAAACCTAACTGTACTGGATACCAAGTGACCTCAACTTGTCTACTGCTATTTGCCAGAGATTCCTATTGATTGGGTAAAAGGAGTCCAATAGGGAGATGTGAAAAAAAGAGTGGCGTGGCGAAAGGTCAAAGTTTGAGGCTTAGCCACGCCCACACCTTTCAACTTTTGAAAAATCCGACGGTTGAATTTTTTCCCCTTCGTCTTAAGAGTATATAGCAGAAGTGTGAAAGTGATTGGTGAAAAGAGCAACGGAGCATCACTCTCCAAACAACGTGTGCGAAAACCACTAAATTGCGTACTTGGACCAAAATGGCCGACTTCCTGTGCGACTTTGCGCTTGGCTCCAAGAGACTTTTTTGTAGGTCCTGAGACACCACATTAGTGTACCAAATTTCGTAATCCTCAGTCAAAGCATAGCTTGGGGCTATTAGTTTAAATGGTCCTAGGGGGCGCTATTTAAGAAAATAGGCCACGCCCACAAATTTCAGATGTCTATGCCGCTTGGGGGTCAGACTAGGATCACGCACCAGAAGTTTCGTAGCGATATCACGATAACTGAAGAAATGAGAGGCAAACATACTTCCATGGCGTGATGGCGATTTTCGCCATGCTCCTGAAGCCCCGCCTTTTTTTGAAACCTGCCAGTACTGGATACCAAGTGACCTCAAGTTGTCTACTGCTGTTTGCCAGAGATTCCTGCTGATTGGGTAAAAGGAGTCCAGTAGGGAGCTGTGAAAAAATGAGTGGCGTGGCGACAGGTCAAAGTTTGAGGCTTAGCCACGCCCACACCGTTAAACTTTTGAAAAATCCGACGGTTGAATTTTTTCCTCTTTGTCTTAAGAGTATATAGCAGACGTTTCAAGGAGATTGGTGAAAAGGGCGACGGAGCATCACTCTCCAAACAAGGTGTGCGAAAACCAGTAAATCGCGTACTTGGACCAAAATGGCCGACTTCCTGTGCGACTTTGCACTTGGGTCCAAGAGACTTTTGTGTAGGTCCTGAGACACCACATTAGTGTACCAAATTTCGTAATCCTCAGTCAAAGCATGGCTTGGGGCTGACAGTTTTAATGGTCCTAGGGGGCGCTATTTCAGAAAATAGGCCACGCCCACCGGATGTTCACATCAGATCTTTTGGGGGGCCAGACTAGGATCACTCACAAGAAGTTTCGTGATGATATCTTTAGAAATGACGAAATGGGAGGCAAACGTAAGGCCACGGCGGTACGCCTGACTTCGCCGCGCCGCCACAGCCCCGCCCTCTGCCGAAAACTCACATAATGTGACGCCAAGCAACCCCCACTTGTCTTGAGTTACCAGCTACAAATTTGTGGTGATTTAGTGAAATGGGGCAATTTGGGACCTTTCACAGTAAAACTTAACCTTTTTGGTCCTGAGGGGGCGGGGCTTGTGTGATGTCATCATGCGACCATTCAATTTACTTTGTGAGGTGATGACGAATGACCACAGAAAGTTTGGTAACTCTATTCCATTCAGTTATGAAGTTATAGCAATTTAAAAAATTTTGGCGAGTAGTCAAACTTCGAGGCCTGGCCCCGCCCCTTCAGTATTTACGAAAAGTCAATTTTATTGTCTCATTTTGTTCGCCCATCTCTTCTGAGCAATTTTACACAATTTTTGAGATGATCGTGCAAAAAATGATCGAGCAATCCAATCAGAAACGGACCCTAAAAACGGCCAAAACTGCAAAAAATCGCCATTTCAACCCAAAATGGCCGACTTCCTGTTTGATATTGACCATGCTTGCAAGAGACTTTTCTGTGCGGACTATTGAGTACTATAAGTGTACCAAATTTCATAACGGTACGATAAACTAAGCTTTATGGAGAGGGTTTTTTTTCATTTTCTAGGGGGCGCTGTTCAGCCATTTTCTTTGCGATTTTTTTGGGACCTTTAAAATATCAAATTTTTCACCAGGCCTGACAAGTGTGCAAAATATTGTGAGTTTTGGGGTATGTTAAGATCCCCAAAAAGCCATTCAAAGCGGCACCGGAATAATAAATAAAAAAAATAATAATAAACGGAGCAAAAACAAGAGGCCTTCGCAGCGCTTTCGCTGCTCGGGCCTAATAATGGCATGGGATAATCGTTAAGCTTTTCTTCAATCATTGACCTGGTGCTTAAAGGGTGTAACGTTTTGTAAGTGGTCACAATTATTAAACTGTCACGAAATATGAAAGGTATTCAACAAGATGTAATGTTCCATAAAAATATTAAACATTAATGTTATTGAACCTTTAATATCCAGCTGACACTAGAAATAGGTAATTGGGTATGCCAGGGAACCAGCACTCACCAATAATTGCACACAGAAGCTAAAACAGTTTATAAAAATCTATTTATTATTATATTTCTACGACTAATGAGCATACAGGATAACTGTAGATAAATAATAATTCAAGGAAAAATCAACTAAGACAACAACCAAATTTTAATGAAACATGAACTAATATGTTATTAAAAGTATAATTAAGAATGTGAAGTCTGGGATTATAAAATACTCTGGCTGGTGCTATCAAGTTATCAAATGAATCATAACCCATCCAACACCAGTGAAGAGCCTACGTTAACAGTGTGGTGGGAGTTCTCGGGAGATCCCGCCGGCAGCGAAATCGGCTCGACACGGGTGGCGAGTTGTTAAGACTTCTTGGAGTTCAAAGGTCGTAGGCCCCTTGAATCCGCACGGTTGGTCTCTGAGATACTCCCCCGCCTGGACGGCTGATGGGAGTTATGCAGGTTAAAACAAATAATAGTTGTTTTGGTTCTGAAAAAGGGTCATTCTACGCCCCTAAAGAGTATTCTCTTGTGAGATCTGCTGTATCCCTCAAGAGGTGATCATTTTAGCAAGCGAGGCAGGAGCTGAATAATTAATTAATTGTCTCTGTATTCAAGGGTCCGTTGAAGACGAACCAATCAGAGGCCAGAAAATGTAGGAGGCACTAACAAGATCCTCAGATGTCACATCTCTTTCTAAGAAATTCATTTAAAGGAATATTTCACTTATTATGTGAAGTAAATATGATAGAATAGTCATTTGTTAATATACTGATATTAATATGTGACATAACTGATAGCAAAATCATTGCATTTAGGATCTGAAATAATAAGTTATTTTGATTAATTGTTACTGTTAAGCAATCAAGACTTATTAAATCCCTTTAGATAAAACTAATTGTTCTATGTAATTGTAATTAACCTGTAATAACCTCTAAAGAACCCCCCCCCCCCTGCTTTTGATGTCCCTCCCTCTGGTGATTAAACTTTCATCCTTGGGGGAGGGGGGCGTTTTTTGTTTCCATCTATAGGAGGATCTTTTATGACGTCCAGTGCTTTAATGACTTTTTTCCAGGGTATCACTACCGGTAGTTTTTTCAGTTATTTATTAGTTGAAATTGCCGAGATTTAAAAACAAACAAACAAACAAAAAAAAAAACAGTTCCCCCAGCGCACGCTGTCCCGCCCCTCCCAAACGGGCTCGTTTTGTGCATTAGGAAGCTGCAACCACGTCGGGGTCATATACACAAACACTCCACACCAGCAGACTGTCTCCAAACTCTTTGTTCAGTCTCTCGGATGCTCCTCGATCCACGTCCAACTTTGTTCATGTGGACAGACGCCTCCTCTGCTACCACCTGCTGTTGCACTCTCTGCTACCCGGCAGACACGCATGTAATATTGGACCAATCTTAGCTCCGTAGATGTTCTGCTTCTGATACGTTAACACAAACACTTGATCAGGAATTATTTTTGGAGCCATATTCTGGAGCCGCGGTGTGAAACGAGCATTTTCAGAAAGCAATGCAAAGTGACTTAATAGTTTGTCTCCTCCTGCTGCAACAGAACAAGCTGAAGAAGATCAAAGAGAAGTACAAAGACCAGGATGAGGAGGACAGAGAGCTGATGATGCAGCTGCTTGGGGTGAGGATGAGTAAACACATAAACACTTGCTTTCTGGTGGCATTGCTTGAATTCCTTAACTATTAATGTGATTGGTCCCAAAACATGTTTCTTTCTCCCTTCAGTCTGCTGGTTCCTCCAAGGAGAAAGAGAAAGGGAAGAAAGGGAAGAAGGGGAAAGGAAAAGAGGAGCCTGTTAGGAAACCAGCCCCTCAGAAACCACAGCAGAAACCACAGAGTGTGGCTGAAAGCAGAACAGGAGAGGAGGAGAGGCAGCCTGGAGAGGAAGGAGGTGCAGCTGAACAGGAGGACAAGGTAGACATAACTAGATGCTGAGCAGAGCAATAGATGCACAATCTGAATCATGACGGCTTTGTTCCTCTTCCAGGAAGATGAGGTGGATCAGGACAACCCCGGAGCAGAGGTCGGTTCCTAACTGAAGCTTTTGATGATGGAAGAATCCAGAAATAAAGATTTTTGTCTTCTCAAAATTACAGGAAGCAGAGAATCTGCTCACATCTCTGACCGGCCAGCCTCACCCTGAGGACGTGCTTCTGTTCGCCGTGCCGGTCTGCGCGCCGTACACCGCCCTCTCCAACTACAAGTACATCTACTAACCTTTTGCTAATAAAACACATAAATGATGCACATCCTGGCTAACAGGTAGTGTGTTCTCTACAGATACAAAGTGAAGCTGACTCCAGGCTCTCAGAAAAAAGGGAAAGGTTAGACACTGTTTGTTTTTCATCCTTTATGTTGTTTTTATGGAGATTTCAGGAACTGATGTTTGCTTTGTTGCTCTGAAAAGCTGCGCGAACGGCACTGTTGAACTTTACAAAAGCCAGAGAGGCCTCATCCAGAGAGAAGGACCTGTTTCGCAGCGTCAAGGTAAAAATAACCTTTAATGCACCGTGTAACTCTTCATTCCCTCTCAGATAAACTAAGCAGGTGAACGTTTTGTAGCTGATTGTGTTTTTACTCTCCCAGGATGCAGACTTGTCCAGAAACATGCCGGGGAAGGTTAAAGTCTCCGCCCCCAACCTCCTGGCTGCCAAGAAGAAGTGACTGCACATGCAGAACATTTCCACCAGCAGATTAAACACCTTCAATCACCTAAATTAAAACTCTTCAATTGTAAAGATCGGTTTCATTTGCTGAAATGTAAATTTAAAAAAAAGCTGCAAAGAAAGTTGTTCATGGATTTTAATTATTTGAACATAAAGTAGGTGTAACAGTACGTTTTGTAACCCACAATAAAAAAGACATGAAAGTAATTTGTGCAAACGTACCGCGTTTCAGTGCAACACCACTACACATCCTATAACTTATTGGTTACATTTAAATTACATTTCTACAGTAGCCTCGTTTCTCACATTTCCCCACATATTTACGAAAACAAAATCAAATATTTCTGTGGTTCCACAGTAGAAAGTGTAGAGTTGAATAAAACGGGTGAAAATTTAGGCCCAAGATTAATTAACAGCTCCCAAAAAAAAAAATTAATGAATAAACGTTTGAGCCTAATTTAAATGTAGTGTTCATACAATGTTACGTTGAGATTTTCTTCTTCCCAGTAGCCAAAAATAAAGGTTTCCATTTAATTTTCCTTAGAATAACAAAAGCTAACAACAAAACTGGCAGTTTGGATTTCAAACGCATCAATCAGGTTTGACTGACTTGGTATACGACTAGAAAATAATAAAGAAACATTCTATAAGGAGTCCACGTACCTTTTTTTAATTTCCTCCATAAATTAAAGCAGATTGTTGGATTTTCACAAGAAAAGACCAAAAAAGAGGTTAATATTGTGAGAGCTGATTGTCTGTAGACTCGGCTAAAACACATGAAGGAGAAGCATTTATTGCTTTTCATCCAGGGGGAAACTTAAAAACAAATATGCTGTGTGGTGCACATCATCTATTTTTCTTTAATTCAAGTGTCCTCCTAGTTTAAGATCCTAGCGTGTTGACACCAGACATTCTCTGTTTGAGGCTGTGTAGGAGGTGTTTGGGCAAGCAGTCCCAGTAACAAGACAAGCGCTCCCTGTGCTGCAGAGCCGTCTCCATGCAGAACCTGGGTGGCCCGGGAGAACAAGCAGCAAACACCGTTAACAAATGAGCAAATCAGAATCCACATGACAAGATTTTGCTTCCACACTCACCTGACTAATGATTTAGGCTGAACGTTAAAAATCAGTAGCTCGTTGCTGTGAGCCTGTGAAAGAAAAGAGTGAGCCATCTGCAAAGAAAATTAAAAAAAAGGTGAATAAAAGATCCAGAGTGCAGCTTACGGCTATCTGATGGGACAAAAGGTTGTTGGCGCATCCTCCGAACACAAACACCTCTCCGTCAGGGCCAGAGCACGCCGTGTGCCACAGCCTGAAGTACGCAAACACAACGTCAAATCACCTCCCAGCTGGAGACCACATTCACAGTAAGAGCGGATCCCTACCTGGGGCTCTCTGTGTGACTGTGTTTGAAAGGCTTCCATTCGTTCTTGCTGACACAATACAGCCAAGCGTCACCTAGGAAACCAGATGAGTGTCAGAGATCGCCGCTTCAAAGAGATCGCTCTGTGATCAGGATCAAGCTTACTCAGTGTTTCTCTCTCTGTGGTGAAACCGCCAAACAAGAAGATTAGATCCGATGACACGGGGGTGAACGAGTGCCAGGATCGACCCACGGGACCCGGCTGGGGGACGCTCCTGCGCCGAGACGCAGCAGCAACAGATTTTTTTTTTGTATTAGAAATGTAATTGTATGGTTTTTAGAATGCTTCTGTTGAATTCACAAAAAGGTAAATCAACACTAACATTTCATGCCAGTCCCACGTGTCCAGGTCGATGTAGTACAGGTCATTTAGTCTATAATTCTGTGAACCAAACGAGTCTTTTCAAACAGATTTATCGAATTAAATGCATCTTTAAATTGAAGGTCTCCAACTAAGAGTTAAATCAGACCCTTTGCCTACCTTGAATCGGCCACCAAACACATAACCTCTGTTTCCGACTGTAGCGCAAGCATGAGCTGCTCGGGGAGATGGTGTGTTCCCCTAAATCAGTCGAGAGAAAACCCAAGTTACTCTTTGATTCTGTTCATTTTAACTCTTTGTAGCATGACAGTGTTGTGAAAACAGGAGTTGCCCCTTCGCAGATTTCTTCTGCTTTTGCTTTTATTTCACTCAAGTCTTTTGGATTAGCAAATGCATCCATGGACGTAATTTTTTTTTTGGGGGGGGGGGGACAAGGGGGGCATGTCCCCCCCCCCCCCACTTTTTCCAAAGTCAAGTTTTGACCCCTGCACTTTTTACCATCCAAAAACAATATTACGCTATATTAAATTGACACTGGTTGAGCTCCAGGACCAAGCGGAAAACAACCGTTTGTGTTGAAGCCTGTTTCCCATTAGAGCATAATGTAAAGACCCCCCCCCCCCCCCCCTTCTAAAGTGAAAATTACGTCCATGAATGCATCTAATTAGACAAACACTACTTTAGTACGTGCAAAATTAAGATTTAAATTATTAAAGGGGGTAAAAATGATTTCCAACCTATTGATACCCTTTATAAAAATTTGTTATCCTTTTTGAATCATGAATTAACTTTAACCACTTTATTTGGAAAGCCTCCAAATCCTGCTGTTACGCCACCTCCCGTAACGGGCTCGTTTTGCGTTCCGGCTTCCAACTAAAATAATTATATAACCAAGTATTCTCCGCATCTAAATAATAGTGACACAAACGCCCTTCGACAGTTGACACATACAACCAGAAAAACAGTACAAATTGAATGTAAAAACATAAACGCCAGGAAAAGTAAAACTATAAACACCGGTCAATTTTGGTGGCAATATTAAATTTCTCAACATACCTATTGACAACAATAAACAACTTACCGGCACTGTTAAACAGCAAAAAGAAAGAAAACAGAACATATAAATGAGAGAAAAAAAAAGACGATAACTACTTCCTGGTAGCACTGGGCGCAAGCCTTAGAGCTCACATTTCAGATTTCCGATATCATTGCGTCGTTTCCGGCTAACTTATCTCGGAAAAACGAGCTCCGAGGACAACTGGAATGCACCATAATGATGACAAATGCAGCGGTTACCATTGAAGGTGCCATAACTAGTTACTACTGTAGGTCGGCTGATTTACCTCCATGTTGCTCAACTTGTTCTGTCCACTTACGTACCGATGATGCTGTAATATATTGTTCAAAACCAACAATTTGCTCTTAAATAGTTAAAAAAAAATTTCAATGCTTTTCGGAGACATCCCTCTGCGGCTTTACTTGGTGAATTAGTTTCACGTTTTTTTAGATTTTTCTCTGCTTCATGCTGCTGACTCGATGAAATATTTAGGTGTGTGACTAGAGCAGGATTTGTCCTTTAAAAAGCATATTCAATCACTTGTTGACAAGATCAACTTTAGCTTTAAGAGCCTTTATCGTTCTATTCTTTGTTTTAATTTAGAGATTAGAAAGCGTATCGTCTCTCAGCTTTTATTTCCTGTACTGGATTATGCTGATGTACTTTATCAGAACTCTACTGCCTCCTCTCTTCATGCGATTACCATCGTTTATAACAGTTTGTGTCGCTTTGTTTTACGTCGTCTGTTTGGAGCTCATCGTTGCTTTATGAATGATCGTTTATCCTGGCCATCTGCTGAGAGCAAGCGGGAGCGAAGCAGAGAAGCGTCTGCACTGTAGCGGCACTAGATAAAGATTCATAGGGCAAGGTTAGTTTGGGTAACTTATTACACGATAAATACAATACTCATTTGAATGTTATATTTACACAGCTTACTTTACTTGGATGCTGACGTTTGTTTGCTTATCTGATTTGACCATCTAAGTGCGACCCAAAAGCAAAATTAGAAGCACACATTTTCTCACAGCTCATATTTTTTGTGGCAGTTGCTTATGTTTACCTGAGTGATGGGTTGACTCCATGTTGACGTCTCCAGATCCAGGACGTGGATGTGGTTGTTCCAGCCCCGTCCCATGCTGTCCCACTGCACCAGGATCGAAATACGAACTGTTATTCAATCTAAAGATAATGTAGTTGTTTTGTTTTTGTAAAATATGTGAATCGAAGCTCATTTGAACCATATACAGACTTTCAAATGAAACAAACATAAACCAATGAAGTGTGTATCGTTTATGATGAGGACGTGACTTATTTTCAGACCACGAGAGAAGACGACTCGTCGTACTCAAAAGTCCCTCGATGAGCTCCCTGAGGAGCGCAGCCATAGCCTCCAAAGAAAACCAGTCTGTAAAAATCCCACATCACATAAACTCACGTTGATCTGACCCCATTTCCTGACAAATACACACGTGTGTTTACAAAAGCACAACTTTCCCACCTGTTGTTATGAACCCAGCAACCCAGTTTGTCCTTGCTAGAAGGAGGAAGTCCTTTGAGATCCCTCATCTCCTCCCACACAAGGCTGCGAGCTCGGAGGTGCATGTGGTAGATCTATACAACCGGCACAACAATCAGTTCCAAGAGAGGGCTGACATCTGTGTCTGACAGGTTAGGGTTAAATAACAAACCCTGTTTGTGTTTCCTCTTGCATGATGACCACCAAATAAGTAGAGGACACCATCAAGGCACACGCCACAGCTCCCTGACATTGACGTGCACAGGTTACCTCCAGCTATGTGCTTCATCCTGTAAGCATTTCCAACATTATTCCTATAAAATCCTTACATGAAACATACACAAATGACAAAGGAGGTAAAGATTCCCTCATTTATTTCCTCACCACACTCCTGATTCCATGTCGTAGGTCCAGATCTCGCTCCTTGGCAGGTACAAGTCAAAGAATCCATGGTTCTGAGCGTTCTTGTGTAAAAAAAAAATTACAAGTTATTTAAAAAATAATAAACTTGCCATTTAACATAAAGGTCATACAGTTTTAAGTCCTACCTTGTATCCACCCCACACATACATGATGTTTCGGTCAACTACAGCAATATGACCACTGCGCTCAGCTGGAGTGTCCATCTCTAAAGCTTCAGGGTCTGCTGACAGTTCCTCCACCTCGTCATCTTCCTCATCCTCGTCCATCCCGTTATTTACCATCCAGGCCATCAGTCTGTCATCATCATCATCATCATCATCTCTGTCCGAGTTATTGTCATCCTCCCTAGCTGGCTGACCTCCTCCATCTTCATCCATCTCTTCCACTCTCTCAGCCATGATTGAAAACAGCAGAGACTGACAAAGTGATCGGAACAGAAAACTAGAGCATTTCTGATGATTCAATAACACAATAAATTCCTTTTAAACATAATATTTAACCCGCTACATCAGAAAAGAGACATAATCCGACCAGTGGTTTAGTGTATTTATACACAGAGGCAGTTTAATGAGCTTTTCAGGTGCAAGAGAACAGCAAAAACGTAGAACAGTAAAATGTTTGCAACAATTTTCTAATCAAAGTGAAAACATAAAACAGTAGATTTTAAAATCAAATTTAAAATCAACAAAGTTTAAGAATAACTTAAATAGGTCAAAGTTAAAGTCTGAGCATTTACAGTGCAGAAGGTGCAGCTTGAGAACAACTAATACATCAAAGTTTTCTGATTTGATTTACAGGTTTATAGAGCTGAGGCAGATTTGTATCGATTCTGTAGTTTATTGGTAACCAGTAAGGGTATTTAAGAACAGGAGTGGTGTGCTTGGTTCTCTTGGTTCTTAAGACTCTAGCAGCTGCATTCTGAATAAGCTGCAGTTGCTTCACAGATTTTTTGAGAAGATCAGTCAAAAGACGACTGCAATAGTCCAGCCTGCTGGAGGTGAATGCATGAATGAGTTCCCATAGGTCTTGTCTGGACATGAGTCCCCTGAGTCGTGCTATTTGATGAAGATGATAAAATGCTAATCTAGTTATAGCCTTAATGTGACCAGTGAAGCTCAGATCTGAATTATGACACCAAGATTTCTAACCTGGGTCTTTGTTTTTATTCCAATAGTGTCCATCCTTCTTACTTCCAAAGACAATGAATCCAGTCTTGTCTTTGATTAACTGGAGGAAGTTTGCTTGCATCCAGTCATTAACTTGCTACAAACACTGACTGAGTGAGTCTAGGGGACCAGACTCACTTGGTGATAGAGCTAGGTAGATCTGGGTGTCATCTGCATAACTATGATGGATAATATTATTGTGTATGAGCTGACCCAAGGGGAGCATGTAGAGATTGAAGAGCAGTGCTCCAAGAACTGAGCCTTGGTGGACCCCACGTCACGGTTATATGATCGGAACCAACTGTGGGACTGTACCTGATAATCCCACTTTATAAGCCTGTCAAGAAGGATGTTGTAGTCCACAATACTGAAAGCTACACTGAGGTCGAGCCTCACCAGAGCAGATGTTTAACTTGAATCTGTACTTAAATTAATATCATTTCTTAGTGTTTTCTCAGGGCTGTGGTGTTGTCTAATGCTTGACTAAAACCATTCAGCTGTTCGCTTGTATTAAAAAGATGTTCAGCTGAATCACAGCTGTTTTTTAAAATAATTTTGATGAATGAAAGGAAGATTAGACTCTGTAAATATTCATCCGTATAGGATCTAGCCTGCTTTTCTTTAGACGAGGTTTAACAGCAGCAGGTTTACTGAATGTGTGAAGCAGAGCAACGTTGATAAGCAAGAGCAGTTACCGCGGTGAGCAGTTCACGCTGACGTACTTATGAAAAGCTATTGTTACAAAATCAAAGTTAGTCGACAACCTATTTTAAAAACGGCATTTCACCACAAACATATGCTTTAAAAGCGTTTATACAGGCTAATCATGCTAGTCGAGCTAAAACGAATAGTACAAATATCACGCTGCTCATGATAGCTTGTAGGTTATAACAAACACTCCCACAACTGGAAGTAAATGTCGAGCTAAGTTAGCATTTTTCCGCGTCGAAGACCGTTTTACCACCATTTAACTTGGAGGAGTGAAATGCATTCGTAAAAGTAAAAACCCTTTACCTTTTCAGACGTTTGGTTCTCTTACAAACATGAAAAGCAATCCTGTACCGGAAGTAAACAAGCCAAAGCGGAAGTCCAGCCTACGGAACAAATGATTAAATAACATTCAAAAGCAGATCTAAAACCTGAACTACATCAGTATTTGCAGACTTTACATAGCTCCCACTGCGTGGGCTCACGTTCAGAAGCAACCCATAAACTGATGCATTTATAGTTTCGCAAAACTATTAAAATAAAATGTTTTTCGAAATAAGATTATTTACAATTGTGATCCTTTCAAAGTAAAGGTCAGTGAAGTCAAATCAATCATTCCATCGAGTTTATTTTCAGTTTATTTCTGCTAACTTAAATGGTTAGAGACAGATTTTGTTTTTTAGTGTAGGATACATTAGTCAAAAGTACAATGTTCTTATTGCATTGGCTAGTGCTGTTCGCTTGTATTAAAAAGCTGTTCAGCTGAATCACAGCAGTTTTTTAAATAATTTTGATCAATGAAAGGAAGATTACTCTGTAAATATTGGTAGCGCTGAACTAACCTGGTTACACTGGGAAAATGTAATCTCTTTAAAACTTTTACCTTTATTTACATCAACTGTTTATTCCAAAATTTTTGTCACTCCTTACCTCATATTTAAAAAAAAATGTCTTTGAGGATGCTCAGTAGTTATATTTTACAGAAAACACCCTAAAGATGAATGGAAATCAGCATTGAAAATAAGATGATTTGATTTACTAATGTTATTATTATATTTTTTTTTACCTCCACTATATAAAACATCTGGGTCATCTTAATCAAAGAGTGGTAATCCATACTTTCTACTGAGGGTATTTTTGGTATATAACTTCAGAGTAAACATTTCAAACACTAAATTACAATTCATGTCTATGACCATATTAGTTAAATAGATATATAGAAATGAAAATTCAGTGTGTCGATTTGAGAAATAGTGATACCAGAAATTACCTTCAATGGAAAAACAAAGAGTCTTTAACATTGCATTAGGAATAATATACAAGTTCATCATTAAACATAAAAATTCACTAGTTGATTATTTGCACGAAGCTTTTTAAAATAGTTAAATTATTTACCTATTTTGCAAACATTTAATGAAAAAATATGAAGAAAATTTCTTATATAAATATTTTTTATGTAAATTTCAAAAACAATTGTTTATTTTCATTAAATGAGCTTCCTCAGAGAGCTCTCTATAAACATTAAAGTACAGGAAAACTCAGCAAAGAATAAAACCTTTATTTTAAATAAAAACTGTTACAAACATGTTTGATTTACTAAGATACAACACAAATATCACACAAGGTAAAAACAAAGCCCATCATTTTCTCTAAAGGTCTTGAAGTTTGCTGTGAAAAGAAAAAAATACAACTTTAACTTATGAACACGAATATTGGTTAGGACCAGTATTAAATATGCAACGATATGTCAGATTTCATCCCACCTGTCCTCCACGGTCCGGCTAGATGGATAGTACACTTTAAACGTGAAGCCACTTTTTGAAAAAGAACCCTGAGGACAAAAAATATAAACAGAAACAAATAAAATACCTTAGTGACTAAAAGTAAACACATTAACAAAAATCATGTTATTTGAGTTTCCTGCTTCTTGTACCGGGTTGAAACAGAGGCAGTCAGCGCTGGTGATGCTGAAGGGGTCGTACTTGTCTGCAAAAATTATGGCATCAGGCACCGGATAGACCCGCAGGGAGAAGTCGTAGGCCCAGAACACGGGACTGACGTACAGAGGCAGTGGGGATAAATGGCCCTGGGATAGGATGGTCTTTACGAACTAAACAGAAGAAAACAATTAAATTAAAAAGTTTTGGATTTCTATTTTTAACTCCCATCTTCTCAGAAGCATCTGATCTTTTTGGGATAATGCATGAACACGCTTTGGGGGAGAAAATGAGCCTCACGTGGTTTGGGATGTCGAGATTTTTGTTTGGCAAACGGACACAATTCCTGCACATCTTGTTGACCAGATCTTCTCTGATGATGACGATCTCTTGGCTGCAGTACTGAACTCTAAACAGGTCAGTTTAAAAAAAACAATTTAGCAACGAAAACCCTTAAAGAGCAAGTCACCCCCTACCAGTCTCACTCCACTCCCACTTCATGTTTGAAAAATGCAACATATGAGGTTGCTTGGCAGACCAAGAGGGCGGAGCAACCAACAAACACACACATACTCAGGCTCACAATGACATTGTGACATCATAATGTACCAGCTAATGTCATAGTCTTAGCCAATAGCGATGGCAGATTTAAATTTAAACGCAGTTCAGTGCAGAGTTATTAACCTAAAGACGACAGGCAGAAAATTTAAAATTTAACTAAGATGCACTAAAGTCCCAAATTATCGATTACACGTGTCTACGGCACGATTAGACACTCGTTTATATGGTTTATCAGCAAAAAAAAAAAAAAAAAGTAGATTTGTGGGTGACTTGCTCTTTAAATAGGTGCAGTTTTTTTTTTTTTTTTACTTTTCCCATTTGAAACAGTTACGTGTTCGTTTTACCTGCAGGGATTGGTCGTGAACACAGAAAAGGGGACTCTCTGTCTGAACTCTTCTGTGATGTGGTCTGCCAAGGGAGGCCTGGGGGAAAAATTCAGATTAATCCAAAGAACGAAGGAAATTTTAACAAATGAGACGTGTTTGAGAACGTACCGCGGTAGGATTGTGCCTGGACCCGGGTCTTTGGGACCGGGAACAAACACAAAGCGACTACTGCAGGTTTAGAAGGAACACTTTAGTTCAAACACACTGAAGATAAAAAATAAAAAATAAGAAAAGTGGGCCAATCCTACCTGCTGTGAATGCTGGGATATTCACTTATAACATCAGCAAGGGTCTTCAGTGAATCTGAAAAAAGACAATGTTGTTTTTATGCACTAGGATTGGGCTGATTTCAGATTTATTTTCTTTGAGCTGTCCACACTTAGTGCTCCAGTTCAGCTGCATGATTAACCTGTTAAGCGAAAGCGGGAAGATATTTGCCGACAGTGTCAAAAAGCTGTGTGTGTTGACTTTAAAGCTCAATAAAATGACTCTGAGTCCGTCTTTAGGAGGTGTAGGTGAACGGTTTCTGACCCAACGGCCTCACCTTTGAGCGCTTTAATCTGCGTTTTCCCAAAAGGAGCGGAGGAGAAGTTCCCACACAGAATGAAACAAGTGGGAGGCATGGCGGCATATCCTGTCAAAAAACAAACACATTCAAAACAAGAGACTGAGTTTTCTCCCTCCTCCACCTGCAGGGGCCTGTAGCGCCGCACCTGAGAACATGGTGTTGAGCTTTTCCATCACTTCGATGCTGTCCAGGCAGACGTCGGAGACGATCACAAACATAGCATCCTCGTTCTCCTCTTCCAGCTGTTTAAGCTTGGAGGACGCTTTGACCGAGGTGGCGGATGGACCGCCAAAGAAGTTGATGTCACCGTAGTACGCCCTGGAATAAATAGTTTTTACCCATTAACAGAGAGTTTTGGTTACAGAATACAGAAAAGCAAAATACTTGCTCACAGAGGTTCAGATTTACGTTTTTAACCCATTGTTGGCACATTTTCTGCCCTAGAACTCAACTTAGTCACAGCATAACTATTCTGTAAGGTGGCTAGAGTGGCGTGTTCACGGTGAAAAAAGGAGGCAGTTCTTAGCTTTCTTGGTTTATTTTTACCTTCAGAATCACAGAATCCAACCCGGTCCTCCACCCATTTGCTCTTTCCTCTGGGACGCTACCCCCCCACACACACACGGCAACAAACTGACAAACGGCTCTACCAGCCGACACAGATGACAAGTCCATCACGTAAACGTTTCCCGGCAAGAACAGAACCAGACTCTAAACAGAAAATTACTTATAAATGACATTCTTCCTGTTTTAACAGCTCCGAGCTGACAACACGTGACATAAAGTTGTGTGCAGAGGGGGAGGAATAGATCAGGATGTGCTTACTGAGAATGGGACATTCACAGTGATTAGATGGGGTTTTCAAGGATCGAACTTTTTTTGTGACTAATTTTATTTATTGGTTGCCAATGGTTTCTCTAGAAAATGATCTGTACAGGTTTGATGTGTGACAAGCAGAAGAGACACAATGAAAACATCTGGAAACAATAAACAACATCTCTAAAGACACCAACCGTGTAGCTGATGAAGGTTCTGTAGGTGGAAACCCAAAGCCGTTGACGTGGAACACAGAATCCTCATACCAACCTACAGAACAGAAATAAACAACCCTGTTTCGTTTGTTATGTTTTTATCCACACCACACATCAGAGTCAGTCCTACCTTCTGCCAGTACGAAGCACGACTCCGTGTACAGACCGTTATGAAACTGGTGCAGATGCAGCTAAGGAACAGATCCCAGTTTAAAAGCTACAAAACATCAAATTAATCGAAACTGTTACATCAATGAAAGGATATTGCTTTTGACAGGTCCAGCTGGACTGTTCCACTCGGGTCCTCCAGATAGTATTTACCCTTAAAAAGATTAAAAAGGATTTTATAAATAAGAAAAAATACATAAAAAAGAACAACTACATAAAAAACATATCATGAAACAATTAAAAGTCAATTACTCACTTCCTTTAGTTGTGTGATCATTCCAAGCACAATCACCTCTCCCATTTTGGCTGTGCTACCAAGCAACGCTTCAATTGTCCTCAACTACAAATATGACCGTAAAACAAAGGTGATCAGATTAATAATTAACAGGTAATACGACAACACATTTTTTTCAGATTCTTCACCTGAAATTTGTTTTGACCTTCTTGAACAACAGTTCCGATCGCCGGGGGGGTGAAGAGCTCATGGCGATGTGTGCGCTGCAGAGACACGCCCATGTGAGTTCATCATTCAACCTAACACACGACCAGATGGAGGTTACGCCGTTACAGACCTGTTCTAAGATTGTGTACCGTTCCCTAAAGAGTTCCGCTTTGTCCTTCGCCGAACCACAGAGGCTCGGAGCTGGATGGTTGGTCATACTGATGCTGAGTTAACAAAAAATAACGTAATTAATAAAAACTGGCTCAAAATTCATGAATTGAGCATGTGATCGTACACCTAGATTAAAAGAAAAAGCCAGTTTACTCACGGTACAAATTTCTTCCTCTCCACGCTGTAAATGTACCTGGGAACGTCGAACGCTCCAATGATGTTACAGACGTAATCTCTGCAAGAGTTTAACAGCTCAGGCATCAAAACGTACCGCCTGCTTGTTGTTACAGGTTGTAAATTAATGCAAAGTTGTTTATATCAACAATTTTACTGAGGGGCCTGAACCGAACCCCGCAGAACCCGACTGTATTAGTTCTGTTTTTTGTTATTTTTATAAACATTGTTTCTGAGTGAGCTTTTAACCAAATAAGTTACACAAAAACAACAACAACAACAACAAAAAAAAAAAAAAAACCAGCCCTTCTTACATGTTTTCATCAGACGACTGAGTGCAGTCCTGAACAGCACTTTCCACCACCGCCAGCTCCACCATACTAGATGACACTGTTGGAAAACACATGGTCACGATCTGAAAATACTTTAGTTACCAGAATAGAGATTAATAAACTTACATGGCTGCTTCTCCACCGCATCCAGGACTCTTTCGATGACATCATCAAGTTCAGAGTGATCGACCGACTCCAGCACCTCCACAAGGTACCTGCTGGCTTCACTGCAGAACAAAACCACAAACACTGATTTTTTACAAGTTTACAAATGAAACTTTACAAGTAGAAACAGGAAGAATGGTTTTTGCTAACATTTCTCCATTTGAATTAGGAGAATGTATGTGATTTTGATACCGTACAAGTAAATTGCTGAAAATAAAGTCAACAGTGCTAAAAATGTATAGTAAATTTTAATGTACAAATATGGGCTAAAGGTTGGATGTAAACAAAAGTAAACAAGTGAAAGCACAGAAGTCTCCTAGAAGACAAAAAGTAACCCCTATTTGCTGTGTATGTATTATTTTGTTATTGTTTGTCTTAATATAATTAATATTACAATAATAATGTCTGCTCTTGACTGTTCCTGTCTTTGAAACGCATTAGCTCCCAAACACCTAATTATTTTCCACAAAACTAAAACAACAACAACAACCATGAAACAAAAACACAGCTAAAAACGAAAAGTACGTACGGCCGAAGGATAAGTCCCCTCATTTTAAAGGCAGCAGAAACTTTTGTCTTTATTTTCCGAGCAGCTTCCATCGTTGTTTCCTTTCCAGCTCAAGCTTTGGCGCTAAATACCAACTTCCGCATCTGCTATACCTCACTTCCGGCTAATCGATGCTTGTCAAAATAAATGTTGTAAATTAGGAGATATATTTTAATAAACTGCAACTTTTTTTTATTAAAACTTGTTAAAGTGAACCACTAACAGTAATTTTTGGTAATTAACTTTCTTATTCTTTATTTATTATTTACATGACAAACTGGGAATAACTACTTAAAATTAGCACTTTAAACAGTATTTTATATTTTTGTCTTAAAATGTTTATAAATCCAGCATTTAGAATTTTGAAATATTTTTTGAATGCATTTTTGCATTACGTTTTCTTGTTTTTGCATTACGTTTTCTTGTTGTTTACTGTTTAATTTTTCTTCAGTTTATTTCTTTATTTTCCTTTTTTCTCCTATGCTGCTGTGACACCTAAATTTCTCCATTGAGAAACTATAAAGGACTATTCTTGTCTATTCTATTCTATAAAATAATACATTTACTGTAAACAAATATTTATTTGAAGTGATGCACATTATTGATCTGTTAGATAAATGTTTTCCCTAAGCATTTGCCTTTTGAAAAAGAAATCAATTTGTTTTCCTGACAGATGGTAAATATTCATTTGCTTTTTCACCTCGAGACAAATTATCCTCTAGAATTGACAAAGTAAGTTCCTGTGTTCATGATCAATAATTCGCCTGGGTCATGACATCTGTGAATGAACACATAGGTTGACTCAACACAACAATAACATTTATTTTTTGAACTGCTTAACGAAGTATTGCTCAGTTTCAGGCAACTGGAATGAGAAAAAACAAAAATTAATTGGAGCCGCAGCCCAGCAAATTTACAGAGGCGAGAGCTACTCCATATCAATGCAGGTTAGGAGCCAACAGTGGCTCTTTTGGTTCTTGTTTGAGTTGGTTCTTAGCTGCAATCACAAGCCTGAAGCCTCTTGTCAAGAATCACTTGGGAACCCCCATCAAATAAACACGTGGTTGTTAAACAAGTTTATTTCGAAAGTCACATTAGATTTCAAAGTACATAGTCTGAAACTTTCTCATTCAATGTGAACCAGCTTTAAAAGTATTTTACAGCAGTTTTTTAATATATAATTGTGAATATTAATTTGGAATTTAAAGTTAAGCGTAGAACCGGAAGTTGTATTTTATTTTGTAGCCGTGTTTACACAGCTGACGTTATCCCCAATGAATTTGTTGTTTTTAGCATTCAAGGCACAAAGACTTTGAATTTGACAGCATGAGAAACAGATACACCACCAGCAAGCGTACTTTAGTCTGTGAGTATGCCTGCAAGTTTTATATCCTAACCTTTAGATGATTACAGCTAAATCGCAAAAAAAATGTAAGAATACTGAAGTAAAACATTTTTTTGTGTTGCGATTCGTTTATATTTTACTTTAGAATGACACCAATCAAATATGAGTTTATTCCAGTTCTTGTGTCAACCATCGACATACGGTGTCAACTTTTGCAGAAACGTGTCTCCGTCCGTTTCCTCCGTCTTCGGACAGCTGACGGTTATAATGGACCCCGCTGCTTTAGAGAGGCACTGCTCCGAGCTGGTGGCCCGGGAGAGGAGCGGACACACGGCCGTGGCGCTGGACAACCTGCTGTATGTGTGGGGAGGCTACATGGTGAGGGAAAACACACAAATATGCAACCAATCGTGCTTTCAAGACAAATCCGAGGCACAGACAATGGGTGGAAAATCAAAATACGTACATGTTGAAGCTTTGGAGTATTTGTCCTCTAGGAGCAGTGTTGTTCCCTTTTATTCAGCATGAAGGAGGATTTCTTTGGGAGTCATGCTATTATTCTGTTTTCAATTGTTCATTTCTTTTCAAAACAAACTCAAATAATATTTAAGTCAACGCCAAAACACAATATTATCAGTTTCTGCGTATATTTAGAAACAAAATATGACAACTGGTAATGTTTTCTTAAAGAGCAGGTCACCCCCAAATCAACTTTTTTTCTGATTAACTATATAAATGTGTCTAATCGTGCTGCAGACACGTGAAGTCAATAGTTTTGCACTTTAGTGCTTTTTCGAGAAAATTTAAAATTTCTGCCTAAAACTGTCAGTGTTGTGCCATTGTCAGTTAAAAACTGCACTGCATTTGAATTTAAATCTGCCATCGCTATTGACTAAAAGGTACCCTAGAACGTTAGCTGGTACCACATGATGTCACAATGTCGTTGTGAGCATGTGTGTGTGTGTGTGTATTTGTTAGCGGCTCCGCCCTCTTGGTCTGCTAGGCAACAACATTTGTTGCATTTTTCAAACAGGAAGTGGGAGTGGAGTAATACCCTGGTAGGGGGTGACTTGCTCTTTAAAAAATAAAGTTTTTCAAGCATAAAAAAGTACAATGAAATCAACATGAATTTTATTGAGTTGCTGCTGAAGCAATGTAAGGTAGCAAAACTACAATTTGTTAATTCTGTAATTAAGCAATTATGCATGTTTGATTATTATTTGAAGAATCCATTTGCAAAAACAGATAAAATTATATTTAAACAAAAATGTTGTCAGCTGAAACAAATAATACTAAGATGCATTATTTGAAAATTAATAGAAACAGAGTAATTTGTTTTTGCAAATAACTTGTATTTACTTTTAGCCAAAGGGGTTGGAATGAATGAAGCTATCTATATCAACCAAGAAAGACTGACATAAAACAGAGGAGGAGGCCTCAGGTTTCACCTTTTCAGCTCCTAAACGTTAAACCTAATTCCAAAAGAGTTTTAGTCTAGGTCACACCCTCCTGCATCTAATTAAAACAACCATTCCCACCAATAGGACCTAATGACTTCAACAACCTCCCCAGGCAGAAGGGAGGAGGGGCATTCATAGGTAGTTTCTACTCATTAAGCAACAACAGACAGCTACAGTTTGTAGCCATATTTCAGTGAGAATTGACAAAGTTTCTCGGATTAGAAACGTCTTCAAGATGGTGAATGGCCTTCTTTGGGTTCTACAACACTCCAAGGCACTTTATAACACAGTCATTCACCCATTCACATTCACCCACTGGTGGAGATGAGCTACGATGTAGCCACAGCTGCCCTGGGGTGCAATGACAGAGGTGAGGATTGAGTGTCTTGCCCAAGGACACAACAGCCACATTCTCTGGTCCTGAGCTACGGCTTTTCAAGAAACCCAAGAAGTCCAGTTGTCTTCATTCAAACCCCTTTGGATTACCATGACCTGGATGACTGAGAACCTTCACCAGCATAATTTAAACTTAGCATACATTTGAAATTTTCTTTGTAAAATGCTGAAACAATCACAAGAAATAACCATTTTCAACAACAGATAAGCACTAAAAGCTAGGGAACACTACTTTTATAAATAAAAATTCAATAAAGAAACTGATTCCTTTTAAACCTTTATTTAACCAGGAAGTTCCTCTGGTCAGATGCCACACTAGTAGTAAGTTTTCACATTTTTAATTTACAACAAAAACAAGGCCTTGCGTCTTGTAATAAAGATACTGGACAAGTTAAGAGATAGTCATTATCGCCACCTTCTGGTGTCTGGTCGACACAACCTGTGTATATAGTTAACCTTTGGCACATATGATTAAATAAATGGCCTCATCCATGCTAAACAAGTAAAAACCAATGTTACTAATACGAATCAACTTTGAATACAGAAATATACCAGTGGTTATGCCTTGTTACGTTTAAAGAAGTCCAAGAAACCAGATAAGTAAAACACAGGAAGAGTCTAAATAGAAGTAGCAGTAGTAGTAGTAGTAGTAGTAGTGCAGAGGAAGTAGCATGCACATAAATAATATCAATATTGTCAAGAACATTAAATGTCCTTTAGTACACTGGCCTTTAATAGTTTTACTATTATTTATTTGCAGTCGGTTGGTGATGAGGAGATTTTCCTTCCCAGTGATGAGATCTGGGTGTACGACTTAGAGAGGGGAATATGGTAAGAATAAATTATTTCCAAATATTTCTATTTCATAACTTTATCCAACATTCATGTTACAAGTGAATGCCAGTATGTTGTTTTCCTATTTCTTTAAGGGAGGTGTTCCACATGACAGGTCAAGTCCCTCCTTCCATGTCTGGAAGCTGCAGCTCTTCGCTTAATGGAAACATGTACATATTCGGAGGTTGTGATGACAACGGACAGACCAATCAGGTGTGAGAATTATGCTTTAGAGTAACTGCATGCCATAGTACAAATAAATGCTGCACACATCTACAGACAGTTCTGTTTTAATTAGGGGTGCATGATATATCTAGCCTGGCAAGCCAGACTAAATAAATGTATTATTTAGTCTGGCCATGCTCCATTGACGGCTCTTGGTTGTGGGGCGGGTTCTACTGTTGTCTTTCAAATGATCTCCGCATTCCACTGGACAATGAATGTGACATACTCTTGTTTCACTCTGTTGCATCATCCCACCCACCAGGCATATAGAGTGCCCTGATTGGCCCACAAAGCGGATAAAGCTCTGTGATTTGTTCACTAAGCAGATAGAGCACTATGACTGGCCCACCATTATGGACCAATCACAGCTCTTTGTGTGTTTGAAACCCCTCTAGAGAGCTGTGATTGGCTAGCCAGAGTCCTGGTAGGAGCTGCTGAGGTTCCAATGGAGCATGCCTAGACCATTCTTTGCAAAGCAAGAATTTGGTCTAGTTCACTAGGCTATGATATATCAGGATCAGTATCGGTATCGGTCCTATAAGTAACATTGGGTTGATATTAACCAATATTTTTTTTCCATCTTATTGCCGTTCGTGTATGTTTTAGAGAGAGTGGGGGGTAGTGATAATGCTCAATTGTTCAGTCATCTGATGGTGATGGTGATCATCTCAGAAGCGTAAATGAGTGGTGTAAGTATTTTTAGGGGTGTGTCTTGGCAAGAATCTGGCGATACAATACATAACTAAGTGCAAGAGAGATGACTGGATATATTGAGATACTAAAAATCAGCCAATATCAATCATTTTTTAGACTGAACTAATTGAAAAACGAGGGTCAAATGTTAAAATCTTGTTACGTCAAAATGAAGTTGGTAACTGCTGCCGTCTAGCAGTCGGACTTTGAATTGCACCGCACAAAAAACAAATTAAGTAAATGTTTGCATGTAAATCCTCAATAAAAAAAATCTATAAACTGCTTTTATAAATCTATTTAATATTTGAACCTAAAATCTTGCAATTTTTCTGCGTGTCATTATCTTCTTACATCCCTTCCTATATTAACTCATTCACTGCCAATGACAACTAAGGTTGTCATTTGCATTTTTTTACTGTGTGGGCGTCGGAACGAGCCCCCGCACCGTGAGAACAAACATCACATCTCTAAAGCCGATCTTCATCCGTGTACATCACACGTCACGTGACCAGGAAGCAGAAAATCCATGTGTTAGATCGTTTAGAACCGCTGCTGTAAAAAAAAAGTGAGGCGTGAACTGGAAAAGCTTCTGCCGATCACAATTCGACAACACATTATTAAGGAACGGATAAGGCTCGAAACGTGTGTATTCTTCCTGATGTAAGAGGTGAGTCTACAATTTGTTTTTGTAGTTTAGGCATTGACATCATCATAGAGCGTAACGTTCTGTGACTCTTTAAAAAGCAGTGAAAATGCTGAAAAACGCTGGCAGTGAAGGGCTTTTCTGGTCAGGAAACGACTGGCAGTGAATGAGTTAATGTAATATCGGTAAATATTGGTTATCCCATATAACAACGGTTTTTAATATCGATATTGGCCAACATTTTCACATCAATCAATCAATCAAAGCTTTATTTATAAAGCGGCTTCCGCAACCCTGTCAGGAAGCCCAAAGCGCTGAACATGGTTCAGTTGAAGGTAAATGTATGGAATAATTCAAAAATAAAAGCAATTCAAATTACAAAATACAAATTACAAAATAGGTGAAACATTCTGGTACGGGACAAATGTGTAAAACAATGGATTGAGTGAACCAATGAAAACTGTGAAATAAATTCAACATTAAAGAGGGCCAAAATCAAACATATTCAGGAAACGCCAAGCGGAGGAGGTGTGTTTTTAGGCGACTCTTAAAGACTGGCAGAGATGGGGACAGCCTAACTGAACCAAGTGAGCACATCGGTGCTAAGCTTCATTTATTTATTTATTTACTTTGAACAGATGTACTGCGTTGACCTGATGGATGGAAAATATACGTGGAAGAAGATCCTACAGGAGTTCGGCTCTGCTCCTTCACCCCGAGACAAACTGTCCTGCTGGGTTTATAATGGAAGGTGTGTGACCTTGAAGGAGAAATTGTTGCTACTCATTAATCAGATTGTTTCTAATTACTTCTAAATGTTAGTTTGTTCACAAGTGTAAAAAATGAGATCGGTTACCGTTTGTCCAAAAATTCGACCTTGTTGGTTCACCTGGAGATTAAACTTTGCAGAGCTGCTTCTTTTTGCTGTTTGTTGGTTGTGATAGTTTTTTTTTCTAACTTCCAGGCTCATCTATTTTGGAGGATATGGACACAAAATCCTGAGTGAAATGAATAGCAGGAACAGAAGCTTCATTTTAGATGAAACGTCTTGGGTAATTGATGATATTTAAAAAATAAAAAGCATTATTCGTAAAACGATCTTAAAAGCCTTTGCATTTGTTAAAAAAGACAAACACAAAAACATTCTTTACATTTTCAGGTGGAAGACATGTTTTGGGGATGGAATAATGAAGTTCACATATTTGACCCTATTCAAATGAGTTGGAGTGAACCACAGACTCATGTAAGAGCTTCACTCTGAACATTGTGCTTCCAAATCATGAGTTGGAGCGTTCTACTAATAGATCTCAATCCGCTTGGCTCGCAGGGCCGTCCCCCCGCTCCACGGGCAGCTCACGCCGGCGCCACACTTGGTTCTAAAGGATACATTTGCGGAGGCAGGGTCATGGTGAGAAGTCTGCAACATAACGCAAGTCTTTATGTGCCAATGTAGGAAATCCCAATATGACTTGTTCTCTTTTTTGCAGGAAACCAGAACGAGTGACATTCATTGTCTTGATCTTGAAACGTGGACATGGTCAGAAATGTATGTAAACATATTAGGAGCTGCCATGTTTTTGCTTGATGTGATGTTATTGACATCAATGCAAATATGTTTTGTAGAGTCCCTTTGTCCAACCTGCCAGTCGGCCGATCCTGGCATACGCTCACAACAGTGTCAGACACAGCCATGTTCCTGTTTGGAGGTCTCAGTGTAGACTGCAAACCAATGAGTAAGGCAATGTACCCTCTTGTTTTTACTCATTTGATGTCTTCTTTTTTTTTAAATAAAAGGACTTTGTCTTTAGGTGATGGGTGGCTGTTTGATGCTGAAAAAAAGAAATGGAGAGAGTTTGAGCATCCTTTCAAGCATAAGCAGAGGTAGTAGCTTTTACATTTAGACTTAAGTTATTCCTTGTTAAGATTGTGGAAATATATTATACTGAACTGCTTTCTGTGTCTAAGGTTGTGGCACACGGCTTGTTCAGGCAAAGACTTTGATGTGATTGTTTTTGGTGGAAGCTGTGACTACATCCTCCTCGTTGACACCGTGAGTATGATCATTACACGTCAAGCTCCTCGAGGTTATTTTGTTCAACCCAATCCCCCACAATGTGCCTCAAAAATTGAAGCCAACCTGGAAATACCAAAAATTGCAGTTCCACCCTCATCCGCTGGGGGCTGGTGTCAGAAACGAGCAAATCCTCATTGATTCCGATGTTAAAAATACCAATTTCACAGCAGAAATAAACATGTTTACAGCCTGGTACCAAAACATGTTTTTGGTTTAAATTATCTAGTTTACACTCATGACAACTCTGAGGGGGGTGAATTTTTTTCTCACTCTTCTGTTTAAGTGTATTAAAAGCCTAAAATTCTGTATAATTAATGAACATCAGACCCACGTGACCACAGAGCTAGCTCCGTGGAAAGGCCTCAGTAGAGCCTCGGTCTGGCTTGGAAACTGTTTTTGAGTCTCTGTGTTTGTGTATTCTTTTTGGATATTATTTGTGCAATTGTTGGACAAAATGACTTGCTGTGGCATTAATTGCACTAATAGAGCATCCAAGGAGTCTCCACTTCATTTTTTTTCAGTAAGTAAAATTATATTTATGTATTTTAGGTCACTGCCGAGCTGAGCTTAGATTTTAACATGTACTGTTTAACCATGAAATTTAAATGTAATAGGGTAAAACCCAGTGCATTTAACATAATGCTGCACTTTAGAAAATGGGTTGAAATATAACATGTTGGTGGAGCTGGGTTCCGACTATCGGCTTGTGGAGCTCTCGGGAGACCGATGTTTTCCACCCGTTTCTCCCCTTCCCGCAGCTCGGCGCATCTGTCTGATCGCGGATTCTGTCTGCTGCGCGGGCTGCCAGCTTGTGGAGCTCTGGGATGGAAACCTTTCCACCCGGTTCTCCCCAGCGGCAGCTCTGCGCATCTCAGATCGCAGCGGCGCTTGTCTGCTGTGCGGCTGCCAGCTTGTGGGGGTCTCGGAGACCTCTGTGTTCCACCCGGTTTTACCCAGCGGTCAGCCCGGCGTATCTCTGACTCAGAAGCTCTGGTGTTGTGCACAGTTAACTCCGGTTGTAGCTAGGTTGCTACCTCCGTTAGCTTAGCTCCCACCTCTGCATTAGCTTTGGGTTAGCTTCAGGTTAGCTTGTAGCTAGTTCGACCGGGTGTCGTCAGTTGATCCCAGCCTTACAGCCCCACCCTCAGCTCCACCTCTCTTCCCTTTTGTGGAATTGTCTGGGCTTGACGGAACCTGTGACACGGTCAAAATGGCGGTGGTGGCCACCTCCCAATTTTCTTCAAAAACGTGTTGTTGGAGCCTATGGAAATGAATTGTCCAGTATTTATATGTCGATGGTTCAACCCCAGCTTTCCAGTGGCCAACTCTGGTACAATGCATGAACTTATTTTACAAATATAGTTAGGTCCACAAAAAAAAAGTGCAGGTTTAAGCAGCTTTTCAGAGTTTTCATTAAATATTTTTCACTACAGAATGGCAGTAAAAGTACCTGTGACATTTTTAGGATTTATTTAATAAAATTTCCAATAAAAAAATCCTTATTAATTTGAATTTTTTTCTTCCTAATTCAGAAACAAAAACATTTTTTTAAATGACAACAAATCTCTTCTAGTAAATGGGAAAGAGAAAAAAGCATAACTGATTTTAATCTCTGAAAAAATCAGATTTACTCTGATAGCAGGGTTCATTATAGGCGCTATAGAAATGATATTTTCTTCTTCTTTCTTCATTAGAGTTACTTTTTCCCCTCAAAATTCTGGGAATATGTAATAAATAGGAATGCAACGAGACCACTTTTTTTCAAAACCGATATGATACCGATACTTGGATCTGAGTATTCGCCGATACCGATTACCGATACTGATACTTCTAACACACAAAAAAATGCAATGCATTGGGATACATGTTTAATTTTCTTCTCTGCTTTCAACAGGAAAAGACTGTGAGGTAGATAAAAAATAAAATATATTAATAGAAATGATCCCCAAACTATAATATTAGGTGAACAGAAATGACAAGTTACAGCGAAGCCCATTTCAGGCAACTGCATTAGTATCGGTTAACTTTTACTGATACCGATACTGGCATCCCCAGTAATAAAGGCTTCCATTTGATTCTCCCATTATTTCTTTAATTTGCTTTGAAATGGTTTAGCTTGTGTGTATCTGAAACAACACAAGCCCAGCACCTTGTCTATGTTAGAACGTCCTTTGGGTTTTAGCATGGACCTGACTTATTACTGGGAAACCTGCTTCTGACCAACATGTTTTATGTGGCTCTCGGATTTTCTGTTCCATTTCATATTGGACTCTGCACCGTGACAAGACAAATGACTCTGAGAAACATCACAAAGACTATCAGTCTCTCTGAGCTCTTTTAACCCACAAGTCTTTATTCTGACATCATTTTCTCCAGCACAGTCATCTGTCCTCCGTGCTTGCTATCGCTTCTGTTTTGGTGGTTTGAGTGTGCACTCCACGCACTCCAGACCTGCGACAAAGTCCCGCCTCCTTGTTTGATTGACAGCGACGGGTAGCTTTCTCCACACAGTTTATGTGAGATTGAAACTCGAAACAGGAAACTGTCAATAATGCTGGACAAGAGTCTCAATTTGCGAGATGTGAGAAAAGTAATGAAAATGCAGGACTGTGCCGCACAAAGAGGGACATCTGGTCACAAAGATGGCTGAAAGCATCCAAAAGAACTGGTTTATTATCTTTTTTTTTTTTACCTTCACCAAGGAGGCATCACAGGTTATGACTTTTTTTTTAATATAAATCTGCACGTGTCTAATCTTGAAATTTGACAGATGCTTTCTTTTCCTGGTCATATCTGCAGCGATGAGCATTATTTTGATCTGGAAGCATATTATAAAAAACAAACCCGGTGTTCTGACAGAGCACCGTACATATCAGAGCTGCATACATGCAGTTTATGCAAACGTGCATGCATGCACATTCATCTAAACCTTTGCAATGTTCTGAGGTGCTTTCAGTTCAGCATACAGACAGCAAAGTATGAGAAAAATGTTTGTCGATTGTGTTCATAATGTTTTACCATTCCAAAAAATGAACAGATTTTTACTGAATTATTATTTTACCACCTTCTAATTCTGAAAAACGTTAGAAAATAAATCTTTCAACTATATCAAATTAACAAGTCAGGGTGTCACACTATTGTTTAAAAAAGTGCATGATGCTAAAATGGCCGATCAGGGTGTCATATGGTTGTTCTACACAAAGTATCTGATAGGTAAATATGCCTATCAAAGTGCCATACAGCTTAAAAAATGTATGATGATCTGACAATGTACATGTGCTGTCAGACTGGAATACGCGTATACCAGTCTGACAATGTATGGTGATCGGACAGAACGCTGGCATGTAAATTAGCTATAACACTGTTGTTTTGGGATGTGCCACTGCACACCAGCTGGAAACAAACTCACTGACTGTACTGGCGGCTATTTGATGTGTAGTTCAGTTTGGAGACTTTACAAGGCGCTTACACATCCGGTGGAAAGCCAGGCTAATAACACGATTTTTTTTCTAGAAACACTATTTTGACTTTTATCTCAACACTGGAATACAAAAAAACCCTTTCCTCCTCTTTTATCCGAGTGAACTTATATACCATCGTACACTCTGACAGAACTATTTTTTATGTTTTTGTTTCAGGGTCATTGCAATGAAGCACTTGTTTTCCAGATGCAACCGTATCCTCTTTTTAGGTAAAAACCTCCCATTTGTTAACATACAAAGGAGAGTAGTAGTCAAAATAAAAAAAACTGCACATAAAAAAATTGCTTTAAGTAGTGTAGTGCACACATGCTACTTTATTCAAGTGTTCAAGTGAATTAGACTTCAAAAGGATGGTTAAAATCTCTAGATTTGTTGGTTGTGTTCCTAAAAATAGAAATTTCTCTCCTAAAGTTTTTGATGGGTTCATTTTGTTTTCCCTGCATACAGGATTTGTGAGGATTACATTGCAAAGAATGTGAGAAACTCAGAGAAGCTGAGAAATCAGCTTCCTCTTCTACCTCCAAAACTTCTCAAGGCTCTACAGAAGAGGATTTCTTTCTACAGGCCTTCCAAGAAGCAGAATATTAGTTAGGAATCATCTTAAATGCCAAAAAGAGTGCAAGATTTTATGTTTCTTACCAGAGTTTGACCATTTTAATTTGTAAAAAAGAAAAGAAAAAATACATTGTGGAATAATTTATGGTGTTTTTATTTAGTTTTACATATAGAAATTTTATTTTGTAAAGTCTGCTAACAAAAACTGTAACCAGGCATTCATTTAAGTGGTGCAATTAAATAAGCTGTTGGGAAGTTTTTCTGTGTGATGCTGATTATTAGAATATTACTTGTTTAACCCACAACCAGCAAAAAAAGTTAAAAGCTGTCATTTTATCTTTGAACTGTACTTTTTAAAGGACACGTGCAAAACAAACATCCATGTTTGTATTTTTGTCTTTAATAATGGCTGAATTTTGTCAGCAGAAATGCAGCGGCGCTATATGACTCGTTTCTCTGGTGCTACATTCCTTCTTCATGAGTTCAGGAAGTGTGGTCAGGAAGGAAACCTTAAATAAACATTTACATTTAAATCCTGGTTCTCGAGATATCTTTAGCACGGTCAAAAAGAGCTCCTGTACCATCCCAAACTGAAGGTTTAAAGCAGCCAGAAAACTCTGAAATCTTGTTTAAAGAGCAAGTTCACTGAGAAACTTTTTTATTTTTCAAACCTGAAAATAGTCTTCTTTCCCTGTTTGCTAGATTAGCCGCCGATAGAAAACACAGGGAAATGCTCTGGTCAGAAAAAGCCCCACAGATCTACGGCACACTAATAACTTTATTAACGTTAATTCGCCCATCTTGTATTGCAACGAGGAAGGCTGTTATTGATTTAGCATCCGGGGGAGAGAACGTCTCAGCTAGAAGAAGCTAACCGTTAGCATTAGCAACTCAACAACATGGCAGACATCCTTCAGGCTTTTGTTATTTTTGTAGATAAAACATCTAAGTTGCAAAGTGAACCAAGTCAGAGGTAGTCGCTTTGCTGTTAACCAATCAGTGGCGAGATGTCAGAAAATCAGGAAATAAATCTCCAGATCTGGCTTTTTTCCGCTCCTCTCTCTTTCGACTAACTTCTACTTCCTGAAACAGTAGCGCCAGAGGTTTTTTCCCCATAGAAACCCACTCACAAGGCAATAATTTGTACTACACTGCAAATGTATTGAAAGTTAAGTTGGTCTTCAAATATTAGCAGACAAGTTATAATGATGTAAGTAATAAGCAGAGGTGTGGACTTGAGTCACATGACTTGGACTCGAGTCAGATTAGAGTAATTATTTTAATGACTTCTGACTTGACTTGATTAAATCTATAAAGACTTACGACTTGACTCGGACTTGAACGCCAATGACTTGCGACTTGAATCGACTTGCATCTGTTGACTTGATGATGACTTGATATTTTAACACAAAAGTGGCACGACATGGACAAAAATCATAAATCATTCTTCATTCTGGGTGTGATCTTGTTCTGCTAAATGCAGCAGCACTTTGTTTATAATCGATTTCAGTTGCACTTTCTGCTTGTTTGAGCAAATAAATAAAGCTTTAAGAAGCTTTAATTCTGGAATTTATTTATTATCATTGTCATTAAATTAAAGTTGGACAGATGACATGATTATGACTTGAAAATGCAAAGTTAAGGACTTGACTTGGACTTCCACATTATTGACTTCAGACACGACTTGGACTTGGCTATCTTGGACTTGACTCGAGACTTGACTGGAAAGACTTGTGACTTACTTGTGACTTGCAAAGCAGTGACTTGGTCACACCTCTGGTAATAAGTAACAGAAACGCACACTGTGAGGGAGACCGGCAGGAATAATATGGATGACATATCAACTTGCTTTCCCAAACAACAAGCCGTGGAGGCCTGTCGGCGAACACACCGGGTCAGCACTAACAGAGCCATCTGTTCATGTTTCTGTTGTGCTCAAACATGGCTGGTACTGTGCTTCGTGACTCATGAATACACTGAACTGTCAGCTAAACTCTTTTTCAATAGCATCCATCAGCTCCTCTTCTGATCCGTCATACAGGATGACTGGCGTGGCAAGGGAAGGATTATGGCAGCAGCTAGAAGTCCTGCAAGAGTGGATTAACCTGTTGATTAAAAGCAAACAATCCATGTGAAAACACCAGATTGTTTTATGGAGTAAATGTGGTTTTTTCCTGCTTTTGTTTGACAGTACTGACACATCCAATCTGCACACTGACAGGCTTCTGTCTTGGTATTGTGATCCCCTTGGAGTGAACTTGATCTGATGACGTTTCGTTTTTACTCCACCAAGCAAGGAAGTGGCAAGGTGGAGAAACGAGGGCCGATCCCCAGACTCCCGGGTGAGAGTCACGCGCGCTAACCAGTCAGCCAACGGGACACCCCCCTTGACCAAGTAGCCAGGGCGCATGATCAATCGGGACACTGTGACAGGACGCTCACCAGATTTCTACTTACTGTTTTTCTGGCGTAGGCACACTCTCCAGAAATTTCCCTGATAACATCTGTAAAAAAACATTTACAGTTAAAAATACTTTATTTTTACATGTTTATTATACAATGAAAGAGCTTACATCTTGCTGAATGGAGGCCCCAGGTGTGTGTTGCCTCCTCTTATTTACGTCCTTTGACGCAGCAGGACGTGGCTCCTCTGACCGTTTAGAAGAACCGATCGCGTCCTCGGAGTCTTCTTGGCTAAAATGACACAGTCCGTATGTTTTAGATCTGAGAAAAGTTCTTTTTGGAGGAGATATCTTAACAAAAAACCCATTTCGATTTTCTTCATCTGCCAGAACTGCGCCATCCTCGTCTCCAGAGAAGTCCGAGCCATGTCTTTTGGTGAAGCTGTCCGGATGCTCACGGCTCCGCGCATTCCGCAAAGCGGTTCGAGTTTTGATGTTTTTAAACGGACCTCTGTCAAGTTTGGATGAAGCAACACCTGGTCCAGTGCTGGTCACGTTTGTAACACACGGCGCGACTTTCTTCCCCCTGCTTGCGCCGCTCCCCATCACCGCGCGTCTGATTTGGTAAAACGCAAACTCCTACTTTTCTTCTTCTGGCCGAAAACTTTCAGGGTTAAACATCACCCAATAAAACTGACATCTGGCGACAGGAGTCTAAATTAACTTTTAATATTTGGCCAAAAAAAAATAAATTAAAGTAATCGACCCGAATTTTTTATTCGTGGAAATGCAGACGCACGGCTGAATGATCCGCTCATGTCAGTCCAAACTTCACCAAGAGGACGAGAAACTCTGGATCCGTTACATAACACATCTTAGCTCAGAACCCCGGGGAGAAAAACCCCGCCTTTCTTTAGGGGAACCCCCTCTCTTTTCACCATGCTGAAGATACATTCTAAAACAAATGAAACAATTTAAAACACACCCATTAAACCATTATTTTAAGTAATAAACAGTCTGAACAAATATAATTCCTGAACCACATCAGCTACAAAACACCCTTTTGTTTTATTCTATTGTAGATTAAAGACAGGGCATTTGCAACAGCTCCCCAGACACTGAGCCAAAGACGTCCAACAAGATCCACGAGCTTACAACAAAAGCTGTTTGCGATCTTGCACCGTGTCCGTGCTTTCTTTTCCGTGCATGTACAGCGTATGCCAGACAGCTGTGCAACCTGGAGGACGACCAAGTCAAAGTCACCTGCTGTTTAAGTTGATGTTATTTTACGAACTGAATCATGCTTATTCCAGATGTGCTCATGAGGAAATTCCAGTTTGACTGCTGGACTGAAAAAACTAAAACAAACAACATCACTTAAGAACTTGACTTTATTTGATTTGTATCAGCACACATTACATTTATTAGGAAAATGACTAAAAGGGCTCGAAGGCAAAACTTTAAAAAGTAAGACACTCAACTAAAAACTTTGTTCAACTGCTAAAAAGATCAAATCAGAACTAAATTTAGTAAACACAAAGGCTCAAAGACTGGTTTGAGTTCGTTCTAACTCCCCATTCCCCCATACGCCTCCTGCTCCAGCACATCATTAGAGGAATCAGACAGCCACATCTGGAGAAACATTGAACAGCTTCCAGATGAGGGGGAGGATCCACCACAAGATGGAAGCCACAGCCCTGGCGGCATAACTGTGGTTTCTCTGACTTCTCCCAGATTCAAGTATACTCATTGTCTATAAAACTCTGGTTGGGAGTTCTGCTCCAGCTTTGTGTTTCAAATCCTCAAACTCTGAAGAAGCAGTTGTTCTGCTCTATGTTTGATAAAAAATGTCTTGGTCTCACAAAACAGCTCAGTCATAAAAGACAAAAAAATTATACATCATAAAAATCCTATTTAAATGTGTCTGTAATCTCCAGAGAGTTTTAACAAGCTTCCATGCAAAAGTGCTTGGGCCTCCTCCCCAAGGGCAAAAACCTCTAACGTGAGCGTGTCCCGCTCAGGTTTTTGGAGTCTTGTGTGATTTTTTCAGCATTTTCCTTGCAAAGTCATGGCGTGTTTTTGTCCAGATCATTCAAAACAGCAGACTTTCTGTTCAAAAGGATTATAAGTAAAATAATCAATTTTGAAGTGTTGAAAATGGATGCATGTCCAACCAACCAACCATCCAACCAATTGTGATGTCTTTCAGATCACATTTACATATTCTACACAAATAAATAAATTATCTATCAATCTTGCACAACTCCTTTTATTCTATTTAGACATAATGTTAAATTGTCTAAAGTTACTTTTGATTTTTTTCACATGTAACTACAGCTGATTAAAAACAACAGATGGTGGAAATGTTATGATAAATTAATCTTTTTTCTGATGTAGAAAGTGGAAACACGCATGCAAGCAATAAAATGTAAACTTGCTGATCACCGATTATTCTAGAACGATAGGTTTAGAATTAATAAACCTAATAAACCTAAAATTAGATTATTTTGCTTGTTTTAAGAATACTAGCCAAGTAACTTTTACTTACAGATTTTTTAAACTGAAAACAAGAACATTTGGATCATAGTTAAGAATATTTACCTTATTTTAAGTGATGCTATTTTTCTAGAGAAAATGTATTTTCTTTTTATACTAAAGATAAGATAATATGTCTAAACAGGAAGATTTTAAAAAATGTTCGTAGAAATCAGTTTTTGTACACTAAATGGTTGAAAAACAGATCCCCATGACTCTGTAGGAACTATAAATCTTTGCATAATCTGCATGAGAGTTAAAATGCACTTGCAGAAAGTATGACTGATGGAAAGCGTGTTTAGTATAAATAAAATTGTCTCCAGGATGGATCCTTGAGGAACACCATCGGTAACAGAACCCAAAGAAGTGAAAGCATTGTCAAATAATCATTAGGCTTTTCACACATTTCCACACAAAAGACCCCCATAAAAACATCTAAACCCTTTATGGGATTTTCTCTGGAATAAAGAGCAATGGTTTAGCATTTTTGATGTGATCAGCCAAACCAAACGACAAAGATGTTGTGAATCTGACATGGTTGTCAGGGCAACAGTCTGAGCCAAAAAAAGACATTGATGTATTCCTGTCTGTCCTCTGAATTTCATTTCAAGTGTAAAAATTATAACCAGCAGGTGGAGCTATCATTCAAGAAAAGCCAACCAGAGTCATTTCTACAATGATTTCATGAAAAATAGCCTCTAATAACTGAGTATTTAGGTACGCTGATTTTCAGAAAGATTAGACCAAATGAGCTACAAACAAGATGCACGGATGAATTTTCCATAAAAGACACTCAAATTCAAATTTAAAGATAAATTGTGATCACAGGAAGTTTTAGCAAAATGCTTTCAGATAAA